AACTCATCCGATAGATGATACTCATATCATAGATAATATGTCTGCACCATATAAATCACGCACAAACACTGTGATCCTCCTACAACCTAGCCCTCCCCCCCTCTCTCCCCTCCAACATCCCCAAAACCTCCCCCACAGCAGCCTGCCCCCTCTCGATCGCACCATCCACAAACCCCCTCCACCCGTCCGCCCAATCCGCGCTCGCAAACACAACCCGTCCATGCGGTTTCTGAAGTTCCTCCAAGTATTCTGACGCAGTATTTGGTCCCCAGCACGCCCAAGCCCCTTTCGCATACGGATCATTCATCCAATCATGGGTGGCATAGGCATCAATATCCACATCCGGGTTAACATCATGCTTGAATCTCTGCAAGATATATTTGCTATCCTTCTTATCAGTAAGTTGATCGTTGTACCCAAATCCAATGCACCAGGTGCCAGACGGGCCTGTTGGCTGGGTTCCATTGTGATCTGAGAACGCAAAGACAAAGCTGGAGTCACTGCCGTCATGTGCAGTAAAGAACCAGCTCGGTAGTGTTTCGCGAAGCTTGAAGTGGATCTTTGCGCCTTTGTTAATGTGGCCTTTTGTGATGGCTGCTTGTCGGAGGGGGGTGAGTGGGGGGTGAAATTGGATGTCGTTGAGGCAGTTTCTGTCGTTAGGTTAGTCAGGTGGATATATCTAAAGCAACAGAAGGTGAGATAGAAAAGAAACATACAGCGGAATCGTCGACACCACCGCACGAGCCCCAACCCTCCTCCCATCCTTAGTGACAACCTCCACCATATCACGACCATGATTAATCTGCTCAACAACCGTTCCAAAGCTAACATGACCAGTGAACTCCCCCAAAATAGCCCTCGCAAAAGAAGTCATCCCTCCACTCCCCAATTTATACACCCCCGCCAACTCAAACACCCCAGCCATACTATGCCCTCCCAGCGCAAACCACCGCAGCGCCTCCACAAACCCAATATCCTTCACCGGCGCACTCCCAAACGTACTAACATTAGACGCAAACAGCTCTTTCTCCCACCTCGACAACCCATCCAAATCCGACATCTCCAACCGCTCCTCCACACTAAGATAATCATACCTCTTCCACGGCGCCGGCTCCCTCAGCGAATCATGCGGATACGGCATCAACGCACGACTGTCCAGCCCATCAATTGCGAAAAACTTCTCTGCAACGCGCTCAAGCGTAGCCTGGTAATCTTCAACAGAAACCTTCTCCACAGGACCACTACTGGACCTGAACCACTGATCCACAGGCGTGAATGACCCCGCAGAGGTCTTCAGATTCCGGTGCAGTCCGTACCGATGCAGCTCGGCATACAGATGCGGCTGGTTCCAGTGAACCCAGGTCCCGCCCATTTCGATCTCCTCGCCGAGTACCTTGGCTGTCCATGTTCGACCACCGATGCGGTCCCGCGCTTCTAGGAGCAGGACGTTGAGATTGTGCTTTCTGCTTAGGTCGCGGGCTGCAATTAGTCCGGCGAATCCGGCCCCGATGACTATCATGTCATAGTGGGTGCGGAGGGCGGGCGTGCTGGGATGGACTGCATCTGTGGGTAGGCCTGAGGTGATTTGCTCAGGGGTCCAGAGGTAGCCTTCGCTGGAGCGGGACATGATTAACGTACTAGGGAATCGAGTGATGGTAGTAGTAGGGGAATGTGGAGGATCGCGTGCGACATGAATGTATCTAAAGTATGCGAGAGAGGATGTTGTGCTGTTCAAGTAGTTAATAAGGACGGGTTACCAAGAGAATCCAGGTGAGTGTTAGAGTCCTATCTTCTACTTCCGAGATTGGAATATCCACGACCGATGCTAAAGTGTAGCTGATAGTCTCGACAATTGACGGGCGGTAGAAATAGTAGAGCTGACGCACTATTTTGCCAATTCGGGTAATGGTGCCGCCCAGCAGGATGGGAGTATGTATGAGGAGCATGGATCGGCGCGTATGTTGGTTCTGGGCATTGATTGATCCTTTCATTGAGAATCCCTCGTCCATGCGCACGTAACCTTTCGGGCATATCCACTACTCGCAATTCCAACTAGTTCTAAGTATTTCAAACCTCTCCAGTAAAAGCATGAGCGCAACTGGACGTTATCTATTTTTTCATTATGCATGTTACAGCAACAACAATTTCCCTATAAACTCTGCACGATTGGCTTGCTAGACACTGTCACATAAGATACAACCGACTCAACACCGGATCCTACACCATAAACCAATGACACAAATCAAAGCCTCGCCATTTCACGACCCCCACACTTCCACGCTACGCCATAACTATCTGTAGAAAAAGTTATAGTACTACCCCTTGGAAAGAAGAACGTATCACCTGGCCTCACTGTAGCGGTCTGTCCACTCTCGTCACGAAGATTGATTTCCCCTTCGTAAAGATAAAAGCGTAATCAGCCAAAAAATATCTTATCACCAGCATCCATATAAATTGATCCACTTACCCTCAATGACCACCCCAACCTCATCATACGAGTACGTCGGAGGCGTAGCTTCAGGTCCTTTCTCAATTCGGAACCAAGATCCGACGATAGGATTCTTCTCGTCACTTCTGCTTGTTCCTAGCAGGTCCTCTGCGTCTCTGCTGTCAATATCTGTCAATGAGAGGGGTGGGGGGAAGAGGAGGTACCAAAGAAGACGTTAGGTATGTCTCCGTATCTGGGGACATTGTACATTGCAGCTTTGCTTTTCACTCGGAGGACCATTTCGATGGTGGTTTGGTTGGGAGATGGGGTTTGAGGCTATTTGAGAAAGTGTTGAGTACTATGGTAGGCTTGGAGTGAAGGCTACTATATATGTAATTATTCATCAGTCAAGGAATGTATGGCTTCGGGTGGAATTGCTGTAACAGAGTCCATTGCATGAGAGTTATTCAGAAGACTAAGTGCCGAAGGCGGGAATAATAGTACGGGTGCACTATTACAAGCCATTTCATCATACTAACACTTCGATGAGGGACTCATGGCATTCCTTACTAAGTAGGCAAGATTCACGACCCTCAAAATGGAAGAACATCTAGAAGTATAGAATCTGACCAATCGCATTCCTTGTTCCAGTTGACGCACTATTTTCCCCAATTCGGTTTAGTGCCATACATGGTCTACCCAAAGATTGACTCCAAATTCTCGGAGCTCATGACCTCGGTCCACTGGATGTACTCCCATTCCTGGTCAGGATCCTCAGCGGCCCTCCGCATGTCGGCTAGAAACCACACCTTATCGAGGATCTTCTGCGCGCGGCCAATGGTAACGAGTCCTACAATCTCCTGAACGGTCTTTACCCTCTCCCGCACAAAGTTCCTCCAGAAAAGATAGGTATCTTGCTGCAACGTGGAAGTGGGCACGTCCAACGAGAAACAAGGAAGTTGCAAAGCGCTACCCGCGATAATCAATGGAATCGTGAGCAAACAGTAAACCCCAGACGTGTGGGGAAGCACTCCAATGGTGGTAAGCACATTGGTGGCCAGGCCCAAGATGCTGTGGGTTAGGCTAAAATCCACAGAGTGGGCTCCATGCAGTTCAGGGAAGGTCATGTAGAGCTGAAGTAATCCTACAAGCCGGTAGATGCTTGCAATTCGCTGGAGGTGGTCGACAGGCGTCCGGGAATCAGCTGTGTCTTCTATCTGGTCGATTGATAGGGTTCTGTAGGATTGGAGCGCATCTTCAATGGCTTTAGCCCGTTCAAGCATGTCGGGGCCTACATGGCCCCAAAAGCCTACAGGCAATTGTCTGGCTAGCGATCGCTGCCTTGTCAATATACCAATCTGGGCCAAATGTATAAAAAGTGGCGTGCAGATCCCTGTCCATGGATTGACGTATACATGGCATGTCTCGAAGGAGAATGGCATGAGGTAGGATATCGAGTCTAGGGACTGGTTGTGTACGAACGAGGCGACTGCTTCCCAGTAGGACATAATGCCCGTAATCATAGTTCTGGTCCGAGGGCAGCATGCCGGGACGGTAGTAATCCATTTCCGGAACAACGTGCGTGCACCACGGAGATGTGTGACCCCGAGTTGAGTGGGATCATGCCACCCCTACGAAAGGCCATCAGCTTGACATCAAAAGGCTGGCATGGACGCACTGAGAATGGGTACCTCTGTCATGCCCAAGAGTATGCTACCAATTAAGATCTCGGCAACGTTATCGAGTGGTGATCCATTGTTTATTTCTTGTGTCAAAACCCCCTGTGTGATTCTAGCTTTCAAGCAGGATAGTGCTTCTGTCCGGTGCCGCAGCGTGATCGTCAACATATCTCTTTGTCTTGCCGTCAGATGGGCGGCGGACATGGACAGTACGCAGTAGTGAATCAGAGGACGGGAGCTTATCAGGGATCCCACTTCGGCACGGAAGAAGTTCTTGTGGGAGTCAAAGCACGAATTGACTCGACAAACATTGGAAAAGTAATGCCTGAGAAGAGCTGCGTCATCGTCTTTTTGGGTAGACAAAGTCGGTTCCGCTAATACGGTTCCTGCCCATAATTCACCACGATCATTACCTACCATAGTCGAAGGGATCCAGATATCTTTCGGTGGCGAACTGTTTGCCGCAGAGATTGAGACCGGGTCTGATCCAGCAGCAGCCTCATTCTGCGCGGGCTGGACATCTGTCTGCACAGGCAGGGAGCGTGTGGCGTCGTCCGGCACTGTGGACTGGAACAAGATGGGTCGTAATGGCTGGACGGGCTCTATTCTTTGGAGCACCTGCTCCGAGGAGCTCAGGACTGCGCTATTATTCCCACTTCTCCCCACCTCATACTTGGACGACCACTTCAATGGGCGTTTGTATCCCGGGCATTCGAAGCGTTTGCGGGTACATTGATTACACACAGGAAGCGTCTCGTCGCATTTGATTCGCTGTCAACTAACTTAGCCTGGATATTAGGAGGTAGACACAATTGGGTTTGTTACACCCACCCTTTGTTTGCATCTTAGACAGCCATCTGGCATCAGAGGCGTGTCAGTTTCCGCAATGTCATTATCCCATGGATTAGATACTCACTGCGAGTCTTGAACCTGCGGCGAGAGGTTGGCTGTGGATCTGACATTGATAACGAGTGGAGAGACTAAAGTGCAGTTTTGCTCGTGAAGACAATGATGTGAAGTGGATGAAGCTTATTGTACCTGGCGGCAATGCTCCGCAGGAGTTGATAACGTATCCAAGTTCTTCCCCGCAATTCCGCAGTCACGATAAGCACCGGAACGTTCCACTGGCCCGCACTTTTTATACTATTTCAGATACGAAGAGCTAATAGTCTCGCAGCAGTATATCAGCTACAAAAAACGAATAGCGATGGCTGTTCCGAAGATGCTTATCTTCCTGGATGCGACCGGTCATTGGACATTCATGATGGACTCTATACCTCTCAGTTTCCGCTTTATACATGCGATTCCTACCAAAATACGCTTCAATTTTGTTGAGCCCACGGCATCCCTATTGCTAAAGACATAATGTCGCCGAGTATGAAGGCCCCCGCAGATACTATGACTGCCAAGTCGGCAGACGAGGGCGAGAATGAGCTCAGAATTGGAGAGGCTATCCCAGTCAAGGTCAGTATTCTTTTTGAGTAGTCCACAAGCCTGGCATTTAAATGGACAACCTCTGATGACGATGCTTGATCTATAGAAACCCTTTTCTCGCCTTACAATCTTTTCCCTCACTGTGGTTCTCATGTCAACTTGGGAGGCGCTTTCCAGGTACAGTCCCACGTTCACTATCCAACACCATAATTTAGTGTCTGATCACACCATCCATGATAGTACAATGTCCTCAGGTCTCGTTAGCGGTGGCCCTGTATCTCTCATCTATGGATTTATACGTGTGTTCTGCCTCTTCGACTATCCACAACTAGTCTGACCCCGATCAAAGTGGCAATCGTGGGCTCCATGGCAACAGCGGCCTCCTTGGGGGAGATGGTGTCCATGTCAGTACCTTGTGTTTTCGCACTTACTACCGTTACCTGACCTTGCTGAGTGGTAGGTACCCGACAGCTGGAGGTCAGTATCACTTTATCGCGAAGTTCGCACCCGACAAATGGCAGAATATTCTGAGCTGGTTTGTAGGGTGGATAGGTAGGATGTACTATGATAAGGCTTATCTTCCACCGTGCTCATCTTTTTCTACATTCATAGGAACCTTTGGGTGGGTATCGTTCACTGCAAGCGCTCCATATCTTGCTGCAGGCATGATACAAGGCCTTGTAGTTCTCACATGCGAGGCGTATCAGCCTCAGCGCTGGCATCTATCATTAATATACTGGGCTCTTGTTGGTCTCGCTACAGCTCTCAACATCTGGGGCAGTCGTTTGTTCTCACTCGTAGAGACGGCGTCTCTCGTCATTCACCTGGTCGGATTTGTCGTTGTCCTGATAGTTATGTGGGTTTGCGTCCCAGCAAAACACAACGCCACATTTGTCTTTACTACCTTCCTGAATAGCACCGGATGGTCGAGTAATGGCCTTGCCTGGTGCCTAGGAATGCTCTCCAGCTGCTATGTACTGGCAGGTTCGTGAGAATCCACCCTGTCATCGAAAATCTACACCCTGACCCACTGAGCTTAGGCTACGACGGAGCCATTCATCTTTGCGAAGAGATGGTTAATCCAGAAACCGCCGTCCCATATTGTATGCTGGGCTCGCTTGCCATCAACGACATATTAGGTTTCGTTTTTCTACTCACCATTCTGTTTTGCATGGGAGACATGGAAAACGCACTTGATACCCCGACCAACTATCCAATAATCGAAATTTTTCGCAGTGTAACGGGATCATCGGCTGGAAGCTGTGCCCTGACGGCTGTTTTGATAATCGCAGCCTGGCTGGGCACCATTGCGCTGCTGGCATCAACCGCTCGTATGGTTCTGTCCTTAGCTCGGGATAGAGGTACGAGCGGCCACCTCATCCCTCTCATTTCTCTTGAAAATCATCACTGACCCACCTAGCTCTTCCATTTTCCGGTTATCTCTCTCAGCTTGATACTCACACAGACTTACCGAAGCGCGCAATCATCACAACGAGCAGTTTGCTCGTGCTGTTCGGGCTGGTCAACATCGCTTCCACTACTGCTTTCAACGCCATCCTCTCACTTGCCGTCTTAGGATTACACATCTCATACCTTGTCCCTATCCTATTTTTCCTATGGCGCCGCCTTTCCGCCCCACACAGTTTAAACTATGGGCCATGGAGGCTTGGCCGTGCTGGTGTTGCCATCAATGTTATCGCCATCATCTATCTGCTATTCACCAGCATCTTCATGGTGTTTCCCTCCTATCAACCCGTCACTCCATCTAACATGAACTACGCTTCTTTGATCTTTGGGTTTGTTTGGCTGATGAGCGTGGTCTTCTGGATTGTGCGGGGTCGAAAGGAATATGATGGTCCTGCTGTTTTGTGAGGGGACTATTTTCCATACATATAGGAATATAAATGGAAGGGGAAGTTTTAAAGGGGACATACCATAGCACATCAAGACACTAGCATCCTCAACAACAATGAATAGAGAGGCTATATGTGGGGTAGTTTACAGGTTCATAATCACTGTTTTCCCTATAAAAATAAACTTACACCATGTTGAGCAGGTAATGTATTCACCAAAAGCCCTATTCCGGCATTCACATGTTCTTATATACTTCCGCCCCAATCCATGTATTGGCTATGTATTTCCTCCCTCCACTGTCTCCAGTCAATCCCAATGCGTATGATGGTACTCTTCGACGAGAATGCCAGCTTGGCATTATCGGGTAAGCTATTCATTTGAGCGGGTCTATTACAGTAAGAATGAATATATATTTACTTTCTCAAGACTGAAAGCGTTAGCACGAGCATCGATTGGTGAACGAACATCAAGCTCTAGGTGGGAGACTGAAATGACCGGCCGTATCAATTACTTGACTATGGGAGCTGGGTGATGGTAATCTTCTACATCTTCATGTTCTGCGGTCTTGTATGCCCTGCCATGGAGGTCTCTGTTACACTATCTCTTTTCCCTCTCTCTCTTTCAATCTACCAGTGTCGTACATAGAGGTACTCGGAACTGATGGACAATTGCGTAGTCTCTATCATTCTTAATCCGTGGAATTTCCGTGGAGCTATGTGAAACCTATTGACTCAAGAGGTCTGGTTTCATTGCTTTGATAGTGGAACCCAAAGTAGATCTAAACAGCTCAGCACTATCATAGACGATTCACTTGGACACTGTAACGTCCTCCACCTCGGGCGACGGCTCTTTCTTTTCCGGCCCGTATTCTGTCTCCAGCGTGGTTCGCAACTCCACCTCCTTTTCCAGCCACGCAAATAAGAAGCCTAGTCCAGCAAACACCACAGAGATCTGCCACACTCGCTGGAGCGCTGCGGTATACGCGTCGATAATCATCGATTGAACCTCGGGCGAAAATTGCATGACAAATTCCCGCGAGGCTTGCTGGTACGCGTTACCCGTGTTTTGTAGCACCTGCGCCGCGTGTCCCGTATCGTTCTGCGCGCTCACCTGCGCGGCGAATCGATTATTGAAGATAGCGGCCGGGATGGAGACGCCCCAGACGGCGCCAAATGCGCGGCAAAATGCCCAGGTTGCTGTCGAGGTGGCTACGTCAGCCTCGGACAGCGCGGCCTGGGCAGCTGGCAGGGTCGAGGTGACGATGAAGCCTGAGCCAATGGCCGCTAGCAGCTGGTAGCCGACCCAGGCTCCTGTGCTGGAGTTCTGGTCGAGAAGGCTGAAGAGGCCCATGCCGAGGGCCATGAAGGCGAAGCCACTGATTTGTATGGGCTTGTACCGGCCGGTCTTAGTAACAAGAGCACCGGCAACGATGGCGGCAGGGACAGTGACGATTACGGTGGGCAATAATTCCACTCCGGATCGAGTCGACGTGCTTAGCTGAACTCCTTGGAAGTATACTGGCAGGAAGTATAGCTCCCAATACATCAGCATCCCATGCAGAAAGCTGATAACGAACGCGGCAAAGGTGGTGCGGTTCGCGAAGAGACGAGGGGGCATGGTTGGCTCTGGACAGAGCTTGGGCGTCACCTGCACCAGGGCGAAGGCGATCAGTCCAATGAGTCCCAGCACTAACGGCACAATGACACGCCAGCTTGACCAGGGGTATGAGGTGCCACCGAAACTGAGCGCGATGAGAACTGCTACCACCGCGGCGACCAGTATAGTATTACCTAGCCAGTCAATGCGCTTCATCTTGTCCGCGAAGGTGGTGTGGTTCTGAGATTTGACCTGGAGGAAGAGGATCATGAACACCATCGCGCTGCCGGCGATTGGAAGACTGATATAGAATGCCCACCGCCAAGTGACGTGCTGTGTAAAGGCACCCCCGATGAATGGCCCGATGGACGATCCCACGGCGAACACGACGAAGATGAGGGCGGTCACTTGGCCTCGCTCGCGTAAGGGGACGAGATCACAGACGACCACGTCAATGAGCATGTTGACACCTCCGAGGCCCACTCCCTGGATTGTGCGCCCGGCAATAAGCATCGCGGTCGAACTGGCACCACCGCTGATGCCACTGCCTAGAGCAAAGAAAGCCACTGCGGAGATCAGGGGCCATCGTCGACCGAAGACGTCGGCCAATTGTCCAAAGAGCGGCTGGACGGCGGTACTGAAAGGGCCATGGCGGACGATTTAGCGTTACAGGAAGAAAGAAGACGTGCGGAGGAGAGAGTCAATACCTTGATAGAAAGAGTGCGTTGACAAACCAAACATACGACCCTCCTGCGTTCAAATCGCGCGAGATCGTGGGCAGAGCAGTCGATGGAACCGTACATTCGATCGCAGTGAGGAGAGATGTTATTGACAGTCCAGCAATAATCAGCCAGAATCGCCAACCACGAGCAGCCATGTTTTGCTTCTATCAGAGAGGGCTAATCAGCAGGATACTTTGCTCCGATCGAAGGTTGCAGAGCGTTACTTGTGGTTTACCCTTTCTTCCTATTCTTCTTTTTTTGCTCCGGGGAGATGTCGAGCGGGAGCGAGAGGCGCCATTGGGGACCGGCGATGGCTACTGCAAGCTGTCAGCACTAAGTGAGTAGTGGATATAACTAAGGCGTTCAAGGCGGCAGGAGCAATTAGTTAGCGAGGCTTAGTTGCATCGGCTAAGGCTGAACCCCTGCAAAGCTTCCCCTGTGCCACCAAGTGAGCAGTGTGACTTGTGACTTTTGGGGATTGCATCTTACATGCGCCTCTAGCCCAGCTATCATGTTCAGAATTCACGAAGAGGATAACCCCATCCAGATTGGGTATCAATCTCTTTCCTAACGGGGAAAGGATCTTCCTCACAGCCTTGTATCTACATAGTAATTTATAGAGAAGGATGAGGGGGTTCATGACATGGTAGTCTTTGGTTCTTACAAGGTACTACTAAGCCTTTTGATTATTCCGTCCACCCAAAGTAAGCACTAGGGCATAAAGACTCCACATCCCCTCATCTCCTTTCCGTCCGCACCCAACCCACCTTTTGCTCCTCCCTCTCACGGACCATGATGGATCTCCACCTTCCGGACCACCTCAATCTTTTGTAATTCGTGTGATGGCGGTGTTTCCCAACTCGTGCCTCGGGTCGCAGAGTCCTCAACATCATCCTCGGGGCTTCTCTGAAGGTCCAGCATGCTTTCCGTCCCCATGTCCTTCCGCTTTCTACTGTTGGATGCGTAGTTAATCGATAGCATGTATCCTCCCTGCTTGTTCCATGGGCGGGGGTTGGGAGTTTGGCGGAGTCGCAACAAGGGAGCCGAGGCGGGGATGCATGCGGTCACGATACCGAAGCAGAGCTGCACTGTGGTCCAAATGCAGGTGTCTGTATCTGCCCATGTCATATCGCCCCCAAGTACCATGGTCCAGGCATAGTAGAAGCGCACGGCTGAAATCGCCGTAACAAACAATCCAAGTGAGAAGGTGAAGATGATGATGATTTTCCGGCGGAGGGCCATCTGGAGGTTCCACAAGACCACCGCCGGAATACCGAGCAGAATTAGTTCGGAAAACAAATCAAGCAGAAGCGGAATACACAGATGGGTCCTTTGAGGCATGCACGTATAATCTTCCAGGGGCTGAGGCGCCTCGTAGCCGAAGATGGGGTAGACACGAAGCCAGAACATCTGTGGTGGCAAGCAGGCACAGACGAAGACGATCGTCGAGGCGACTCCCAAGCCAAGGCAGAAGGCAAAGAGCCCCCAGATGGTCCAGCGAACCCCTCGAACAATGGTCGAGAAGGCCCGTTGGTAAAACACTAAGACTGACAACTTGGTGAACATGAGTGCGGGGGCTTGGATTATCGTTATGATGTACGACATCTCCACTACAAATGCCATTCGCTCTGGAGGATGCGGGTCTTCGCTGATGACCCAGTACTATCCAAAATTAGTTTCCCATCAAACGGCATGATTCCCCCCGCCAGAAAACTAGGCGGGAGAGAAGAGGAGATGCTGAGGCCTCTTACTGCATGCTGACCCATGCCGCTAGCCACTGCGGCAATCACACAGCCCGCGGTCGCCAGGGTGAAAATGGCCGCGAGAATGATGAGAATACAATCTGCCGTCCAGATCCTGTGAATGAGCGATTGTGCCCACACACGGATGCTCAACCCTATGACACAGAAGATCATGCTAGTAATACATGCTCCCAGCATCTCGGGTCCGCGATTTGATGTGGAGTGGTCGCTGAGCAAGGCATCTACCTCGCCAGCAGTGCTGGAAGTAGCCATATTGGTTCAAGCGATAGAGGGGAGGGAGGGTGACACTGAGTCTGACGATAGTCTCGAATCATGCCAGAGCAATTGCGAGCCGGCTTTCAGAAACGAGTTGAATAAATATTACCACCTCAGGGACGAGACGGAAGCAAAGCGTTTCAGGCAGACTTGGGGGCCGAATCTAGATGCAGGCCTTATGCGATCAGATTCAAGAATGGCTAGGAGTTGAGTCGGCTTCCAAGGCTTTCTTAGCCAGGCTGAGGATGTTCAAATGGTCAGCCTAGCGGAAAGTACAGAGACGCAACCCGTTATTACCGATGGGGATAAAGCATATACAACCTCAAGCGGAGAGCCTTAGCTTGAGGTCAGTGTATAAATATCCGCAATATGACGGTCCAGAAGGGGGGCGGAGAATGGGCTTCATCATCACATAACTCCGAGATTGATTGGTTCATCTTCCCCAATGATTCTTCCGGATTCGCAGTATGCGTTGGTCGTGCAGGGGCCCGGTTCATTGCAATTGCTCAGCCACGCCCCTGTTCCCTCGCTTGGAGCAGATCAGGTCCTGATTGAGGTGAAGGGGGTGGCACTAAACCCCTCAGACTGGAAGATGCTTGATACTGCAGCAGCAAACCCGGGCACCATCAGTGGAGGGGACTTTGCTGGGGTTGTCGTTGCGTGTGGGAGGGAGGTGACCGAGGCGGCGATTGGGGATCGTCTGTGTGGATTCGTTTTTGGAGCAGCTTCATCCGGCGCATTTGCCCAGTTCGTCATGGTCCATCCCAGCCTCTGTTTTCGAATCCCACCCTCCATGTCGTTTGAGGCCGCCGCCTCCCTTGGACTAGGGCTGATGACGGGAGGATTGATGCTGCAGTCTCTCCACCTCAATCCGCTACGAGCTGCAGAGTCCACGCCTGATCATTGGGTGTTGGTCTATGGCGGCTCAACGGCAACAGGAACCCTCGCCATCCAGCTCCTACGCTATCATGGCTATCGCGTCATCACCACTTGTTCTCCTCGGAATTTTGAACTAGTGCGACGGGTGGGGGCAGTAGCTACGTTTGACTATACCTCCCCCACCTGCAAGGAGGACATTCGGGCTTACACCGGCGGCACTCTCATGCATGTGATGGATTGTATTGCGGATTCACGCGCTACTACAATTTGTTACGGGGCCATCGGCGAAGCAGGCGGGCGGTACTGTGCCTTGAATCAATTTCCTGCGCAATTGCACCGCCGTCGTGCCTCCGTCTCTCCGGAGTGGATCCATAGTGCGACCATCTTCGGAGGCGATGTTCAGCTGGCAGGCTCCTACTACCGGAGAGCGCGACCGGAGGATCGTGAATTTGCCATAGAATGGGCGCGATATTGTACCGAGCTTCTAGCCCAGGGAAAACTACAACCGCATCCACTTCAGGTGCAGCAGGGAGGTCTTGCGCGTGTGGTCGAGGACTTGGTCCTTCTACGCAATCAGCAAATCACGGGCAAGAAGCTGGTATATCCACTGTACTTATTGGGATTTGTACTGAATTCTTTTCTGTTTTTTTGTTATAGATTAGTCAACTTCGTTTTACCAAACAATAATGACATTCACTTGATGCTATTCACTAACAGCTAGATCTAAGCAGCCGGACGAGAGCCCACCCTGTAGAGTAGCTCGTTTCAGATACGAACATCCTCGGGAGCATCAGTCTTCTTGCTACCCTGACCCATGGCCGTAAAAGCCTCCCAGCTCTCGCGGTCAATGTCCACAATTTTGCCCTCATCCACAAAGACCTCCTCCCAGCCCGCGGTGACTGTGGCCCGCTCCTGATCCAGAATATGGTCCTCTCCTGCGACGAGACTCTGGAATTCCGGATCCGTGACGATTGCCTGCAGAGTTTCGGGGTCAGGCACGTACATCGACACGGAAACGTCGTGGTCGTCGACAATCCAACCGGGACGGACAGCCCACGGGATTTTCTCGGTGATCAGACTCTTGGTGATAGGGGGAGTGTACACCTAGCAAGGGAAAGAGTTTTTAGTCAATTGATGAGGGAGAGATATGTAAGCAATAATCGACAGGGCACTTACGTGCGTAATCTTGTAGGCGCCATGTCTTTCCTGGATACGGGCAGCCTTAGGTGCATGCTGTCTGGTTCCGTATTCATGGAAGTCCTTCCAAGAGATACCCTCCTTCTTGTAGCGAAAGGAGGTCAGCTTGAGGACCAATTGCTTCTGGGGAGCCATGTTTTGTTCTAGTATGGGAAGAAGGAGAACGTGACAATTGTAATTTGGAAGAGAGAATGATGTGATGTGTGAAGAATGAAGGGAAGACTGTCATATCAACCTGGGAAAAGACCTGAATTTATATCCGTCATTCCTACTCCGTAGAGTGGCATGACATCCAGTAGCTGATACTATCGAGTGGTAAAACGAATCCGGCTCATGAAGGCAATAATCAGCGTAGTATCCAAACAAAGAATGGCCCGTGCCGGGATCTTCCTTTCAGGCTGAGGCGTTTTTCCTCCGTCAGCCTGTTCACCACCGAGTAAATAGTAGGATCCAACTAATACACACTAACTTTCTAGTTTGCTTACGCTGGACCGCCGGCCCCACTTCACTTGCGTCGCCCCTCAGACCCACTGCTAGATTAAACATACCCCAGTTAGCATACCAACACTTTTAGATTATCACCACGGAAGAGTACTACAATCACATTTGTACCATGCAGCGCAGACACTTCACCTTCCCACTTGGTCTTAGACCGTGTTTATGCAATTTCAACCGCCCCCGGTTCAACCTCGTCGGCAGCTTTGGTGCGGACGGCCGTGGAGATTACGGCGTATCGTCCGGCTCGTCCAATGCCCGCCATTACAATTGACAATGATATCCCGCGCATACTTCTCCTCTCGAGGTATCTGATCTTCTCGAAGAGAAATTGTGGCAGACACAGACTTACCTTTGATTACTTGCTAGTCATCTCGTCTGACGTTTTCGGGGAATATGGCATACCCACAAGCTGAACCGGTGGCCATTATCGGGAGTGCTTGTCGCTTTCCTGGCGCCAATAGTCCCGAGGAGCTCTGGAATTTACTTCTCAGACCTCGCGATCTCAGCAAGAAGATTCCTGAAGACCGATTCAGTGCTGCGGGCTTTTGGAATGCAGTTGGATCGCATCATGGTACTTCTAATGTAACGCATTCATATTTCTTGGAGGGTGATTCGCGACGGTTTGATGCAAACTTCTTCAATATCAATCCCCGGGAAGCAGCATCAATCGACCCTCAACACCGCTTGCTATTAGAAACCGTCTATGAAGCGTTGGAGTCCGCCGGCCTCTCGTTGGAGGCAATGTGCGGCACCAATACCGGGGTCTATGCAGGCTTGATGTGCGCCGACTATCTGGATTTACAGCTGCGGGATCCAGATACTATAGCACAATACCATGCAACGGGTACAGCCCGCAGCATCTTAAGCAATCGGGTATCTTACTTTTTCGACTGGAAGGGCCCTTCGATGACTATCGACACGGCCTGCTCCTCGAGTCTGGTGGCTGTACACTTGGCCGTGCAGGCACTTCGGCATAGCGAGTGCTCAACAGCTATTGCTGCCGGAGCAAACTTGATTTTGGGACCGGAGATGTATATCGCGGAGTCAAATCTACACATGCTATCCCCAACAGGCACATCTCAAATGTGGGATGCCGATGCTAATGGCTACGCACGGGGCGAAGGGATTGGAGTGGTAGTACTGAAGCGGTTGGGAGATGCCTTACGCGCAGGAGATCCGATTGAATGCGTGATTCGAGAGACTGCGGTCAACTCCGATGGACGGACAAATGGAATAACAATGCCCTTGGCCACAAGTCAATCGTCATTGATCCAAGAAACCTACCGCAAAGCAGGACTGAATCCACTCAGTGAGCTTGACCGGCATGTACCCTCATTCCCTAGACCAGGCAGCCTCAACCTTGCTAACCTGTCTCTCAGATGCCAATTCTTTGAGGCTCACGGCACAGGAACCCCAGTGGGAGATCCCCTAGAAGCGGAGGCTATCAAATGTGCTTTCTTTCCCGATCAACATCCTGCATGCGCAGAACCACCAAGGCATCTATTGAATGTCGGCTCCGTTAAGACTGTCATTGGCCACACGGAGGGCGCCGCCGGGATAGCGGGTCTTCTTAAAGCCTCGCTGGCACTTCAGAATGGTGTTGTTCCTCCGAATCTGCATTTCAACCGTCTGAATCCTAAGATTGCTCCATTTTATGCAAACTTGCATGTTCCGACGGTGCCTCTGTCGTGGCCTAAAGTTGAGGTGGCCCGCGCCTCAGTCAATAGCTTTGGATTTGGTGGAACCAATGCACATTGTGTATGTACTTCTACTAAATCACCCAGAAAATATTTCTCTTTTTTTTCTTTTCTTCTTCTTTTTTTTTTTTTTTTTTTTTTTTTTTTTTTTACCGATTTTTCGTTTTTGATTCTTGAACGTTATACACCATCAGTTCATGGAGTGCAACAGCTCCTTCCCATGTGCGGCAGTTCCCTGGCGACGACCGCGCAACATGAATCACCACTTATCTTTCCATTATCGGCGTGTTCACAGCGATCTTTGACTCGCCTGGTGCAAAGATACGCAGCATATATTGCCGCGAACCCATCAGTGGATTTACAAAATGTGGCATTTACAGTACGGAGTCGCTCTGCTCTCTCTGCCAAGCACTGTTTTGTTGCACGATCTAGGGGCTCGTTAATCGAGCAGTTAAGCTCATACACGGCACCCAGCCACAGCATTGGACAGGGGGCACATGCTCAACTCGCAAGAGTTACTGCTGGTGTCCCTCGTGTGCTTGGTATCTTTACCGGCCAGGGCGCGCAGTGGCCAACTATGGGTCGCAATCTCATTCTTCGGTCGCCAGTCTTTGCTGCCACTATTGAACGTCTGGATATCGTGCTTGGACGGGTTCCAAACCCGCCAGACTGGTGTCTCCGCGACGAATTGCTTGCAGATGCGGGTTCATCGCGTTGCTCTGATTCTGAATTCTCTCAGCCTCTTTGTACGGCAGTTCAGATTGCCTTGGTTGACTTACTTCACAGTGTGGGTGTTCGGTTCAACGTGGTTGTGGGACATAGCAGTGGGGAAATTGCTGCCGTAAGTATACGCAAATCCAAGCTGCTTTCAATCATCAATTTTCTCACAACCTGTCTACAGGCCTATACCGTGGGATGTCTCTCAGCTGAGGAGGCGATTACAGTGGCTTACTACCGCGGGTACTACTCGCACCGAGCCTCTTCAACAACTGGGGCTAAGCTCTCAATGATGGCCGCTGGAATCGGGTTTGCGGAAGCCCTGCGCATGTGTGACCGTGCTGAGTATAAAGGAAAGATTTTCCCCGCAGCCAGCAATGCGCCATTCTCAACCACAATCAGTGGTGACGAAAAGTCACTTCATCAAGCTCTGTCGGAATTGGCCAGTCAGGAGAGGTTTGCACGCATGCTACGGGTCGACAAAGCGTATCATACGCCTTATATGCGTCCCTGCGCACTGCCCTACTTGAATTCCTTGCATCAATCCAACGTTCAGGGTCGGATTGGGGATCCTTCATGCACATGGATATCTTCAGTACATGGCTTTGAGATGGATATGAGCTCTGACCCGGTGAACAGTGACTACTGGGTAGAAAACCTTCTCCAGCCTGTCCTTTTCTCTGAAGCCCTGGGCCAAGCTATTCGAGATCATGGCCCCTTCTCACTTGCTCTAGAGGTCGGTCCGCATCCTGCTTTGAAGGGGCCGACCGGACAGAACTTCAAGGCCTTGGGTCACAATGAGATTCCTTATCACGGCTCACTCACTAGAGGTGAAGATGACACACTCGCTCTCGGCCAGTGTCTGGCTAGTGTGTGGGCAGCACTCGGCCCCTCTGCGGTCAACCTGTCCAAACTGGCATCTTCCTTGGGCGGCGAGGCTGCCTCTCGACCGCTCAGGATCATGAAGTCTCTGCCCACATACCCGTGGGATCACGAAACAATACACTGGAGGGAGTCTCGCCGGTCAAAACAGTACTGTAGCCGTCCGGCTCCCCACGAGCTGCTTGGTGCATGCACCGAACGGTCCGAAGGCCAAATCTGCTGGCGCAACATATTCCATGTCCATGAAATCTCGTGGCTGCGGGATCACAAAGTGCACGGGGAAGTTGTCTTCCCCGCCGCGGGTTACTGTGTGATGGCCATAGAAGCGGCAATGGCATTTTTGACCCAACCGATTCGTCTCATTGAGCTACAGCAGCTTGTTATCCACCGGGGAGTCCGTATCGAAGATAATTCCATTGGCACCGAGATGATTTCCACTCTGTCACTGGCCCCTACAGGGAACGATAGCAGGTCCTCTCCAGACCTGTCCACTGCCGCCTTTAATTTCTCTCTCACCGCGGGAAAGGCAGATGGTACGGAGCAATTCAGCATTCGATTTGAAACTAAGATCTCGGTCACATTGGGCAATCCCCATATCGCCACGCTCCCTGCGTCCCAGCGAAACTCAGCAGAGTGGCCCGCTGCCGATGTTGACAGGTTCTATCTGTCCATGCAGGAGATTGGTTTGGAGTATACTGGCGTCTTCCGCTCAATGACGAGCTGTGAACGCAGGTGGAAGCAAGCTTCCGCTCGTATAGCACCGATCCCCAGCTCCATGATCATACACCCGGGATTCCTGGATACCACTTTTCAAACGCTCTTTATAGGAATGGCAGCGCCAGGGGATGAGTAAGTATTATTACTTGTTGAAGTCAACATGAGAGTCATTGACATTCGTTTAGGAGCCTTCGGACTACTTATCTGCCAACGAAGATACAGTCTATCCGGGTCAATCCCGCAATATTGGAAGATGGTAGTCCTGTTGAGATGCCATATCATATTGACACAACTATTACAGACCTTCATTGCCCAACTCAGGAAAGTCAGGCATCCTTCACTGGAGACGTTGACGTGTACAGTGATGGAAACTGCGTAATTCAGGTCGAAGGGCTCGCATGCGTGGCCCTTGGGTCGCTGACAAAGGCTGACGACCGCAACATGTTCCACACGACCACCTGGGAGCTAGATATTCTATGCGGAATGTCGGCATCCCGGGTGTCTCCTGAGTCAGAGTATCTTGCGTTACTGGAGGAGTACGAGAGCATAGCCCGTCAGTACGTTGAAGGACGGTGCGTCTCCAGTTCCACGTTGTCCAGCCCGACGTCGCCTGGTGAACAATTGATAGAATCACTGCATGCGGGAAGAAACAACCATCATACCAATGGGATCGAAAACCGGTCTCACTCACGAGACTATTGGCAGTCAGGCGTTGGCCCTCAACGCATCCGCAAATATCTAGCGCAGACTGCCAAGCAGATCGCCCATAAACACCCTCGGATGACAATCATGCAACTGATTCACGTCAGTGATGATGAGGGATCCGCTGTTCGGATGATACTCGATTCATTGGAAGATTCTTTCGCGTCGTATGTGGTTACAGGCCTGTCCGAAGATGTGTTGAGGCATGCGCAGGCCTGCGTAGCCAACCCCGATGAGCGGGTGCGATTCGACGTCTTCGATATATTCCAGCGCAGTCTCAATGGAGACAGTGAACAGGGCTTTGACCTCGTGATTGCGAACTTTGGTCAGTCACCTGAATCAGACAAGGCTCACCAGGTGCTGAATAGTGTCCGACAATTATTGAGACCGGGCGGATATGTCCTCCTTCAAGCTGTTACTGGAACGGGTCTATTTCCCGGCCTGATCCTTGATAACCTTGTGGGGCATAGCTCGGGGCCGATGGCTAGGAATGAGGCAACGTGGGAGAAGACGCTGAGAAATCTCGGATATTCTGGCATTCAATCAATAGTATATGATTCAGGAATGGCCCACCCTCACTGCCATTCCCTGATCCTGTCGCAAGCCGTGACGCCCTCCTTGAGCCAGATCCTACGACCATCAATCGCACTCGACTCGCTTTCTTCGGAAGAAAAGATACTAATAATTGGTGGCGAGACAGCACTCGGTTCGCGTGTAGTACGCGAGCTTCAACCTCTTCTTAGGTCATGGAAGAACTCTATACTCATTCTTCCTTCTTTAACTGATATTGCTTCCTTCGACTCGCATGTTGCGAAACATGTCTTATGTCTGGCCGACTTTGAAGCTCCCATCTTTCGAGACTTCAGCCCCTTACACTTCGATGCCCTTCAGAAGCTGTTTCAACAGCCCCGGAACGTATTTTTGGTGACAAGGGGTTTCAAGCAAGGTGATCCCTATAGCTCCATGACTGTTGGACTTGCCCGCGTTCTCCGTACTGAGCTGCCTTCATCGAATGTGGTCCTGTTGGATGTGGATCGAGACGACAATCTGGATACCGCCCAGCTTGCCACACTGTTTGGCCAATTCATAAGCGGAATTCAGCTACAGTCAGACGACACGCAGACCCTTTTAAAGCAAGAGCTAGAGATGGCACTGGAAAACGGCGGTCTTTACATCCCTCGAATCAAGCATGCAAAAGATATGAATGAACGATTTAATTCCGCGTTTCGACAAATCCCGGCGACTCATCAACCTCAGCTCACTGCACAGCTCAACGTCCCATTCGAGAAGCCAGTACCTATTCGAGTCCTTTGCCGCTCTTCCAGTGCCTTGATGGTTGACGACGATGCATCTTACTTTCTCTGCTTGGGGAAGGCGCGGTTGGGCAACTTGGAGCAGTTTGTACTCGCGTTTACACCCTCTGCGGATGATCTGGTCTTCCTTGAGGAACCGTCTCTTCTCCAATGCAATATTGATAAAGGTATGGCCCCAAAAGTACTACCTGCAGTAATCGGTTTCTATATTTCCGCGCGCATACAAAAATTTGCCTCAAGTGGCAGAACTGTTATCTTCACCAACGAACCCTTGTTGGCCCGAGCTCTCGTTTCGACTGTGGAGGAAACAAAGCACATATCTATAACCCTCGCTACTTCGAACCTATCGATCGCACTGTGGCACGAATCTATAGCCTACTGGCATCCATACACTGCCACACGGAACATCAAGCATCTTCTTCCACCTGACATAGATCTCTTCATCAACCTAGAAAACGAGCCAAACTCACTGTGCGATCGTGTCCTCAATGCACTGTCGTCAAAATGTACCATACGCGGAAGAGAACATTTCTTCTCTGCGCATGCAAGGCAACCTCAAAGTGGGTTAAGCAGAAGCTACAAAGAGTACTTGCAATTTCTATGGAGTCAGTACAACGTACACGCAAACTCTCTACCACCCGCGACTGAAATCGAGTCACTCGGGGCCACCGAAGTTTGTGCAATCGAGCAGTATCGATCGGAGACGCTAGTTCGACGCCTAGATGCCCGAGCATTCTTCCGCGATGATGCCACATACTTCTTGGTCGGCATGACAGGTGAACTGGGTCACTCCTTGGCGCGTTGGATGGTCGCGCACGGGGTGCGCTACCTCGCAATCGCCAGTCGATCCCCCAAACCTGCGAGATGGTATCAAGGGCTTGAGGCGCAGGGGTGTCAAGTATTGGTCCTGAGCCTCGATGTCTGTGACCGTGAAGATTTGCAGCGCGTTCATGCGCAGATTCATCGAGCGATGCCACCAATCGCCGGCATTGTGAACGGAGCCATGGTGCTCGCCGATGGTGCGTTCGTGAACATGTCCTACGAAGATTTTGTTCGGGTCTTGGAACCAAAAGTGAAGGGGACAGAGAACCTGGATCAGCTATACAGTCAGCCAGGCTTGGACTTCTTCATTCTCTTGTCTAGTACTGCCACCCTGATTGGCAATTCGGGACAAAGTAACTACTCAGTAGCCAATATGGTATGTGTCTGACCTCTACCACCGTGTCTTTGCTATAAAACAAATTCTCACTCTATCCTAGTATATGCAAGGGGTTGCAAGGCGACGACAGCAGCGGGGACTGGCGGGGTCGTGTGTTGATATTGGCATGGTCCTGGGTCTCGGTGTGGTGACTCGTAACGTGACTCATGAGAAGACCCTACGCAAGGCTGGTCTGCTCGCGATTTCGGAGACGGACTTCCACTGCATCTTCGCAGAAGCTATGCGCGTAGGATGGGAAGGTGTCATGGACTCACCATGTTTCTCAACTGGCCTGCATGTTCCCCCGGGGCAATCGAGGCCGCAGTGGTACGATGACCCGCGATTTGCGCACTTTCATGTAATGGAAGATCTGCATTCGAAGTCGCAGCACCGAGCAAGAACTCAACTCCTCCAAGATCGCCTCAGAAACCCTGTCGAAATGGCCGTTGCCGAATCTTGGATTCAGGAAGCGTTCATTACAATGCTGCAAAAACTTCTGCAGTTGCCTTGTCCAATCACCAATATCACGCAACCCTTGACCCAGTTGGGAATTGATTCCTTACTCAGCACAGAGATCAAAGGGTGGTTTTATAAGGAGCTGAATTTTCACGTTTCGGTTCTGAAGCTTCTGGGAGGTATTTCTATCATCGAAAGTAAGCCTCTCCCTATTCCGGACCCGTATGAATGAGTCCTGACGTGTTCCCTTAGTATGTCGAGAAGCAACGGAATGTTTTTTCCAGGCCGAGTCCTCATACATGAACGCGAGCTATGAGCCAGAGGCTGTAGTAACCAACCCAGCGCGTAATAGTGAGCAGATTCAGGAGGAGACAGAATCTTATGCCGATCAAAGTGAAAGTTCTAGCTCGGATCAGGGGACGTCTCGGGCGAGTCAATTCACACCTGCCAGTACCCTAGATTTCACCCCTCAGGCAGTGGATGACCCCCAGAGCTCGAGTACACTCTCTTTGAGAAACCTGCTCCCATTGTCTGTGGAGCAGGAAAAGATGTACTTCATGCTGGCCACCGTGGATGATCCGACCATGTATAATTGCACCATCCAGTACGAGCTGCATGGCGATCTGGATATGGAACGCTTTAAAATCGCGGTCATTCACGTCGCGCAGAGGCATGAATCACTCCGAACAGCGTTTGTCACTCAAGCTGCCGATGGCATGCCTCGGCGAGCAATTTTAGAAAGTTCGCAAATCGGCTGGTGGGAGCGGACTAGCGGTGATCCTCTGGAAGCATCCCTTGAGATTTCCCGGGTCCACAGTCACGAGTACGACCTGGCCAAAGGGCAGAGTATGGTAATCTCTATTTTACACACCAGTCTTCAGCATCATATCATGACATTTGGCTACCACCATCTAATCATGGACGGAGTCAGTTGGCAACTATTACTACGCGAATTTGCTGCCGCCTATCAAGATCCGGATCTGCTGGCCCCCGTCATCTCGCAGTACAGTGCATTCTGTGACGAAGCACTTATGAGAGCCGCTTCAAGGAACGACGCCCTTGAACGTTCAAGGCTTCTTGAAACAGCATCGCCTCTTCCTTTATTCCCTTTTGCCCGGGTGAGCTTCCGCCAGGTTCACACCTGCTATGAGACGATTCAGGTGAGTTCACAGCTGGATGCAGGCACATCTGCCAAAGTCAAAGCTGTGAGCTCCCGTGCTGGTGCTACATCCTTCCATTTTCATGTCGCTGCCATTCAATTGTTAATACAGAAAGTTCTCGATATCGACAAGTTTATAATGGGGATAACCAATGCCAACCGAGACAACCCTCGCTTCGAAAAGGTAATTGGACATATGGTTGAGGTTGTGCCTTTGCGCTGTGAGCCACAGAGCAGTTGTACGTTCACAGACCTGCTGCAGGATACTCGAGCTCGAGTCTTAGCAGCACTGGCTTCTCCCAGCGCATCACAAAAGCCAACGTCCGCTGAGCAGATGCACACCACGGAATGCAATGTGGCAGTGAACTATATCGCCAAATTCACCCAGGATATCCGTTTTGACCAATCCACTCTAAGATATTTGACCTCACAGCTCGCTCGACAACCCTATGACTTGGTATTCACGATCCGTGAGAATGAAGATGGAACAATGCTACTCAACTTTGAAGCCCAAGAGTATCTCTATTATGAGAAAGACATTCGTATTTTAATGTCGCTGTACGCACAGCTGGCTGAGGCCTTTTCCATGGGGACAGACTCTCGTCTCGAGTCCTATGAATGCATTGCAGCTTCTGGGATGCCTTCTCTTCATCTGCAACAAGGGCCCGTGTTGGACCATCCTTGGTCGGGATGCCTGACCAAGCGCATCAGGAAAACGATAACTACATACCCGGCGGATCTAGCCATCAAAGATGGCTCCGGGATGCGTCTTACGTATGAGACCATGCACTCCCGAAGTCTCTCAATCATGCAAATTCTGCTGGAAGCAGGGGTCAGCTTTGGTACGCCAGTAGCAGTAGCCTGTGGACCTTCGGTGGATACCGTGTGCACCCTCCTGGCTATTTGGTGGATTGGTGCAATTTATATGCCGGTGGATTTGATGCAGGGGCATCAGCGCCTAGCTCATATCATCGACGCCAGCCGACCCGCGGCCATTGTGTGCAAGGGTCCACTCGGTCAGCTCGAAACCTCGCATATCGCCCCGGTCATTCAACTCCCCCAGGTCCTCCAACCCACCACTCTTGGCCATCAGGACTATGCAGATGAAAACTCGCCAGCCGCCTTGCTCCACACTAGTGGTTCGACTGGGGTGCCCAAGGGTGTTCTTCTAAGCCATCGGAATCTTCGATGCCACTTCAATGCCACGGAGCAAGCATTCCCGATTGGCCGGCAAGTGGTTTTACAACATAGTTCGCATAGCTTTGATGCCGGGCTTTTCCAAATTCTGTTGGCCCTCCTGCACGGTGGGACATTGGTCATCACCAACAACCTTAAAGAGCCCGGTCAGCTAGCTGAACTCATGCTTCGCGAACATGTTTCCGTGGTCACAGCAGTACCCTCTGAATATGCCCTCTGGATTGGCGAGGCTGGTGAATTGCTGAGCGAGCTTGGCTCCTGGCGATTTGCATTCTGCGTTGGAGAGAAGCTGAGCAGGGCCACCATTCAGGCGTTTGTTAGCCTTGGGCTTCCGGACCTGACCTTGATTAACGCATACGGCCCATGTGAGACAACTATGGCTTGCACAATGGGGGTGATAGATTACGAACGCGTCGATGGGGATTCCCAGAGTGTCTCTATCGGGGAACCGCTGTCATCATATGGGATTGCGATTCTAAATCCGCAGTTAAAGTCCGTTCCACAAGGGTGGCCGGGTGAGATTTGCATTGCCGGTGCTGCCGTTGCTCTCGGGTATTTGGACGTTAAGGACGAAGAGGGTCGCTTCGTCGAACTAGATGGCGTTCGACTTTATCGGACTGGAGACCGTGGCCGACTGCGAGAGGATGGATCACTCGAATACCTTGGGAGAGTTGATGGAGATTCGCAATTAAAACTGCGAGGTATTCGATTGGAATTGGACGAGATTTCCAATGCTCTCCTCCAAGCGTCGGCGGGGGCATTGGTCGACGCAGCAACCATTGCCAAGGGTGATCCAGATGACCTATATCTGGTCAGCTTCGTAGTTCTATCTCGCGCAGTAGAGATAGAGGATAACATTGACCTTTTTATTAAGCAGTTACTAGATACTGTGGCGCTACCTCCACACGCAAAACCGGCCCTAGTCAGTATCGTGACTAGGATTCCTCTGACTTCGAGTGGCAAGGTGGACAGAAAAGCCCTAGGTCGGCTTCTCGTCGGTCAATCCGGGTCTCCGTCGGAACAGCCAGTGCTCGAGATTATCGAACAGAAGCTGCTAGAGATGTGGAAAGAGTATCTGCCCTCAACTGGGCTACCAATCACTCGAGAAACTAGTTTCTTCGAGCTGGGGGGCAATTCACTACGGCTTTTAAAGCTTCAGGCACGAATCCGGCGCGTGACCGGTATCAGCATACCGATCACTGAGTTGTTCCAGTCGTCCACATTGGGGGAAATGGCTCGGTTGGCTGGAACGGTGGTCACCAGGATCAGAGCCTCCTCGAAAGCGATTGACTGGGACTCTGAGACAGCAATTCCTGACTACCTGGATCAGATCAAGCCTCTTCCCACGCAGCCAAATGGAGCTGTTCGGGAGGTGCTTCTGACGGGTGCCACAGGATATTACGGAAGGGCAATTTTGGAGGCGTTGGTAGAGATTCCGTCTGTGGCTCGCATTCATTGCATTGCCATACGGCCTGCTCCCGACGGTTCCCCGCGTCAAGAACTGCCCGTCAAGTCCTCGAAGATTTGTCTCTACAGTGGCGATCTATCGGACCCAACATGTGGGCTCAATGCTGTGGATATCGACAAACTGACACGCACCGTGGACTGTGTCATTCACAATGGGGCAGATGTTTCCTTCGTCAAACCCTATGCTGCTCTACGAAAGGCTAATGTCCTGTCAACCAAGTACTTGTTCTCTCTCTGTCTCGCGTGCCGCATCCCTTTTCATTATATTTCCACGGCCAGTGTGACCAGCCTTTCGGAGCGTGATACGTTTTCCGCCGCATCAGTGGCGGGATTTCCCCCGCCATCATTCAACAATGATGGTCACAACCCGTTGGTGTCGGGCTACGTAGCTAGCAAATGGGCCAGCGAGGTATTCCTCGAGCGAGCCTGTGCCCGGTTCTCGGATCTCATGCCAGATGTGCACATCTATCGTCCCACTAGTATCACCACCGCCAGCAGCCCCCATGAATCACCGTCCGATGCTTCTGCGGGGAATACGAATATCATCGGCGCAATCTTGGATGTGAGTCGATTCCTGCACGCAGTGCCTGATACTCGAGATTGGAGAGGTTATATCGACCTGATCAGTTTGAACGGTGCTGTCGAATCCTTAGTCCGGAACATCACCACCACTCGTTCCACGGCCTTACCGTCAGCTCTCAATGAGAAATCGAAGGAGAATGACGGCTTCTCTTGCCAAATTCGCTACATGAATGTCTGCGGTGAGACACGCTTCAAGGCTAGTGAGCTCAGGGAATTCATGGAAGCGTCCGATCAAGCAGCTTATCTACAACTACCATGGGGAGTTTGGCTGGAGAAGGCCCGGGCAGGCGAGGTGATTGATGCTGGGGTTGCTGATTTTCTAGGTGAGTGGGAAGCTGCTACTGCTGCCGACTACTGGAAAACATCGCCCTCTTCTGCGCGGTCTCCATTCTTGCTACCTTGGTTGGAGTAAAACAGAACAGAATATGGGTCAAAAGGGACACCCATCAGTGGCTTGCGTGATGCAGAACGGTGTAATTGTTTGCATCTATGTATGTACTTGAAGGATTGATACCAATCATAAAACCAACTTATAAGATTCTTCAATGAAACGTTTGCGTCGGATCTTTGTACATATTGGAATTCTAATGCTGTTATGATGGTTCGGCTTCCTTATCACAGCTGAAGGGAAAGGATGCCATGTCCCGTTACTCTCCTTCTCAATATCATGTATGTACTTCAATTGTTCGATACTACTTATTTTGTAGTACTTATGTTAGGTGGTTGTGAATTATAAGTGGCCATGTATGTACTTGTTGTATCTGCTTCTTTGTGCATTATATGTATGAATGGTATGTACATCAATTCTTTCTCTCTCTCCTGAGAGAAATATGTATAAAAGCCGGTGTTGAATATTCTACTACTCCGGGCGTCTTTCAGCCAGGTGTAATGTAGGATCGATCATGTCTTCGACTGTAGGATTTTCGTGTCGTTCATTGTTCTGTGTATCAGCCCGATATGCGCATCCCCCTTTATCAATTGTGTAAATAGGTAGGTAGTGATATTATGCATTCACCGATGACGGCCCGGAAACGGATTACTGTTAGACGGTTCATCTGCACACAAACCCGACATGATTAGTAACCGTAGAAGAACCAAACAAAACCCCCAATGGTGGGAAGACGTGTGATACACATACACGGCATCCAGCACAAAAAGTAATAAGTGGCGGAGAAGAATGACAGGATGGCGAACGCGACATAACATGCCGCGTAGAGCGTCACCACCCTTGACCTTAGTCGTCCATTACTATTAATGCTATTATCACCACTAGCATTGCTCAGAATCTCCGTGTCATCGTCATCATCATCATCATCGTCGTGTTGCCTATACCCCCGGTAGGGCTGACATTTCTCAATATCGGGAGGGCGATTAGTTGGACTGCTGCTGCTGCTGCTGCTATTGTTGCTGTAGCGGTGGTTGTAGTTGTACTTGTGCACCGTAGTATTTTCCGAGTCAATGGAATCTTCTTCTTCGCTGAGTCGCAGTGGATTAAGTGTCAGCTGATGGTAGTACAATTAATTATACGTAGGTGGGTGGTATAGGGATGTAGTAGTAGTAGTAATGCTATTGGGTACATTCCCCCGTATGCAGGGTCGGGATGGATTGGCTACCAATCAATCCCTGCATAGCGGAAATGACAATCTTGGGGTAAAAGTGATTGGGTTGAATTGATTGGAGTAGTAAAGCAGATAAGCGCACCAGATAAATCTTCTGAGTGGCTAATCAGAAACAAAAAAAAAAAAAAAAGTAAAATAAAATGAAAGTAAGACTTAAGCTGACTGACTGACCTTGGCCTCTTCAGGGGAATTGGTATGTGGCCGTTCTGCATGCGACTCATCTCACCAAAACAACCACGTAAATCGTAGGCGTCAGTCAGCTCGGAATAAGGTTCAAGACCGGCGTATCCTTGTGATGATGACTGGAGCTGAGGAAAGGGGACAACATTTCGGAGCTGGGAATAGTAGTAATAATAATAATAATTCTGAATTTCATTGCGCAAGCTATTATTTACCCGTAGCCCCTGTAAATCCGTAGCGATGCGGGCGTTTCAGTCTAGGCTCGTTAGTGAATTGGTTAGTGAGTTTGTTCACTTGAGGGCGGTGATGAGTCAGCTGTTCATTGGACGGGGCATAAATTGGGTTTTATGTATCATTTAAGGGGGTCAGGAGATGGGATGATGATGATGATGATGGGTGGTGGTGTGGTTCAGTTGGTCAGTGAGTGGACGGGAAGGAGATTTCTTCATTGCTATTTACAGATATGGATCATCCCAGAAGGCTGAAGAACTTGTTTTTTTGCAACTGCCACTCATCTTAGCCGATGTAACAACTTGGCCAGCAGAAAGCACTTAGATGTCATGCAACCCCCCTGGCGAGCGTATGTGCCACGAGTGTCAAAACCAACCTACATGCTACATTCCATGTGTCGGTTGAACCCCCTTCATGCTGAGGAACTGCCTTATTCTCCGGGCGACAGCTCGGTTGAAACCTTATGGCAGTTTGGCTCACGGTTTAACCATGGTTGAACCACGGAGTAGCAACACCCCTGGTGTGTCACTCAACAGGGGTTCCCAGAATGCTGAAAACGGCCACTGCCCTACATCCCTGGCTAGGTCGGGATTGAACTCGGTACTTTTACAATGCATGGAAAGGGAAAGAGCCATGCAGGAATGAGCAGGTCATTCCAAGATTGCAAGTCAAAAGGGAAAAGAATAAAAGCATACATTTCTACGATACCCGGACAGAATCCGCTGGTACGGATCACGGCAGTAATTGAAGTGTTACCAATGAGAAATCGCAGGACTCGTAATAAGGCTCCATTTACCGAGTCCCCAACAGGCAATTAGCAGCAACGGCAAGGTCCACCACGGTGGTACCTGCAGATACCGTGCTCGAATAAGGTACTGATAGTCGAATGGAACCTGATGGCTTCCTTGACGCTTCGGGAGGGCACCTTGACTTGACAGCTTGACGGACAGCTTTGGCCAATGACCGCAAGGGTGGAGGCTTTCACAAGATTGCCTTAACACGGGTCATGGTTGGAAGTTATCCACTTGGCCAAACGGCTAATTCTCGCCCGAGGTTCGGGATCGCGAAATCTTTCCTGTCTTGTTCCTGGCCGATATGTGTGCGTATGGGAGAGAGAGAGAGAGAGAGCATTGCAGCCCAAGCAACGTTAGGCGATCCTGAATAGAAGCCCCAATGCGAAAAGTAGGCTCAAGTAAGTTTCGTACTAGTCAACTTTGTGCTATTTAGCAAAGTTGCCAAGCTGAATTCTATGCACCGCATTGGTATCACCATTCTCCCCCCGGCATGTGACATGTCTGCCCAGAGTCAAGTTCGCTTCAAAGTACCGACCCCTAGTGCAGCCTAGCTGCCAAGCAAGATGGGCCGCAATTTAAAAGTATTTTGAATGAGGACCGACAATCATCATTATTGGGTGCTTATGGGAGTTCCCGATTGGCGATGAATGAAGATCGCCATGCCCACTGGCATGAATAAAAAAGGACTCGGGAGTGCAACAGGGACTTCAATTACTTACTTATGACTGGATCGCCCATTAATCAACGCCAAAGTGGTTAGTTGACTATTTTCGGAAGGAGCTCTTCCCTGTTGGGATCCAAAGCCGGCCGTTAGAACTTTAGAAAAGAGGAGAAAAGCGGCAAGACCCCGGCCTGCATTTCCCCCGGAATAGAAACCACGCGGTATTCCGGCCACAACCCTGACGAGACCGCTGAGGAATTGGCCAATGACATGGGGTGGTTGCGGTCATTGGAAGATACAATTGCCTAAGTAATAAGGTAAGGTTCCTGTAACCTGCGGATGCATTGCCGTTACGGAGTATCCAGTATTACCGAGCGATTTCCCATGCAGTTTCCAGGACCCCCAATCCAGCCGGTGGAGTGGAGTCATATATACGAACGGTAAGAGAGGCCAAAAAGGTAGGGGCCGGAGGAGGGGAAAAGGGAAAGAAAAAGGGGGGGGGGGGGGGGGGTTCAAACTGCAGAAGGATTGTTATGGGCAAAGGCTTGTTTGGCGTTTGCCCGTGGCAGCCCATTCACTAGAGATGCTTCAACTAAATTTAGGGTCTGAAGGATGGGTGCAACATTCAACTATTGCATCCCATAAAAGTTGGGCTATCTGTGTGCGGGTCAAATAGACACTTAATTCTGTAGAGTACTTTCCGGCTGGCAGGCAACTAACTGTCTCCGTCAAAAAGTTTGCCCTGGTCTATGCGCAAAGCCTTTTCTTTTTGGCTTTCTGTCTTTCTGTTTCTGGCCATGCAAGGGGGTCGCAGTGCACCGTGACCAAGTCAATGGCATGGAAGGAGTTCAATGCGTCCTGTCAGGACTCCGCTTTGGTTGTGGGGTCGATGGGCGGCACTCGAAACTGGTGAAACAGACTAAGAATCCCACAGAGGACGAGGGGGTGAAGCACGTGGTTGGGGCGCGCAACCAGTCGTATTTGCTGCGTATCGTATCTACCCAGTATGTATCGTTACTCTTCGTGTGTATTACACAGAGATGGTATCATCTGCCTGTTATCTGTTGTGGGTAAGCCTGAAGACAACACTCGGAGTATCTTCCACAAGATAACATGGTCCATCATCAGACTCATTCGATAGAAATAGAACGGATGTGGATGGCCATCCTTGCTGTAGATCTCTTCTAAAAGTAAAAAACATCCCAAGACACCGACAGAGCCTAGACCCAAGTTAGCGATGGGCTAAGGTTTGTTTGCCATTGTCTATAATCAATAATAATTTTGAGAGGGGTGCTTCAACCACCCTAGCGGCTCTCTCTGGCCCTAAATGAGGCAGCTTATTGCCCGAACCATGGTACTCATCCCGCGAACCATCCCGCGGGAAGCCTGTCTTGCACGTACCGAGTTAAGGTCTAACGACTAAGGTATGGCCATGACTCCCAGGGACACTCGTGGAACATGATCAGATCAAGAGAATGTGCGCACCCCTATTCGCATGTCAGGTGCACAACGGCGAAAGGGAATACGTCCAGCTTCGTTTCATCTGTTCGGGGTTCGGAGGAAATCCAAATGCAGAAGGATTTTCGAGTTCCACTCCGACATACTTCTCGAAGGAGATAAAGAATGCGACTCGGGACGAGCTGCTCTGAGATTGGATGGAGACTGTTATTTTCTTTTTCTGCGTCCGCCTCTCAGTCCTGTGGGTAGGTATGCAGGCTTCTCCTGCATTCGAGGACGAATCTTGGATAGCGCCGATGACCAGCATATGATAGATCTCATGGGGAAAGACGAAAAAGCAAACATCCACACATAAATGCGTCTGCTAGACTAGACTGTGCTCGCCACTTCCGCTACAGCTGTTCGCTTGGAGGGTGTTTTCCTGTGGCTAAGGCTAAGCGCCCATCTCACCTCCACTGATTGACGCGACGGCAGACTGACGGACTGCTGATTAAAGCTACCCCTGCCTTAGTGGCCCGACGGCGTGTTGGCCGGCGGGCAAGACGAGTCCGGAAACCCGGAAGAAGCGAAAGTGTCTCCACATTCCCATTCTCCAAGAAGAAGGGAAAAAAAGAAAAAAGTAATGCAGTGCGAGCACCTTTCCACGGCGATTTCTGGACCTCGAGCCTCGGGTGGTCAATGAACGATACGATCTCCCGAATCATGACAGATCATGATATCGTAAATAGAGTTTCACATGGCATGGTCCTACCCCTACATAGGTACGTTTCGCATTGATCCGACCGTGATGAGATCATGGGGGATCTTGATGGTGACCACAGAACCACAGAAGCAATCATGCAACTATCGCTCAATAATTAGACAACCATTGCAAAGGCCTACTTTTCCAACACTTGGAAGGAAATCGCATAGCTGTGGAGCCAAGTTTCTGCTAGAACTCAGCCGCAGACTCATGACAAACCAACGGAAGATACCGAAATTGTCGCGGGTGAGTTTGAAAAGAAGCCACTTGCGTAGATAAGGTTCTACAGTAAGCTTAGGCAGGTTCGAATGCTCAGCCCTCTATTTCCCTTTGTTTGTGATGCATCGCAGAGAATGACGATGATTTATGAGAACCCGAGGCACTAGTTCAACTCAATTTCCCGAATCTTTCCTTGGTCCAAGAGCGATGTACAGTCAGTGTTTTCTATAGACCGACGGATCAAAGACCCGGGAGCTCGAACATCGATAACACTATCAATAGTTCCTCTACCCTCTGATCTAACAAATAATAGTAGACAATTCGATCGAGATGGGATTTGCAGGCTTCATTCGGACCTCGTACTTCGTACCAAACCAATGTCCATGGAAGCAGATACTACTCGTCGATCGGTGCATACCAATGCATCCGATTCGCGCCTCGTGGCGTCGTCGTTCGCTTGCATGGCTTGGCAGTCGCAGAAGGGCACCGGTGGGAACATGACTCGGGGGTCTCATTCGCCCCAGAGCTAGAGACATCACAAGGATGCATAGCGCAAAGTACAAAGCACTGGAACTGATGCTGATGTCCAGCGACCGTGAGATTGGGGGCTAAACTAAGTTCCCAATGTTTACGATCCTTGCGGTTGGAAGTGTATTGAGTTCATATAGATTCATATACCCAGATTAAAGGATGGCGGTCGGAACCATATCGATGGGTAAGATAATGTGTGGCACGTGGATGATGGTGGACGTGAGAAGGACATACTTAGTGGGAGCAATGCTGCATTTTTGAGAATAGTAGTCCATCTTCCATCCAGATTAATTAGGAATTAATTTCACGAAGACCCAGGGAGGAAGGATCTATGGTCAATCCATTGTTCATGGGCCCGAAGGTCAACGGAGAGGCCGGAACCTGACTCGAACAAGTACGTTATCCCTACTAATTAATAGTCAACTGCTTGGATATTTCCCCAGCTGGACAGGTGTTGTTGGTGCTGCAGAGAATGATTGAGGATACGGAGAACTCCGTACCAAACCACGTATATACTTGGTAATGACGTCGTCCGGTATTATAACGTGTTGTGCCACCCGTAAGTCGCAAGATTCTTACTTACTACTTACTTAGCTGACGGGCGGTAAAAAGAGCACTGGACCTTAAATGACTCCATTTCCAATCGGCTCGAACCAGGCTAAGAGCGGACGAAGAATGAATGGAGCCATTCATCCGGGGTGGGCCAGCATTGTTTGTCCACAGCCAGTGAGATAAGGGCCAGCCCGTCTACTTTGTACCAGGAAGCTCCCAGCCGGGATGCTATCACGGACTAAACAACACTAAGAAGCCAAGGGCTTACGGCTAAGGCCCTTAGGGGACGGTAGCCACAGCCGGCTAGTCCCTTTCTAGATTCCCAGAACGGGGCCCAATGCGACGCCGGAAATCTTTCACACGGTTTTCACGGTAATACAGGCCCCCCTCCCCGGGGTGTCAGGGCCACTCACAGCCGAAGGTCCCCAGCAGGATGACTACGCCGAAGGGGAACTAAGCCGGACTAAACTTACTAGCAGCTCAACTCTGCTGGCTCCGTGGCCCACTTCGATCGGACTTGATGGATTATCGAACGAATTGCGCGACACCTCCGCGACCAACATTCCCACCAGTTACTCCTCCTTCCACTGCTACTGCTAAACTACTACTATTATTATTACCACTACTATAGACCTGCGAGTCTCCCAGACTGTCCTTACTCTCTCCTCTCTCTCCTCCTCTCTTTCTCCCTCGCTCCCTCTCTCTCTTTTTCCCTCTTCCCTCTCTCTTGCTTTGCTTCACGCCCTGGTCTTCCGCTCTTTTGCTTGCTTCGGTTGCGATACGGCGGAGGATGTACTAATCTCGCTCCCCCATTTCTACCTACCTCCCTCCCCATCTTTCCCCTCACCTGAGCGTCTGCGGTCAGCATCTTCGCCCACCACCATTACACGAAAAGGGGAACGCCTCGAGGCTGCGGTCAGCATACCTAGCGAATTCTGCCCCAGCATTTAATTTGGACGACTTCCTCCGTTTACCGACACCTCAATCTTGAAAGTCGTGCGAACTTCCGAAAGCCCTCTCACTTCCGCGATCGACCCCGTCTCACTCGATACCTGTCTAAACCACCACTCAAACCTAGCCTGTCGAGGGAACTTCCGTCGTCACATTCCTTAATTCGATTCCACTTCTCGCGGATATTAGAAAGCCCTGGACAGCTGCGCTGCTCGCCAATCAATTTGGATATCGTTCTCATACAAAGCGGGGGACACTTTGCGACAGTCGTATTGGAACACTCCTTCGACTCCCATCCTATCCAAGCCGTCTTGCTTTGGAATAGAAAATACCGCGACGTACGTACAGTGACCGAGTAACGTTCGACTAGACGTTATTTCAGCTAGCGACATGTTCTAATTTGCGCCATTCGGGCGGGTTTAGTCAAAGATACATTTGTCTGTTCCTCGTGCTTGGTATTACATTCTGCCTTGGGTAAGTTCCGCTAGTTTACTTTGTCGCCTCTTTTTCATTGCTCGAGACCTCGGGTCTCTCTGGTTGACGTTTCACACATGTCTCAAAGAGAGCCTTCCGTTTGGTTAACTGCGGGGTCTGGGCGTATCCCTGATTCAGCCTTAGACTTTACTTGTGCTGCGTCTATTCTTGGTTACTTCGCACAGTATAATCAGCAGAGTACTGACTCACTTCCAGACAACATCGAGAGTCGCTTGGTGAAGTAAAGCACGTCAATCTTCAATATGGGCTGCATGAGTTCAAAACCCGTCGACACGGCGGATAAAGATGCTGTTCAGCGAAGCGCTAGGATAGAAAAGGTTCTGAAGAATGACAAGAAAGTAATGGACCGAACGATCAAGATTCTCCTTCTTGGTAGGTTCTCAGACGAAACAACTCTAATTTGCAGTCATGGAACCGGAGAGTACTGATGCCATTTTCCGTAGGTGCTGGAGAATCGGGCAAATCGACGATCATAAAACAAATGCGAATCATACATTCCGGCGGCTTCCCCGAGGACGAACGACGCCAAACACGAGCTGTCATCTATTCAAATCTTGTTATCGCCTTCAAAGTTCTACTGGATATCATGCGCGCCGAAAACATTGATTTCCAGCTCGAAAAGACAAAGGTAACCTCATCTGCTCGGTTGTCTTGCAATTTTTCCATCGCAAGCGGAGATCGAAGTCTTTCCAGTATGTGTGCTAACTCAGCCCGTTCTTGATCAGCCGTTAGCCGAATATGTAGACAAGCTCGAGCCTGATGTCGGTTCAGACGAGGCATTCTCAGATCTCAAGGTCCGCGATGCCCTCAGAGACATGTGGGACGACACGGGTGTTCAGAAAGCTGTTGCTCGGGGCCACGAGTTTGCTCTTCACGATAACTTGCATTAGTGAGTGCCAGGAACCTTCTTTTTGAGCAAACAGGCAATTCGTCTAACCTTTCAGCTTTTTTGATTCGCTTGATCGAATATTCACTCCTGGGTGGCTTCCCGACAACCAGGACATGTTGCAGGCTCGTTTGCGGACAACCGGAATTACTGAAACTCTCTTTGAACTCGGTCAAATGAACTTCCGAATGATGGACGTCGGTGGACAGCGATCTGAGCGAAAGAAGTGGATTCACTGTTTTGAAGGTGTACAATGCCTTCTATTCATGGTTGCTCTATCTGGTTATGACCAATGTCTCGTGGAGGACCAGAATGCCGTACGTTTTCCCCTGTCACCTTCGTGAAAGCACTTGATCTAACCGTTGTTCCCGAATGTGCAGAACCAAATGCATGAGGCAATGATGCTGTTCGAATCCTTGGTCAATGGCGAATGGTTTAAGCGCAAACCGATCATCTTGTTCTTGAACAAGATCGATCTGTTCAAGGGAAAGCTGCATGTTTCGCCTGTCTCCAACCATTTCCCTGACTACAATGGCTCCAACACGGACTTCGATGCGGCAGCCAGGTACTTTGCAGACCGGTTCCGGGGCATCAACCGGATTCCCGATCGTGAGATCTATATCCATTACACGAATGCTACCGATACGACGTTGTTGAAGGCAACAATGGATTCGGTACAAGACATGATTATTCAAAAGAATCTCCACACCCTCATACTATAAGGTTGTGACCTTTGGAACGATTTGAATTTTTACGAGCGAGTACGAGGCGTCAGCGATGCTCAACTTCCGTTCTTCCCCTGCACACGTCAAGCGGTGAAAGCACGCTTGCTTTTCTTCGACTATTTCTATTCACTTCACTTTATCCCTTCTCTTCCTGTACGTTTCTTTCTCCTTGTGGACTCCTCGTCTCAGCTTTTCATTCCTTTCAAAAGCTTATATGTTTTCTCCGGTTCAGCGACGGGTGCATTTCTTATATAATGCAGATTGATACCATATACCATATGTTGTTTGCGTCCATGTCTGCGCTTTTTGTCACACCTAACGAGCTCTTTTCCATTCTCCTGAGCTGAACCTTTCCGTGCCTTTTACGCCTCCCATGTGCCTTTCCTTTTCTTCTTACCTGTTGACATAATGAGCCCCCACCCACCCTATCATTTGCTCGTGTCACTTCTGGCAGCTCTCACTTGGAGCTGTATCTTCTGTATCCGATCATTCAGGCTCTCATAAGTATAATTGCCCATACTGTAATTGTTCGGCTCAAGTGAGGTGAGCATGGAACGAACAGATACCCAAATCAAAGCCAATATAGTGTCTTAGTTCTTGCAAAATAGTAGTTGTCACCAAAGAATCAGTGGGCTCGGCGGTAGTGCCCGTTTATATCGACGGCGATAGGAAATTATGCAGGCTGATCTTGATCATAGATGTGGACAAAGTCATGTGAAAATACTCTGTAGATAGTTTCCTGCAATTCCAGGTCACCTGATCTCATTTGGTGCCTGAGGCGACAGGTGACTTACATAATCGCCGAGTTCCGCATGATCGGCTCCAACTTCGATTTCGCCTCTTCGTTCCCGACAACATCGTCACCCAGCTTCTGGGCTTTACGACGTCGGAAAATGCTGTCGTCCTCACTGCGCCGGGCTGCATGGGCTCCTATGGGGCCCATCGCCGGTATATCTCGCGCAACCAGCCAAAGTATTACTACCTCCGCGAACGGCCTCATCGGCTCGTCACAACATGTGCGTCAACGCCGATACTCCTCTTCGTCCTCGAAACCCAGCGATGGATCTAATAAAGTCGATTCTTCCTCTCAGACGCCTGCGAAGGGAGTGAATTCTGCAGAGAAACGTGAGGGGAAGGCTTCCAGACGGAGGGGCAAGGATAGCAACGGCCGCAATGGCTCCAAGCAGCCGACGGCTTTTTCCCGACTTCCCAGTGTTCCCTCTACCCAACATCTCCAGCCGCATGGTTAGTCGCCACAATCCTAGTAACTGTGCTTGTATTACTAGACTATGATGCGCTAATCTTCCTCATTTGGTCCAGACGTTCACGTCGCCTCCTTCTTTTCCATTCACCGTCCCATCTCCGTTTCCACCACCGTTCCTCCGACCTCGACCCCCGAAGCGTTCGACGCCATCTTCACCGCAAAGAAGCCGGCCAAGCCTGAGGTGGACGATGTCATCTTCACCCTCTCCTCCGCCGTCAACTCCATGGAGAACTCCGCTGCCCACTCCGGCGAGCAGGAGGGCTCTCTGCAGTACTTCGACATGGAAGGCAACCAGCTGGATGGCATGAACCTTTCCGATCTGAAAGTCTCCGTCGAGGAACTCACGAAGCGTCTCCGTCCCTTCCACCCCCCTCCGCCGCCGGTTCCCTTCGACGAAGCGAAGGACATGGCTTCCTCCGAGTTCGAGGACGTCCCTCGGGAGACCTCCAGCTACTCCACCGTCCTGACCATTCACGAGTCGATACACTCTGATGGTCGCAAGACCTACGAGGCTCACACCGGTCCTTTCGTGCCCTCCGGTGAGATGGAAGCTCCCGGTGCCATTGGAGAGAGCGAGGCCATCATCGATGTCCCCCACAACTCCGGCACCACCTACATGGAGCGTATCCGCAACAACCGCACCATGCACGCCATTAGCACCAAGAGACGTCGCAGACTGAAGATGAAGAAGCACAAGCTGAAGAAGCTGCGCAAGAGGACAAGGACTTTGAGACGGAAGCTTGAGAAGGCTTGATTGATTCTTTCATCATCAGAGACCATTACCATTTGCTGCAGCTATTTTTTCTTTTTGCTACGCTACAATCCGAATAAACCTTCCTCATTTAATCTCCTCGTTTATCTACTTACATACTTACAACCTTACCTCCCCATTTCCTCTGCTTCACAGAGAAGTCATCCTAGACTTACGCATCTGAAGCTTTGCGTTTATTGCTTTGCTCTTCGCATGTATGTGTGTGTGTATTTGGCGGCGGCCACTGATGTGCCTGTCCATATCGCATATATCCTTACGGCGTCGTCTTGAGTTTCTTTGACCTCCTTCTTTCTCTTGGATATTTGGATGTTCATCGCATTTTGTTTCGCTCCATAGACAATACTTTGTATGTTACATATTGCTATCCTATCTATATGCCCTGCTTGCTCTTGTGCAGGTCAGGTGCAATGGTATCTATATTGCTTGACTTTGCTCCGTTGGAAAGGTCTATGTACTGCTTCGGTTCATTTCTAAGACGGTATTTTCCAGATAACAGAATACGAGCAATCTGTTGGGTGCTATAACTTAGTAGTACATTCGCCACTTGGTACATTTATGCTATACCGAAGGACCACATACATGACTTCCTGGGCAGGATAGGTTAGAAAGCTAAGTTTGTACCAAAAGGATCCTTAAAACTAGCAGGAGAAAACATATAAGCATTGCAAAGCAAGTAATCCTATGATCCAGCTCAAGGATACAAAAGAGTAAGCGACTCCCATAAAGTACATAATTTCAAAAGACCTTAAAAAACCATGCAATGTATCTACCACAGCTTCCCACCTTGTCCTAGTCTACAAACTTGGCTAGCACATCCAATTATGTCTTGTCCTTTGTTATTTGGGGGGTGGTTGGATGAAAGAGAAAGCATATGTTATTTAACGTCCGTTTTCTCTTTCCAATCCCCCCAGCAATCCACTTCCCCCCATCCCCTCCAGCTGTCATCGGGACAATGACGGGAACCGTCATTGTCGGCAAATAAAGTCTGAAAACACAAGTCAAAATAACCGCATCACGTTAACAAATGTTGAGCAACCCGGGCTCTTTTCATCATATCCGAGGATATAGGGTGGTTGGCATCCTCGGGCGGGTGTTCACTTGGGCCATTTCGCGCGGAACGAAGGAGGGTTCGTTTAGCAAGTGGCGTCGATCCTCGAACGGGAGTTCATCAGAAGAGCAACGATAAGACCGTACAGACCTGTAGGACATCCTGATTAGATGGGGCAGACCAATTATATCGCTATGATGTTGTGACTCACCCAAGACTTCAGCGAAAATGAGAATCAAAATCATTCCGACATAGAGACGGGGCTGTTGAGCAGTTCCACGAACACCTGCGTCACCAACGATACCAATGGCAAAACTAGAGATACTGAATTAGTCCCAAGCTTACCGGAACTGAAAGGTGCCATGTTGAGAAGCTTACCCAGCTGCCATACCAGCCAAACCGACGGCGAGACCTGCTCCCAGCTGAATGAAACCAGTGTACAAGGGGACCTTCTGTCCCAAATCGTTTGCAATCAGGACCGACACGACCAGACCGTAGATACCAATGATACCCGCCATGACAATGGGGACAATGTCTGTATCACGAGATTAGTATCACATCATCCGAAATTATATGCGATGGCATATCCCAGTGGTATAAAGCTCTGTGAAGCTTCCACGTACTCTTGACGATCAGGTCAGGTCTGAGGACGGCCATTCCACAGACACCGACACCAGCCTTGGCAGTTCCATAGGCAGCTCCGAAGCAGGTGAAGACGATGGCCGAGGTGCAGCCAAGGGCACCGAAAAAGGGCTATACGAGTTGGAGATCAGTTAACCGTGTCGAGAGATGCTTGTTCGATGGCAGATTCTCCGCTTGATGCAACGAAGCCAAGCTACCTTGAGGGTCGCTTGGAGCTCGATGGTGTCATCGGTGAGGGTGGGATCACAAGTGACTTACTGCGTAAACGGGGCTATCAAGTCCATATGTCAGTATATCAAGTCGAGAATCATCCGTAACGTCATTAAAGTCGAGATACAAGAAGGCACAATGGTTGGGATGCTGGGAAAAGGAGTAGGTGAGGTGATTACGTACCAAAGTTCGGTGGCCATCTTGACAGATTTGGCGACCTTGCGGGCGATAGAAGATGGAGTGAAACTATGAAAACAGCCGAAAGGAAGAGTGACAGGGCAGGGACAGGCCGCGTGTAAAGCGATGTGGTGATGTTGAGGCTTGGGGAAGCGAGACGGAGATGAAGGCGTGAAGGCGAACACGCTGGAGGCTTCGGGGAGGCTGACCGACCACCTGCGTCATCACGTGATGGCGGCTTGGCACTGGCCCGTCGGCCGCGCATCACGATAACCAGCTTCCCCACCCAGTCGGTGATGAAGCAGCAGTCGTGAAACAGATACAGCTTGATGTAAAAATATAATATGTACTACTTGCTGTGCTCACTATAAACTATTCTCTCTCTCTCTTCATATATAGGGCTATCGCACTCTACATTGTGTTCGAGGATATCGGAGGTGTCCGCTCGAGAGATAACTGGATTACGAATCACCGTCCGATTTTCCTGATAGAAGAATAACTTCGTTAAAGTGAGACTGATTGTATACGGTATAGAGATGTAAACTACGAAGTCTGGCATTTAAGCCAATATGGCTTATTTGGCAAGTGCGCGATACTCAAGTTGGCTTGAAGTATTGAGATAATGAGACAGTGATGGGGAAATGCGGAGACTGCGGGAGTAGCTGCCAAGCCGTGATATTTTGGGTCGTACAGAGTAGACCAAGACCCCTACCTCCTACATTGTACTTCTCAATCCTTTGTCGTCCATGTGGCAATAGGTATTCAATGCAGTGCTACTAGTGTCTCTCGCTCATCACAGACAGGGTCGATCTTCAGTCATGATGTCCTTAGATTATATTTGTAAGCTTACTTACGTACTATCTATCACACAAAAAGGACATGACTGATAGCTAGGTCCAAAATGTGTGCGCTCATATCGGTCTGGTCAATATCTCCTGTCTGTCTTTGCGATAGGGATTGCCTTATAAAAGCTAGTATGTCTACGCGCATTGTATTCATACCTTTCCCTTGTATATCTTCACCGATTACTTTAATCCTCTCCGCCATCGCGCCTTTCCTTGACCAGATCTCAGACAGGGATCGGCTACAGAGCGGTTCTGACAATGTGGCTGAATTACTACACTACCATGACCACTAGCGAGTATTGCTCCGGAACTCAGAACGCTAGGATTATATAATAGATCTTCTCTCTGATCATCAGATACCAGGAATCATGGTAGCTAGGGCGCTTGCGCTTCATTATATATATTTAGTAAGCAAAAGAGAGAAGGGAGTGACTACTTCGTGGTAGCCATGGGTTGATAAAGTCACTTTCCATCGTAGCGGGAGGCCGGATGTGGATTTGAAAAATAAGTAGAAATCTCGTGCGTAGAGAACGTGCAAAAAAATAAGAGGAAGCAGCAAAATATTCAAGCAATACAACTATCTCGCTACGGGTGCAGTTTTCTCTCGTGTCTTGCCGACAAATGTATGTAACATACTCTTTACATACTCTTTCTACACCTCCTGGCTCACACCCCTTCAGTGAGGCATACCTTTTCTTCTCTCGAACACCATTTCTGGCCGAATGACTGCAATAGGAGGCTCTTTTCTGTTACTTGGACATCAAGAGTTGGAAGCATTATTCCATCACAAACAGACGCAGACGAAGTCGCAGATGCAGTATGGATACTGTAGGCTCATCCTGGGTACTGTTTCCACAAATCCCACCTGCTTGCTCGCAACAGAGCAGTTAGTGTGTATTGGTATACTCTTCATAGGATTCTAGAATTCTTGGTGGTCCTAGGCTGCATAATTCAAGTTGTGCCCACTAAAAGGTACTAGGCAGACGCTGAACGTGTAGGTGGAGGGTGTTACTGCGCCTTGCGGGTCACTCGAACATCTATATATATATCCCTGGCGAGATGCTGCTGTAAGATAGGGCTATGCATATATAAGCTTTAGATCAAATAGCCTGGAGGGACCCACTATCATGTTAGCCAGGCAGTGCTTTTCTTAGGTTGCTGGTTAAAGTATGCGGGGTGACCAGGATGTTTCCTTCTAGAAGATAACAACGACACAGGGTGGCTTGGACTGCGGTGATATCGATCACATGATACTGCGTAATGTCGATAGGCAAATTGATCTCTTATTTTCATCAACCCTATTTTTATTCTTCTCGCTGAGGCATATGTAATAGTGGGATGTCTCCGTCATGATCAGCAGGATCCTCGTAAACATTAGACAAGATAAGCAACCGTTCTGTCAGGTCAACACGGCAGGCGGATTAACTCGTAATGATGTATTTGCGATATGCGAACGATAAGACATCTCATTATCGAACACATGACGTCTAAAATCCGGCTGAAACGTGCTTTAGTCCAATGATTATCTGCATAGTTAGCGTAGGCGCTGACGGATAGATGCGTGTCAAATGATATCACTTTGCTTGTTCCCTGGAAATGAGTCCACGCTAGTCTAGACACTACAAAGCCAAGTACCATAATGGGGACCGGTATCTGTCCGACATTGTTAAAAGCTACCGGCACCGTGATTCGTGCGAGAGGAACCGTAGGGCTGGGTGGCCCACTAAATCCATGCTGAATTCCGTCTCCCCAAACCTCCTAGACACGGGAGTCATACCCCTATTCTGCACAAGGGATTGCGTAGGGGGCCAGCTCTAGTCCGATAAAAGCAATAGGTATGAAATACGATGTGCTGGTACGTCCCACCCAGAACCGAAGCCCAGACGCTTGGAGCCATCTGCACAGAGTGATTTAGTCAATATTGGCGGCGTCTAACCTAAGACTACCGGCGCCTCGCTTCAGCCTGGTAAGGTGGTACGGTGGAAGCGCCAAGCCCCTGCCAGGCAACAAAATAACCATGACAAAGGTGGGCGGAGGGAGGAAAAAAAAAAAAAAAAAAAAGGTAAAAAGGTAAAAAGTCAAAATGTAGGCAATGGGAGGAAAGGGGAAAAAGAGGGCGAAAGTTCTCCCCTTACTGTTGAACAAAGCCCAGCTGCACCGCCCGATGACAACATGGTTCAGTTCCAAAATTGGAGGAGCATCAGCCACGGGACTGGGGGAGGTACGAAATACAAAACGTCGATACGACGCAAAAGTCACCCGCCGAGAGTCTGGTCGAGGTGAGCTCGGAGCCAATCAGTAAGCGGCCAAGGCATCAGCCACAGTTCGCAGTGAAAAGTATGACGTAGCGACAAACATGCACGGCGAGCGGAAAAGGATCGTCCTGACTATCGTTGTCGTCCGCCCCGGTTATTCTAATTATCACTAGCAGCTATTGGTCTTTTATTTTATTACCTAAAGGCGTATCCGTTGAATAATGCGGATTCGAGGACAGTGCTTTACGTAGGAGGCATAGCACCATTCCCCCCCCCCCGGTAGCGTTTGGCGGAAGGTAGCTACTTAATTTTGCCGCCCATCATTTAAGAGTCCCTGTGGTCCCGCTCCCTTCCTCTCCTGATTTTTCTTGTTGCTTCCCCATCATTCATCTGCTCGCATTCAGATACAACCTTCATCTGGTCATATACATCACCTGCTCACTACTCTCTCCTACATCAAACTAGTCAACTTGAAGAGATCTACGTCTCCCTCGATTCACAATGCCTTTCACTGCCTCGTAAGTCTTGCAACCCCTCGCGACGTCATCTTTTGGCGATTTCCTATCCAGTCGCGCGCATACCTGGACCCTGACGAGCTGGAGCTGTCTTGGGATAGCTTGAGATCGCAATAATCTGAATGACGAGAGCATAGTGTCGTGGGTATGCTAACGCCGTTGGGACCATAGGGATATCTGCAAGATCATCTTTGCGATCATCTTGCCGCCACTGGGTGTTTTCCTGGAGCGAGGATGCGGTGCTGATTTCCTGATCAACATCTGTTTGACAATCCTGGGTTGGCTTCCTGGTGTCATTCATGCCTTGTACGTGGCCCGCCAAGTGATGGATTTCCGGAGATTCCGAGGCTAACTCGTTTCGTTCAGCTATATCATATTCAAATACTAGACCGCTCCTCAGGCCCGTCATTACCGCCCACTTCGATTCAAAACCCGTCGATTGGGGGAATAACCTCGTCCTACCTACGATTTCTTATCCTACGGAATCGAAGATTCGAAATTTAGCGGGTCGGGGTGACGTTGTCAACATCATTAGTATCGTTCCGCGGGCTCCCGACGAGTCTAGCCTAATGCAACCCCGCCAACATAAGCGCCGTCATTGGGCGGATGTGCAGCATGCTCAGTGCGGCGTGTGTTTGTGACAGGGTCTCGATTGCCTTTTTTCTCTAATTTTTTCCCCTTTGTTCTTATCTCCTTGGGTTGTCATTTTCTTATGTATTGCGCATGATACCAGCTCACCGTGTCACTGGGCTTTGCTTTTGTCATTATCTCTTAGTTGGCAGTGATCAGATTTATGATTGATGACAATGTCAAACCAATTAATCAACCGCATTCTGGGCTCAAATCGTAGCTGCTTATGCCATAAGCAGCATTGTAATCTGCGGAGTGGGTATGGGGAAACACGAGTTGCCGATCGGGCCATTGAAAGCAGCCCAAGCTCAACAAATCCCGTGATGCGTCTGTCTCTAGCCGCGTTTCGCCTTTGAGTCTAGTGTCGACACATCTAGCTGGATCTACACTCGCAGTTGTGCCTGGTTGCCATCAGGGTCTTCGAATCAAAAATAGCCTAAAGGTGCGCGGTTAAGGAAACGGACCTAATTCCATTGCTTGCGCCTTGAACCTCTCGGATCGGCTCATCTGACATCATGTGCTGTTCATATCGGCAGGGTCGGCGCCAACACGGCGCGTACTTCAACGCCATCGTCTACCCAAAACCCAATCACGCAAAGCGACAGACCTCCTGAAGAACTGTGTCCATGAGCTACGTGTATTATGTTTGGGACAGTGTTGCCATGTTTCACCCTGGCGCGTATAGGAGGCTTGGACTACTGATTTGGGTCTCGAACCTTGATTCTCTCTCTTCGCAGCCACTCAGCGCCATGGCAGAACGTGGTTTGACGCCCATGTTGGCAGTATGCGGTACATCGTGCTGGTCCCTGAAGTCGCTCCTTCCCCCTTATCGCAGCCGCTTCTGTCTTGAAGTTGGTGCTTCTCCATGCTGTTTGGAAACCATCGCTTCTCCAGATCCTCAGTGTTCTTTGCACTCTTTCTTCCTTGATCATCTTAGGATGATATCCTACGATTATCAATGACTCCAGAGGTTGAATTTCCTCTGTAGCGTCACTTTTTACGTGCATAGGTAAGGTATCGACCCTGTGACCTCCCGTTCGCGATTCCTTGGCTTGCATTATACCTGGCGGTGATAGTCTACTAACCCGAAAACGAAGATGCTTTTACAAGATGTTTATACCTGCTGGACGGTTATTCACGATAATACTGTTGATGCTGACATGTCTCGCCTATGGTTCCCAGACCACTCATCCTACCGCATCAGCAACATCTTTGTCCGGTCTGATCCCAAGCTGTGCGGCAGACTGCATCGAAGAATTTATAATCTCCGATTACCCAAAGGGCGCATGCTCGGAGTGGGATCTCGGCTGTCTCTGTCGGACGAACACGACAAGCGGCTATTCGCTTGGGGAGGCGGCATTTCGCTGTAGCCTTTCCTTATGTTCTATGAAAACAGTCTTCAGCGCCGACTTGTACGACATTTGCGACTCGGTACCTGGAGCTTTGCCACGGACTCATGCTACGATCACCGCGACAGTGATGCCAACAGGATCAAGTCCCACGCAAAGGACTGCAACGACGACGACGACAGCGACGGTGCCATCTACCTCCAGCTCCAGTTCGGCCTCCAACACTGGGACCGGGTCTAGCTCTAGTACATCCTCACAACCGACAAGTCTTAGTACTGAGCATACCTCGGTAACTACTGAGACTTTTCAAAGTCCTTTGACGATTCCAACTTCGCAGCCTTTTCTCACGGCAACGGGTAGCGCTACCAGTAGTGGCCAGTCGGCATCCGCGAGCGCATCTGACAGCAGGCTGGAACCTGCTGCTGTGATTGGAGTTTCAGTTGCTTCTGGGATATCTGGATTCTTCATTATGGGTGTTATAATATTTTTCTGTTGTAGGAAGGCAAGGCGACGAAAACAGGATGAAAAGGACCACTTTTTCGAGATTGGAGGTGTCATGTCCGAGCCTCCGGATTTCACATTTCCACCAAGGCGGCCAACTGGGCCTCGTCCTATGCCTGGTACAACAGATAGGGATTCCGAAACCTCCAGACTGATAACCCCGTTTGAGCCGAGAGCTCAGACACCTGCTGTCGTTGTCACAGGCCCCGGTAATCATCATAATAATAGTCCCATGGGGGTGTATAGTACCGACAGGATTGGTTTTGCAATGACTTCTAATTCCGAAGCTGAGGGATCATTGAGCCAGTCGTCTCCACGAACGATTTCAGATCTACTTCCTGATAAACCAACGCTGGGGCTTTATCCGGAACCATTAAGGTTGAGTCGTCAGAAACCGCCCAGACCCCACAGCCATGCGACTTTATTCGAAGAGGATATGGCAAGACCACGGAGCGTCTTTGGTGCACCATACCAGAATCTAAATCAGCCGACCTCATCAAGTCAAACTCAAGAAAGTCGGCGGTATAACCGGGCCCCTATGGCTGGATTGCCTGCGCATCCTCGTGCGATGCTCCATGGTTTTGGGGAAGGCCAGGATGGAAAGCTTGCTATGAGAGGCCCGAATTACCGAAGGAGGCCTACCTATGCAGAGAGCGGATCAAGGGTTCGGTACTCCAATCAAGATGACACTTATGAAAGCCTGCTACAAAGCTCTCCGGTCTCGGACGCTGGGGAGTTTGTCGACCGGGACCGGCAGCATCGCGGTGCTGGACATGTGAGACTTGTCGGACCGGCGTCGTCACAGGGTGTTGCAAGTGGTCCATTCGGTGGCACGGACGCGAACAATAGCATGTTGTACAACCTGGATGACAATATTGAGGACATCGATATCAACGGCTCCACTAGCAGATTGGACCGTGAATCCCGGCATTCGGGAAACTTACGGCCACTCACGCCAGTGCGGGAAGTCAGAACACCAACGCGAGAATCTCCTACACCGAACTGGGAATTTGCCTCGAGTGACCAACCCGGTCTTCCCCGGATGCCATTTACGCGGGCGGTCAGTCCCAGGCAGGAAATTGTCTCTCGCCCGCGGATTGTACGAGGGGACGATATCAGAAGAGTCCAAATTCGGCGGAAGCCACATGCCGGAGGGTTAACTGTACCTTACTCACCTGAAGACTACTGGCTTGGTCATGATCCAGGGCCTGTGTTGGAGACTCGGGCACGCAGACAGTCCACCGATTCGATGCGTTCCATTGAAAGCGTGAGGGGCCACATGCCGAAGAAGAAGCCGGTGCCGTACGAGCGAAATGTAACCCCATCCCGCAGCGGGTCGGATTTGATACTGCGCGTGGATTGACGGGATACGTCTAGTCTAAGAGGTAGTGATGCACCATTTCTCGGCCTTGGCTACTAGGAGTGGAAACTTCGTTCTCGGTGAGGACATTTCAATATATACATCTACATATATGTATATGAAGCCCAGTCTTTTCCTTTCTGTTGTATGATACTTTGACTTATGTTCGCTTGGTGGAGCGAGGTATCTATCTCTTCTTCCAAGGCGCTTCATTTCTATTTTTACTTTCATTCTTATGATTGTATATATGCATTGGCCATGGGTGGATCTAGATAGTATGGGCTTTGGAAAAGGCAGCGAATCTGATAGTGCACATATACTACTTACTAGGGACTGACTCTGTGCTTCCACCTTCGCCCCACTATTTTGTCTGTCATTTGGGAGACTCACAGCCACTAATTGCAAAGAATAGAGTCTGATGAGATATCCATCTCCGCTATGTTGTGAGTCAGATAAGGCTGCAGTCAGCTCACCAGAGAAAATCACGCAAACGAATCAGGAGTGCTGCAGAGGCCTATTCCAAACATAGCGCGGTAAGATGATGTTTTTCCACTGGGCCGAAGTGCGAGACGCAATCACATTTCCAAGTTTACCGCACAGGCAGATTCCCATGTGAACCCACTCTTTCTGCCACCATCCTCAGTGGAGGGTGTATTGAGGATACGGTCATGATACAGACGGCGGCCGGGAGAGCTCCGCAATGACGTCAGAAGCGGTGATCAGCCCCTGGCGGATGACTGAGGCAGTGAGGCCGCACTATTCCTGGTGTAGAGAATTCCGAGCCAGTCTGAGCGTCCTGGTTGGTTGTGACCTCATTTTTGAGCAGCACAAGATAACAAGCTAGTGACTCGCAAAAGAGGAGGCTCGGAAAGTAACATCCATCCACGATCCTTCGCGCAGATGGTGGCTTGAGGAGACTAGGAGGGAATGAATGTAGGTTCGTGCATTCGGTAGTCGGTCCGTTCCCTTTCCCCCCCCTCCATCCCCGCCAGTCGTGTTTATTGTTCAGGGCGGGAATGATCTCGATGGCTTGGGTAGGTTACAGTGTAGGATAGTAGCAACTGGAAAGTAAGGCCACGAGGAGGCGTCATTGGCGCTGACGAACATTGGGGATCCGTGTGTTTCGGGCATACACTGCATACTTACACTGCACAACTACCACTACTTACTATAGTTCTTTTAATAAGACCGTAGGGATAGCTGTAATGTTGTATTATTGTGTCGAGAGTAAACCTGACTGACCGGTATTGTAACTGATGTCAACCTGTCTCCCTCTGCCGTCTTTCTCTCACCTTCTCTCTTCCTCATTTGCTTTCCCCCTCCATGATATCAGTCCCCGAACTTGATCAAGGATCCGAGTTCACCCATTCTCATTTTCGCCGAACAAGTGAGTTTCATCCGGTTTTCTCGACGGATGGATGGTGAGTAAGTTTGAATCACCCATCCCTCCCCCTCCCATTTTTCCCGTTTGCACGGTACCTTCCGGGCGTGTCTTTTGCCTGCCGATGCCGGTTGGCGCCTTGACCGTTCCGCGGAGCGAATCATATCGCCAGCCTCTCCATCATCATCTATTATTGTCAAGGATACCTTTCGAATATGTATGGCTGACAGGCTTCTACTAAGTTCTCAGACGCACCACTACTAGACACTATGATCAAATAGGAACAATTCAACTATGTTGTAACTTTGGGAGCAAGTGGGGTTCGAACAACCAGAATGTGCAACCGTTACTGAAAACACAACTTCCAGTTCACCAGTGAGGTTGAGTCTTTTCTTGTCCCGATGCGGTCGATGACGGCGCCAGGGCTGCATCACCCAAGGGAGAATATGCTAGGCGTCCTCCACCGCTTGCTCGTTTACTCCTATATAATGGCTCTGGAACCCCATTGTCTGTCAAGAAGTGGTCCTCTATCTCTCCAGACTCCTCTCACTCCACTGTACCCCATTTCGTACTTCGCCTCCTTCATCTTGTGTATCATACTCTCCTCTTTCTCTTCTTACTTGCTGCACATTATCAATTCCCCTGAGGGAACATAATTTTGTGTAGTATATTGTCTTATCAGTGTGCATCCTTGCAACGCCGGTTTACGTGCATTGTCTGGTCCCATTGATCATTCTGGTTTTGCTTGTGGTCTTGTTTGACCTCGCGTTGGCCAGACGACGTTGCCCCTGAAGATCGACTGACGTCGTTGTCGATTGTCTTCCGCAGTAACCGTTTCTTGTTCATATTCTGGGTCCACAAAAGGTCCACTTCTATTGTTGCCACCCGCCGGAGATCCACCACTATTGCTATCCACAATGACAACAGCCGACGGATATGCTACCCCACGGGTAAGCCGGTTGTCGAGCCTGGACGCATCCCAGGCCGACCTCTACGGCGGTCCCAGTGTGGTCGTCCCTCCTAAACACTTGATGGCTTCTACCATGTCTCATGAAACAGCCATGGAATTGGAAGCCGCCAAACAACATTTCGACGAAGAGGTTTCCTCCGAAGAAGGTTCCCCTCGAGTTGCTCCCCCTGTGACTAAGAAGGCCCTCACCACTGCCGACGACTTTGCTCTGGCCTTTGATATTGACGGAGTCCTTATCAGAGGTGGGAAGGCTATCCCTGAAGCTGCCAGTGCACTCAGGTACATCAATGGAGAGAACCCTTATGGTATCAAAGTGTATGTATCGATACCCTCTATCGTATTATAGCGGTGCTCCCTTCTCAAATGGCAGTCCCGTGCTGACTGCTCTACCAGACCTTACATTTTTGTTACAAACGGTGGAGGCAAGACGGAGGAAGAACGATGCCTTGATCTCAGTCGACAGCTCGAGCTCGAAGTCTCCCCCGGCCAATTCATCTGTGGCCATACCCCGATGCGCGAAATGGCCGAGCGGTACCACACGGTTCTTGTCGTCGGTGGTGAGGGTGAGAAATGCCGTATTGTAGCTGAAGGCTACGGCTTCAAGGATGTCATCACCCCCGGAGACATCATCAAGACTAGACAAGACACTACACCGTTCCGGAAATTGACCGACGAGGAATACAAGAACTCCCGAGTCCGGGACTTTTCGCAAACGAAGATCGAGGCGATCTTTGTCTTTGCGGATAGTCGGGACTGGGCCGGTGACCAACAGATTATTCTCGATGTCCTGATGTCCAAGAATGGACACCTAGACACCCGATCCGACTCCTTTGACGAGGGCCCGCCTGTGTTCTTCTCCCACAACGACGTGGTTTGGTCCACCTCCCACGAACATTCCCGAATCGGCATGGGTGCACTCAGAGCGTCGCTAGAGGCGCTGTACAAAGCCGTCACTGGCAAAGAGCTCAACACGATCGCCTTTGGCAAGCCCCAACTCGGCACATACCAGTTCGCTACGCGGTTGTTGCGACAATGGCGCAAGAACACTCATGCCATCAACAAACCTCCCAGCACTGTGTACTTTGTGGGCGATACCCCCGAGTCAGACATCAGGGGCACAAACGAGTTCAACAAGACCAGTGACGCTGACTGGTTCTCCATCCTGGTCAAGACCGGTGTGTACCAAGAGGGCACTATCCCCCGTTATCCACCCAAGAAGACCTGCAATCATATCCTGGACGCGGTCAAATTCGCCATTGACCGCGAAATGGCCAAAGAGAAGAAAGAGGGGTCGACTGTCGTTGACGACGTTGACTCGGAACTTGAGCTAGAAGCGGGCCTTCTGCCCAACTGAGTTCTTTGCTACTGATGGTAGCTGGATGATACAAGTGTGATGCATGTAGATTCCTATCATTCTTGTTTATTACTTTGTTATGGATACCTCTATGCTATGAATGTATGACAGATATGTATGTCTCTTGGCGTTGTGTTTACTACATTCATCTTCTATACTATTATTATTGTTAGCAATTAGCAATTTCATCAAGGCTGCTTCTTACTATTTCAAAACAAGTGCCATCTTAGACCAAATTCCCATTGGGTTAGATTACTAATGACGCGAATTACCTGTTTAGTCAGTTCACTTAACACTAAAAGCAGAACAATGAATACATGGATCCAACCCCCCTCGTCCCCTGTATAAGTCTCTACAATAGAACGGGTACAGAAAACAGTCAAGTACCCACCACATCCACCCGATTATCCATGCCTATCAACCAACCAACAAACCAACCCCATCCACTCCCTCCCAAACCTACTCAACCCAAGAAAACACCATAGTCAATCAAACCCCGTGTAACAACCCAACCAGTCCAATCTCCTCTATCATTCCAATCCAATCCAATCACCCCATCCCTCCCCGTTCCCCCCTCCCTCCTCCCTCAAGCCCGAAATCGACAACCCCCCCAACGGCAAAGTTTCAACGCTCGTCACGGAACATCCCAATCAGGCAACTCCGATACCTACCAACCACAATCACATCACAAATAAGGTTAGTTAGATACTTTTGGGGGTTGGTTCTATACTACAAAGTAATATAGGTATAGTTCCATCCGTGCGTAGGATTAGCTGGCATGCACGGCAGACGTCAGATGTAAGAATGCGGGGGGGAAGGGAGATTTCCGAGTGCGGTGGATGGGTGGGGTTCAGTTCATTTCTATTCCTATTTCATTGTGCATGTGGTGATTAACTTGCATGATGGTTGTGGGTAAATCCATCTCTCTTCCGCTGGGTCGGTCTGGGGTACATGATGATTGACATGAGGATGAACATGAAGTATTCGATGAACTTGTGGTTGCTGCGGGTGGCTGTCATGTGGGGGTTGCTTGGGATGGGTGGGTAATGGAGGAGGTGGGAGTGAAGTTTATCTGCAGGCTGGGCATCCTCGATTTACTTGCCTAGTTGGGATTATTGTGGTGTGTACAGTGTTGCGCTAGTAAGGGAGGTTTCTTTTGGGGGGAGGGGGATGTGGGGCTACTTGGGGATCTGTGTGTTAGATACCATTTTGTGTTAGTGTGTAGTGTGTAGCGGAGCGGGTAGGATCGGTGAATAGTTGTGTATGGTATAGTCTATGCATTATATGGTCTTCGTCTAGAGTTCTAGTACGGAGTACAGTGAGGCGATGACTGAAGTGAGTGGGGAAAGTCTATCAAGTGGGTGTTGCATGGGCAGCTGAGGTTCGTGTTTATCGTCTCCGGGCCATTATCAAAGCTCGAAAACTTGGTCAAGCCAGTGCTTGATGACTACCTTGCCCTCTTCGAATCCCGGCTTGGGCATACGGACGATAATCGCGGCGTGGCTGTGCCGGTGATTGTGGATGTAGACCGGGTGCTTTCGGAAGCCCACAGAGTTCAGTGACTCGATGATGTCGAATTGATCCGGCGTCAATGCGAGGGTTGGGAATTCTTGGGTTTCGTGGCCTTCGTGGGCGAGTAGTGGTTCAGAGGCGCTGTCGGGGCTGTCATCGCCCAGGAGTGCACTGCTCTTGCTTTCGCTTGTCCTGGCTCTCCTTGCGGAGGCCATCTGTTTCGTTTCTCCTTTGCTCTCGTCCAGGTAGTCTGGACCTTGGTCGGCGGCTGCGTGCTCGAAAGCCTCTTCTACTGCGTGCTGCACGCCTTGGACAACAACGGGGACCCGGTAGCGTCCGAAGACGGTTCCCATGGGTCCCTCTTCGTGCAGACGGATTCGTCGTTGGCTGCGGATGGTTTGAATGGCAGAATTAACGAGGAAGATAGGAAAGCCGATGAATAGGATGGTGGTAAAAAGGAGCTGAAAGGGGGCTTCTGCCAGGTATCTCATGAGTTGCTGCTGTGCTTGGGGAACAAGTGAGTGTGATGCTATGCGTTTCTTGTCTGACGGCAGGATATGCCTATCGGAGTCGATCACGACCGGATCATAGCCCTTCACGTAATTGATGCGGACATTGTCCGGGTCATGGAATGGGTCGATCGTCGAGATTGCCGTGGTATAGTAAATTGTGGACCGGTCGTTGACAACGTTCGCATACACGGTACGGTTCTTGAACTTCTTCAGTGCCTTGATGAAGATGCTGTCCGGGTCGGCTAGCACACTCAACAGAGGCTTACCTGAGTTGCGAAACGAATCGATCATGAACAGTTGTTTTCCGGATATAGATATAGTGTGAGGCCCCACATTGTTCCAGAGGAAGCCCCAGGCTCCCTTTTGGGGGTTTCGAACGCCCACATGCGGCGATGCAAACGTGGTGAAGTTCACTGGCTCAAGCTTATCGAACCATCCCCGAGAATACAACAGCCCGAGCGCATATCGAGCCACAAGACCTCCAAGCGAGTATCCCACCATGCTCAACTTCTTGATATGATGCCCTGCTGCTGCCAGCTCCTCCAGTGCTTCTTCAACCTCATGTGCCACTCGTTCACCACCGACCTCGATGCCATCGTAGGTAAAGTTGCCGGCGTTTCGCTTCGCCGTAAGAATATGGAGACGGTCTTCGCCGTATCGGCTCCTCAGCGATGAGGTGACATAGTCCAGGTGGGAAGGGTTGCCCCATAGTCTGTCATCATCATATGTCAATTAGTTTCAGCAGGAAATTTGGGGACTGATAGCTAACCCGTGTACAAATACACAGAGGTGGTCGGCATTCCGCGATGTTTCAGTCGGCGGGTGGCCGTTATCGAGCTCCATGGTTGGCTGTAGTTGAGATAGGGTGTGGATTGAAGCTGGTGTCAACGTGCTGCTATGCTATATCGAGTGATTGTAGCCAGTTCATTCAACATCCTCTTTAAATAATCCACTGACTCACGGCCAATTCCTGAGGGTGGAGGCTGAGTATCTTGCTGGCTGCTGTCAGCTTGAACGCCGTTGGCTCCTTACTAAGCCACGATAAGGAAACGTCATCGGATGGATGCCTGATCTGGAGAGGGTCCCCGCCCTGCAGAAGTCGTCACCTATCCATCTGTATAGTTCTTCTATTACAGAGTATTGGTGTTAATGAATAATGCTTGTAGTCAGAGAGCTTGAATCGCCCAAATTGACTGGCGAGGCTGATAGGCCCTCTGGCAGCTGCAGGTGCTTGTTTGCATGGTTTGCATGACAGCATTCCGATCCGCAGCTTCGCTTCAGCTTCGTATCTCGGACCTGGCTCAACTCCAGGAGGACTTCCTCCTCGCCCCATATCATATTGTCCGAGTCTCCTTCCTAGCCGGATAGCATAATATAACTACACCAGACCTGAAGTGGACTCGATCAAAAGGGCACTGCCGTTCGCACAGATCTTTGTCCTCACCACACTGGCTGGCGCATTGCCCATGGCAGGCATAATCTCTGGATGAAACAGATGTGCTCAAAGCTCATATAAGACCGCCTAATCAACTTCTCTCAGTGCTGTATCGGATCTGTAACTGATATTGTGGCTGACACCGCAGCTCCAAGCAACTTCTTTCAGTTTGTCTATATGTTTAGTACATGCTGCGAAGCAATGCGAGGCATGAGTGATATCTTTGTATACCTGCTATATACTCATTTCTTTATCTACACCTGACTTCTGTTTCTTTACTGAACAACTTCCTCTCCCTTCTATCACAATGTTTGCACCACTCGGTCTATTCAAGGATATACCTTGTCCTGAAGGGCAAAATTGCTTGCTCTTGACCTGCATCTTCTCTCACCGGGACGTCGCCTCCACATCAGCCTCCCAAGGAGGCTGTCAGAACACTCATATACCAAGAACAGTCAAGAACGAGATAGGAACAACATCAGGCGAATCAGCTGTCGAACCCAAAGCACATGCTCCGGGTGACGAGAAAAAGGCCAAGGCAATTGGCAAGCTGGCATCTTCGCCCGCTAAAGAGGCACTCAGTCAAGGTTCTGTGTCAAAAGCTCCGTCGAACAAGCCATCCCAATTCAATGGCCAAGCCAACGTCAAGCTTCAGTCCTTATTAAGGGAAGTTACGCCTCCAGCAAAGCCAACGTCTACATCAACCAAAGCAAGCGCTCCCGGCTCTCGAAAATCTCTCCCACCAAAGCAAGCACCGCGAGAAAGCCTAAACCCTCGGATGCTGACGAAAGCACCCGCGCCCCATGGTGTGCGTCTGGCCATCCTCACCAAGCTGCATGCCGGTATGTCTGCTCTAAATGACAAGTTGGCCAAAGACAAAGAAAGCCAGGACAAATATCTTGTTCTCACGCCGAATGAGCTTATCACAATGGCCTTGGATGAAGAGGAAAAGACCGCCAAAGAGAATCCAAGCATATACTCCAATGTCATCAAGCTCCGTATAGTAAAGCTCTCAAAAATGAGCAAGGAAGAATGGGCCAATGACGTCAAAACCCACCTTAATGAGCGTTATTACAAGATTGCGCCCGGGCCAGAACAGTCAAAACCGAAACCTCTTGACACTGGGCTTAGTGCAAAGGAAGAGATAGCATTGGCGAGCAAGCTTGTGACACGTCTGGAAGGTCTCGAGCAGTACGGCTACGTTACTAAACCTCCGACGGACGCTGAAGTGGAAGGTGCCAGGAAAGGTGTTATTGAATCCAAGGGATGGGAAAAGTGCGATCGGTGTGGAGGCAGGTTCCAAGTCTTCCCTGGTCGTCGGGAGGATGGTACCTTGACGACTGGAGGGCAATGCACATATCACCCGGGCAAACCTCTCTATCCGCCCAAGAAGAAGACCGATCACATCACGGGGCACAAAGATGCATACTTCTCGTGCTGCAACGAGTCAGTGGGAACTTCTGCTGGCTGCACCAAGGGCAAGACCCATGTATTCAAGGTATCGGAAACCAAACGACTCGCATCAGTACTCCAGTTTCAGAAAACCCCGGAACAACCAGACAAGGGGCGACTCCCTCCAATTTGCTTCGACTGTGAAATGGGTTACACAACACTGGGATTGGAACTGATTCGGTTAACCGCTGTTAGCTGGCCTCAAGGCAAGACGCTCTTGGATATCTTGGTCAGACCCATCGGTGAAGTGTTGGATTTGAATTCCCGGTTTTCTGGTGTTTTCCCAGAGCACTACACGAAGGCCATTCCCTATGGGAGCTCTGGCTCTCAGACGATTTCACAGTTGGAGGACGGGGAAGTGGACTCGCCTCCATTGCAGATTGTCGAGTCGCCTGCTGCAGCCCGGGCGCTTCTATTCGAATGTCTTCAACCAGATACGCCACTCATTGGTCATGCGATCGATAATGACCTCAATGCGTGCCGCATCATTCATCCGACAATCATTGATACTGTGCTCCTCTACCCACATCCCCGGGGCTTACCTCTCCGTATGAGCTTGAAGACTCTATGCCGAAGACACCTAGATCGAGACATCCAAACGGGAGGCAGCAGCGGCCATGATTCAAAGGAAGACTCGATCGCTACGGGTGATCTGGTGAGGGTCAAGGCAGCAGAGACGTGGAAGGTCCTCAAGTCTAAAGGCTGGCGCATACATAACGACCAGCTTGTGCCTCCACCAGGCGCCGATGCGGAAGCTGCTGCAGCACACGGAAGGCTTGGATCGGGAGCGGGTCAAAAGCGGGCAAGCTCGGCGTTGGGAGATTGACGGCACGATTGTCGATGACATAGATTAGTACATTTAGTGATACCCAGTTTACGCGTACTCAAATTGTACAACATCCGACTACGTAATTTACAACGGAACAACATTAGGTTCGAGTGATAGATTGCTCTATTCAATCGTGTATCTACCAGTCATAACGTCATGAGTAGAGGTAGCCATGACAAGCCGGGGCAGCCACAGATTGTCCACCTTTTCAGGAACAGACATCTCCGAGCCAACCACCAGCCATCGCCAAAGCGGTATAGGAATCCCTCCCTGTAGAGCACATCTATACCCAAACCAGACTTCCAAGTGATAACCCTCAATTCAGATATCGCTCCCAGTTATTGGTAACCCCCTGACGCGAGCACACTTGTCATCCGGTCATTTTTGGATTTTTTTGGTTGTTGTCATTCCGGAAGGAGTAATTTACTCCTCATCCTCCTCGCCCTCGTCGTTGACGACGTTGTAGAAGCGGAGCTCGTAGACACCCTTGGAGGTGGAGACGACACGGAGCCAGTCACGGAGCTGCTGCTTCTTGAGGTACTTCTTGGTGCTGTTGGAGGAACAATTAGCATCTTGCCAACTTGTATTAAATCATATGGAAGGTGGAACATACAGGTACTTGAGGTAGCGGCCAGAGAAGGGGATGTGAGCAACAACCTCGACCTTGCCGTCACCAGCCTGGGAGATGACGACCTTGTCACCGAGGTTGCCGACACGGCCCTCGACCTTGATGCGGTCGTGGAGGAACTTCTCGAAAGCAGAGAGGTCGAAGATCTTGTCGCTCACGGGCTGAGAAGCGTTGATGACGAACTATAAGATAAACAATTAGTACCCACGAATTTTACTTGCGCCTGCGATTGCGATTGCGATAAGCACATACCTTCTTGGTGACCTTCTGGGCCTTGCGACCACGAGTCTATAGTCCGAAAATAAATGATTAGCCTACTGTTCCATAATGTCGGAACCCCGGGGTTCCTTCCCATGAAAAGTGTATTCTCTCGTTTTTCAACGCAGAGAAAGCATTTTCATGGACATGGACCCATTCGGGGAGAACAGCAAAGCAGTCTCAAGGAAGGAAACGTACAGCAACGGGGGCCATTGTGACGGATGGGAGGGGGTTTTTTGGAGGATAGAAAGAGGGATTAGCTGGTCGCAAAGAGGTGTATATCCTGCGCCTTGGAGAGAGAAATTGTCGAAGGTCGATGGAGATGCTCGAGTCGGACAAGTGCGTGTCACTAATCCGTTTTGGGTATGTGGATAGGGCTTGCAAAACGCTGATTAGGGCAGCTGCTCGTCATCTGACTGGGTCGCTGGCTGAGCCAATGAGAGCTCTCTTAGTCATGACGGCAGTTCTCGCTTGTTGTTTACTTCAACGGCACTAGCCGGTGTGTTGCGCACGGGCCACCCGCCCAATCCTATATAAACCTCTCGGGGCCCCCGTCCTTTAGAATTTTTTTCTTTTCTTCTCCAGCTCTCTTTGCCTTTTGGCTTAGATCAAGTGTAGTATCTGTTCTTTTCAGTTTAATCTCTGAAAGTGTTCTAAGGAACACAACATTGATTAATCTTATTTTTGCATCCCGTGGCGAGACCTCTGTGCTTGCGCATGTCTTGCTGCACAGTGTCATCGGGCTTACACTACCCCCGATCGACGCGAACACCCTTTTTTCATCAATTTGGTCGGCTTGTCCGACTGGTTGGAGAAGAAAGTCCGATCTAGTAGTAAATACTTCAGGTGATCAATCTAGTAATTGATGGATGTCCGTAATCCGTAAATTTGGTTAGAAACCTCATCCGAAACTTCGAGAAATAGTAACTCAAGTTCGGCGTTACCCCCCAATACCCACGTGATTCCTATCAACTACATCACTTGCAAGGATCAAGAACACCAACGATTTTCTCTCGATAACACCAACTAGAAGTGCTATTCTAGCTCGAACGGGCAATAAGTCGTTAACATGGGTTCCGTCGTTCTGCCACATCTGCGTACGGCCTGGCACGTCGACCAGGCTATCCTTTCCGAGGAGGACAGACTTGTGGTGTGTATACATATCACCAAGTCATGGCTGCGAAGCATATCATATCATACTAACCAAACGTGTATAGGTCATCCGATTCGGTCGCGATCACGATGTCGACTGTAAGACATCACAAAACTCCCTTATCACACAATGGGTGTTAGCTAACGCAGTGAATCGCAGGCATGCGCCAGGACGAAGTCCTTTTCAAGATCGCTGAACGTGTGAAGAGTACGTCAAGAAATCCTTTATCCATTTCTCCTTCCCAAAACTACGTTCTCCGGCAAGAAGAAATTCGCAGTGACTAACCCCCAACCAGACTTCGCCGTAATCTACCTCTGCGACATCGACGAGGTACCCGAGTTCAACACGATGTACGAACTCTTCGACCCAATGACCATCATGTTTTTCTACCGGAATAAGCACATGATGTGCGATTTCGGCACAGGTAACAACAACAAGTTGAACTGGGTGCTTGAAGACAAGCAGGAGATGATCGATATCATCGAGACCATCTACAAGGGTGCGAAGAAGGGACGTGGTCTGGTCGTCAGCCCGAAGGGTAAGTCTATATACTGTCTTGATTGACTTCTTACTGGCTGGATGGTTTTGGCTGATGCATGATATCTGCTGTAGATTACTCGACGAGGTACCGTTACTGATGGTCCTGGATGTTGTGGGGTTGGTATTACCCGGGTTTTTGCTATGATTTATGAATGTGTGGGCTTGCTTAGTGGCTCGTTAGAATTAAGATGAATGTGATGTTCTCAATCACTAGCGACTTTTGCTTGTAATTAGGAGCGCTGTGTGGGGGTGTATCTTGCTTTCGTAGTGACATTGCAGATTAGCTAAAACTGTGAAAGGCGCTACTAGATATTATAGAACGTCAAATTCATCAACATTCTCAGAGCCCATCGGTGAAGCTGAAAATTTCACTATTCTAAGTTCTCCTACAGTGAGAAATCCCTCATCATCTCTCGTAGTCATCCGCTTTGATATAAAATCCAAGCCAAAGCGGCAGAAAACCTGCCCCACAATTTCTCTTTTCAGCTTTGTTTCCCTGACGTAACATTCATCAACTCATCTCTCCCACATCGCGAATCCCATTCAATTATCATCCACCACAACATATCAGATAATAAACAAATAATCCATCATGATCGATCACAACATCTTCGAAGACCTGCAGGCCAAGATTGACGAGGAGGCCGCGGTCCGCGATGTAAGTTGACCCGTGCCCGCGCCAAGCGCAGACACAAAACCGAAAGCAAAGCGCCGTTGTGTTAACAAGATGTACAGGAGCTTCACGATATTGTGCAGACGCTTGCTAGAAAGGGTACTTATCTACTTACCTATCCCTATATGAATTCTCAGAATTGGGATAATCTCGATTTGAACTTCGTCGACTGACTATTAGGATCGGATTATAGGAAGATCTACCCAGGCTATTCTGTCGCGAGCTCATTCTACTCCCACTGATCAGTGTATGAATAACTCCTCTCTTCATATCATGATGACCACTTAGGCGAAATAACTAATATGGACAGTGAAACCCGTTCTCGATGACGCAACCAAGGAGATCATCGCCCAGAGGGATGAAGTATCTCGGTTGAAGACCGTGGCGGACAAGCACCCGTTTTACAAGTACAATGGGGTGTGGACGCGCGAGTTGCAGAACCTTGTGCGTGCCCCTTCTGTTACTGGGGTTTGATTATTGCAGATGAGAGCTAATCAGCCAATCAATAGGTCTCGTCGATCGAGCTGTGCGCTTGGCTGGGCGGACTGGAAGAGTACAAGACGAACAGCTCCTCTTCATTTCTGACGATAGAAGAGGTTGGAAATTTCCTGGGTGGTATGTTCTCATTTCCTTGTATTCATTAAGAGTTTCGAATTGTGTAGTAGATCCGATTCTAATGATGATGGTATCTAGTCCCCGTGAATCTCAAGGAACAGGATGCCTTCCATCTCACTATTGAGGAGTATTTGCTTGCGCTAATTTCCATGGTCGAGGAGCTGGTCAGTTTCTCCGTACCCCATATTGTTTTGTTATTGGACTGCCATTTGCTGATAGAAGATGTGGCAGGCCCGTCTGGCTGTCAACTCGGTCACTCTGGGTGACTATACCCGGCCGGTGCAAATTGGCAACTTCATCAAGGATTTGTTTGCGGGCTTCCAGTTGCTGAACCTGAAGAATGATATTTTGCGGAAGAGGAGTGATGGAATTAAATACAGTGTAAGTTTCTATCTGTGGGATTGTACATTATGGGATGCTAATGCGGTGGTACAGGTTAAGAAGGTGGAGGATGTCGTTTACGATCTCTCTTTGCGCAATTTGATTCCCAAGGGTAGCGCTGCGGCGTAAATTTAACACAGAGACTTAAATTAGCATATGATATGAACATGAAATAACGACACTGTCCAGGACACGGCAGTTGAAGAGTTTCGTTTCGCAACCCCACTCTCCTAGAGTAATGTAACAACCATTATATAATACTCAGTATATCAAAGACAGCAGCTGCAACAGCAGCTGCATGGTATCATCCCAACCAAACACCCGTTCTCTCACAGATATAATATAAATATTAAAATAGTACCTCCTCCGACACACACACTAAGCTGTCGCCTCCTCAGCCTTGGCCTCCTCCTTCTTCAACGAAGCCAACGAGCCCTCCTTCTTCGCCTTCTCAATCTCCTTCAGAATCGGCTCCTCCAAGGACTCGGGCTTGGTCAAACTAGCCCAGCGACCCACAACCTTTCCATCCGCCGAAATCAAGAACTTCTCAAAGTTCCACTTGATGCGCTTCAGCCCCAACAGACCGGGCTGCTGCTCCTTCATCCATGTCCAGACCGGCGCGGCCTTATCGCCATTAACGTCCGACTTGCCCAGCACGGGGAACGTCACTCCGTAGTTGATCTGGCAGAACGACTGGATCTCGTCGTCGGAACCGGGGTCCTGGCTACCGAACTGGTTGCAGGGGAATCCGATGATGGTGAAGTCTTCCGGGTGCTTGGCTTTGATGTCTTGGTAGAGTTTCTCCAGGCCTTGGAACTGAGGCGTGAAGCCGCATTTGGAGGCGGTGTTGACGACGAGGACGACTTTGCCCTTGAGGTCGATGAGGGGGAAGGGGGAGCCCTTTTCTGTGCGGGTGAGAGGGGTGGTTAGTTGGAAATGAAGTGGAGGGGGTGGCATTTAAAAGCAAGTGAAAAAGGGCGAATAACGTACTATCGACAGGCTCAAAGTCGTAGAAGGTCGTTGCGGAAGACATGGTTGATAGTAGTCTTGGAGAATGCGACGATGGAAGTGATGGTGGTGCGTAAATGCGCTGGAGAGGAAAAATGTTCCGATGGCTTGATCGCAGTGACGTCGCAAGGTGATATGGACCAGTAGGAGCAGTAGTTCTGATGAATCGTACTGGTACCAGGGAATGCGCCACTAGATATGTAGTTGACGAGGCGAGTCTCGACCTTGGGGATGATAAATCAGTGAATGGGATGATCGATGACAAACGCATCGGCGGCTAAGAAGAGAGAGGAGGGGGGCCGGCAGTCAATAATCGTGGTAGGCGCATTACCCAAAGAGGAGCAGCAATGAGGGGGGAAATGGAACCAGATGGATCGGGAACAAGAGATTCCGGATGCCGAACCAGTATCGATGTCATCAATAGCAGAAAACGGACTGAACGATTGCGGGTCGATCGATACGGTTTCGGGCCCAAAAGTGGCTTGGGGGATTTTGCACGTGTAAATCCCGTTACGGCGCCACCGGCGCTTTTGCTGCTTCGGGTTTGGTTGCTTTTATGGCTCTTGTGGTTGGTTGAGGATGCATGGTTATTTTGCATAATATGATTAATGGGATTGATTAGTGATCAGTGGATGCTGGGATATTTTTGATCAGTGCACTGGTGGTTCATTTAAGTATTCCAAATACTTGAGACTCCAGGTGGATACATTATGTCGTGGTTTCTGGGGATTTAAATTAAGGCATGGTCATCATGCACGGCTATTGGAGCTTAGTGGCATTGCTTCTTTCTATTTGGGACTGGGGCTCCGTATATTCTTCGTATCTATCCGTACCTTGCCAGACTTCATTATGGGAAAACAGGTAGACATTAGTGATATTTCATTCTAGACCCTCGCATCATCCAATCTGACAGACCACTTCCCACGCCATCCACATATGACGCAACCCGCTATACACACTCCTGACTCAATTCACAATTCAAGCTTCATCGCATAACAAGCACACGCACACATGTACGTTGGTGGTATGCCCCATCCACGGTACGCACATCTCCCATCCACAACCCCCCGGACGCGGCTCGTCTTCACCGCGAGGAACACCCGGTATCCGTGTATTCCGTCCGAACGATCATGACCAGCGGCAAAATACCGATATGGTCTCGATCGACCCAATTATCGGGCACATCTATCCCTCAAGCAATGCCGCTTGTAGCGTGTAGCATAGCATAGCACAGTAAACCTCGCATTTGCTTTTCCAGTTTCTGTCTGCACTAAAACAGACCCATCATTCATTTCTCATCATCCGCATCTAGAACATCCACATCCAATTCTTCCATCACCCCAAGCACAACTGCCAGATTTTCCATAAAGCCATTCACAGAGACACGCAGCATGCGATTCGTCGTCGCGCGGTAGGTCGTCTCCAGCACGGTTTTGGCTTCTTCGTCGGCGGTTTGCTCTTTGGTTGGCGTTGTCAGGGCGAAACTGCGCTTGACGAAGGGGGAGAGCTCGGTGTCGACTTCGAGAGTGCGGAGGGCAGCGGATGCAAGGCGATTGGTGGGGAGAGGGAGGGAGATTGTGCTGTCGAGATTTATCGTTGGTTAGTGGTGTTGATGTGCTATGGACAAGGGGAGTTTGGCTCTTCTTACAGGGTGTAAGGGAACTCGGTGGAGGTTCCGTTGGATGCCATTATGGTAAGTGTATGTAGTTCCTGAGAGTGAAGTATTCCAAGGGGAGTGTAATGGAAGCAGCAAGTCGAATTACTCGTAAAAAGAGCGCAACGCTGGTGAGAAAGATTGATATTGAGGCGGGGAAAGAGTGGGATGTGCGATAAGGCATGAGTAAGCATGGTGGCCTCAGGCTACAACAAGTGTATCTGATAATATGGCCTAGCGACGTCGGCCAGCTTGTGATTTCTCGCAAGCTGTATTGTCAAGCATTTCGGTCATTATACTCTAATTGAGTACTGTAGTTCTGGTGCTGGGTAGCCAAGTTACGCCATTGCTAATATGATATGGAAAGGTTGAAGGCAATGGAGTTATCGTCGAGCAGTTTTCTAACCTATTTATAATGTAACTGTTCACTTTCCTTTATCAAGTACTAGGCAGAAAATGAGTGTGACCTCAAGACATTACAATTATTCTGGTATAAAAGTATATATACGGCAGGCGGAACTCTTCCAAGGCTGCTCTCCTAGGCCCAACAATAGAAGATTCGCTCGAATGTACAACAGAAGGAGCCCTCCCACCAAGTCATGACTTCGTTAAGGTTTCCCTGATCGAAGGTTTCCATGACGCATCACTGAGCATTGGGTGTTTGTCGTGGGAGAAAGCAAGGATTATTTAAACCGGTCATCCTTTACAGAAGGGGAAGGACAGACTGAAGGTTGGCGAGACCACCTGGGCTATTGTCAGCGATGTTCTCTTCAAACCTTTTCGAATCAACTCACCGTTCTGGCTGAGGAGGCCCAGGATGTTCTCAAGGGCGCCGGCGGTCAGGTCACCTTGGAAGGGTCAGTAAGCTTACTTTACTATTCATGCTCAGAATGTCACTTACCGCTCTGGATCTTGGCGACAAGAGTCTCAGAAAGACCAGAAAGGTCGGTGATGTCGCGCTTCAGGTTGACGTCTGGTATACCGTTAGCTATTGTACATTGATCTAGGTAAGGTATCTATACATACCAGCAGAGACAACGCCGCTGGCTGCTCCCTTGACAGTGCCGACGGCTCCGCCAGCCACGTTGACGACAGGGGAGGCGACAGAGTTGACAGCAGCACCGGCTGTCTTGACAACGGGCGAAGCAACACCTTCGACAGTGTTGACGGCTCCATCAACGACGTGTCCAACAGTGTTAACAGCACCGCCGGTAACACCCCCAACGGTGCCAGCGGCATCACCGGCGATTCCGACCACAGGTGTAGCAACGCCACCGACAGTACCAGTAAGGTCACGCTTGTTGGAGGGAAGCAGCTGGGTCAGCTTGCCTTCAATGGTGGAAAGTTCTACATATCTTTATATTAGTAGGTCTCCCTAGCAGAGATTCACGGCCATAGGTAGCATACCGTCTTTCAGACCAGTGAGGTCGGTGCTAGCGCAGCCAACAAGACCACCGACAACATTGTCGACTTTTCCGAGAACGCCGGTCAGCTGGCTAAGCGTAGACTGAACGGTAGTATCCACAACCGGGATAGCAGCGGCAGAGACAGTGCCAGCGAGGGCAAGAGAAGCAGCAATTCCAGTGAACTTCATTGTGATGTGTTGGGTATTTGAATAAGAGGATAAAGAAAGTTAATGAGTGTATTGTAGTTGCAAGAAAGGAGTGAATGAGGGCTTGAGGTTTGAGAGAACGACTGACACTGAGCGAAGTGCTTGAAGAGAGAAAGGATAGCAACAGGACAGACACTCCATTAAATACACAACGCTGGAAGAAATTTCGTGAGCTGAGCTTTGATTCAGGGGAAGCTGGCAATGAAGCTGACTTCCATATCCATTGAATCGGGCACCTTAGGAGCTGGCACAAATGAGGATCGACATCGCGATCCAATGACACCACTCCGTCGTTTCAGATGGGATGGTAGAGCGTCATTCATCCGATGAGCTTAATCCAAGCCCGAAGTTATTAAGAATATAGCAGGCAAATGATGCCAGCCTGCTCTGACCAGAAGGGTTTGTAGAATACAGAACCATTTCCATTCATGCTATGCTGAAATCACAGACGGTGTCTGTTAGTAGATGCATATTATGGTACTGAAAAGCGTTGGGGGATTGTTCGTTTCTCACATCGTAGTATGCCATGACCAAATTTCAGGCATAAATCGATAGTGCTTGATGTGGGCGGGTATAGATTGGCCTCTGTTCCTTCCTCCTACCTTGGGATAGGGATTCAATAGTGAAATCTTAAAAGGTACTCCACTCCGAATGCGATTGCCGATGATGGTCAAGACTGTCGCTTTGGCAGCAATGCGGAGGTTAATGTCTGTATCTCATTAAACCTCCGTGGGTGTGGTGGGGCTCGCCCAGGAACCCCGCGGAACCTTATCCTGTATATTCCTGTTCTGGTCAACATGGTGATCATTGAACCAGACGTTTCAAAGGCTCATAGTCAGCTGTTAGCTCAGTGAAGTAATCAATTCTCCCGTTCCAGTTGAAGAAAGCGTTTTAGTTGAAGGGAAGCGTTTGGTAGGAGCAATAATGAATGAGCAGGTTACTACTAATCGCGTAGTCCTATATCGCGTAATCATATTTAGACTCTCAGGCAAAAAGGGGCATGAACCCAGCGTCGCGCTGAATCTTACCTTCAACAATGGCAAGGTGATGGTGTGGCAAGTGATTTAGGTTCACAAAAAAGCCAGCCGCTGTCTGCTTGCCAGCTTGCCAGCTTGCCAGGCAGTAGTACCTCCATCCCTGTCGATCCGATCCACCCACTACATTTTCGAGAACCGTTGTTGGGCAGGGCGATCAGCATGACGATAAGGCGCAGATTCCAACCACAATCGGATTGTTAACCACTCATACGCTAACCGGGTATAGCCTCCCCACTAAATATCATTTTTGAGACGGCCATGCAATACATCATTCGTGTTCGCGGTCGCTCAATCACCCCGTCATCGGCCGAGATTCAGACGAAAGTATCAATCAGAAAGCACATCCGGTCCTGCCTTTTGCCTATTACCGAGCGAAATTATTCCAGTAGTAATCGTATGCCCTGGTGGATTAAGTACTTCAGTAGCTCTGTTAGATAGTTACTAGTCAGGCACAGGACTTAGCCTGGCTTGGCTTTAAGCTGCCCAATGAGTGACGTCAGACTCTAGGAGGTTTCAATTGACAAAGTCCACACCAGTGTCTTTATTTTGTTGCGATGGGCTGAGATGGGAAGAGTATGTGCGTAGTGGTAAGGGTACTAGCAGTCTGCGCCAAGTGAGGCGTTGGTGTGGAAGGATCAACAGGTAACCTGAACTCAAAAGGGTGAGCGGGAACTGCAGCGTTCCAGAACTGTTTGTGGTTCATCGTCCCCTAATTTTCGTGCATGCTCTGGGAAGGAATAGTAGTAGCTGCTGTATTCATATCTGTAGCCTGTTTTCTCTATCAATTACTGGCATTCATAATGCTGCGCGATTGTTGATTGTTCGTTGTTAGCACCATCTTGATGCGACGTCGAATACATGTGGTCCGTTATATATATATATCGAGATATATCGAGACAAATAACTTCAGGCAGGTGAAGTAAATCCTGGCTTTGGTTGCGGCAATGAACACAACCAGGAATGACAGAGAAAAGGTTATGTGAGGGCTAGCTGAAGAAGAAGTCCGGACTGTGAGACCATACTGATGAGGGGATCAAGTTGATGCGACAACCATCCTGACACCCACAACAATGGCCGCAAAACAAACAAATGTCACGGGGCGGTCACATGGACAGGTGTGCAGATGTTTGTGGCTGGTGAAGGATGAGTGCGGCGCCCGTTTGTTTGGTCTGTTTGCCTGTGGGGAGGCAAGAAGGACTGACTAAGGTGACAGTCCTGTGACGGCCAGGGACATCACCGGAGCTACGGCGGCCTGAGGCATTATACGTTGTCCTGTCAACGGCGGCCGCTAAGCCGGATCAGGGGAATCACAACATAACAGCAGCCACTGAGCGTGCATCGCAGTTGCCCCCCAAAGCAGACTCATCGGCCTCGAGCCTATCTTCTTCTCGTGCGGCCAACTTTTCCCTCACTTCCTCTCCTCTCTCTTCCCCTCACGCTCCGCACTGTCGGTCTCCAGCCTCTACCGCTCCCTGTCCGGGCTCGTGTATATCTTCCTCCTCCTCCCCTGGACTTCCTCGTGCTATCCTTACCCTATCGGCACCCGTGTCTTATTTGCATCGCCGTTTGTTTAGGAGCGCCAACAGATCAGATCATGAGCCTTTAGTTCAGACCTGTTATTTTGTTTACTTCTCTATCCATTGACAGAGCTCCCTCTACTCCTTTCAATTGCAGCATTGCATCTCTTGACAGGTTCATCTTGTCAAGTCTTTCCTTTCTTCTATTCCTCTGACTACACCTTGCCCCCATTAGCGACTATTGTTTTGGTTGTCGCATCACCACAGTCAAGATGGCTACCAACAGTGGATATGGGCAAGTGATTGAATATATTCAAGGTTCGTTAGCTTCCTTTCATTGCGAACGAGCATATCGGATTCACTACAGCTGGAAATTCCGTCGCCAGTGGAAGTGATTCTCTGCAGCTTGCTAAGCGTTCGGGCAAAACAGATCGTCTCTACCTCGCCTCCTACGATAACCCTCCTGATGCACGAACCCCGTTTCCTTATCCCCTCGAGCAGCCGAGGTCACCGTCCAAGCGCTCTGCGAGGGCTCAGCCTAGCACTCCTAGCAAGAAGCGCAGCCCTGTCTATTTCACAGTAGATGATGTCTTGCTGTACAACTCCTTCCATGCGGATTTCGGCCCTCTACACATTGGTCACTTGTATCGTTTTGCGGTCCAGTTCCACGAGATCCTCGGGGAGCCTGAGAACCGTGACCGTGCAGTGGTATTCTACTCGAAGACGGATGCACGAAGCCGTGCCAATGCGGCCTGCCTGGTTGCCTGCTACATGGTCCTCATCCAGGCCTGGCCTCCGCACCTGGCTCTAGCACCTATCGCGCAAGCCGATCCTCCATACATGCCCTTCCGTGATGCTGGATATAGTCAGGCGGATTTCATCCTAAACATCCAGGATGTCGTCTATGGTGTGTGGAAGGCTAAGGAGCAGTCGCTTTGTAGCCTCAGGGACTTTAGTCTTGAAGAGTATGTATGACCCCAGTGGCTCTCATTGACTTTGCTGACAACAATGTCAGGTATGAGAAGTTTGAGCGTGTTGACATGGGCGATTTCAACTGGATCACCCCGCAGTTCCTCGCTTTCGCTTCGCCGCAGCACCAACCGATTGCGCCAATCCCTCAAAACACGCCCGAGTTTGCGGCGCTTCCATCGACCGTCTCCGAAGTCCTTTCTTCGAAGCTACCTCTTCCTTTCAAAAATGTCCTGGCGCACTTCTCATCCCGCAACATTGGTCTTGTTGTCAGACTGAACTCCGAATTGTACTCCCCCTCGTACTTCACGGCTCTGGGTATCACCCATGTGGATATGATCTTCGAAGACGGAACCTGCCCTCCCCTGCCACTTGTCCGTCGTTTTATCAAGATGGCACACGAGACGATCAGTAAGAAGAAGGGCATTGCTGTTCACTGCAAGGCCGGCCTGGGACGGACTGGCTGCTTGATCGGCGCATACCTGATCTACAGATACGGGTTCACCGCCAACGAGATTATTGCTTTTATGAGATTCATGCGGCCAGGCATGGTGGTCGGTCCTCAGCAGCACTGGCTACACCTCAACCAGGGTTCTTTCCGCGAGTGGTGGTACGAAGATTCGATGAAGGAGAAGCTGGCTCAGATGCAGGCTGCTCCCATCACTCCTGGACGGCCAACTACCAGACAGCGGGCCAATGGACCTGTCGCCACGCCGCCGAACAACGGCCACTCAAAGCGTGCTGCACTTGGCGAGATCGACCATAACGAAGGTGCTGGAACCCAGGCGGAAGAGTACCTTCCCGCACCCACTCCTGGACAGCCCCGCAAATCACATAGAAAAGATTCTCGCCATCACCCCTATGCCCGTACCACATCTGGAAGCTTGGTTGTGGACAAGGATGGCAATAAGAATGGCGAACAGACCAGCCACAGACACCACCGTCTCAGCAACGACAGCAGTGAGAGTGAAGAGGAGATTCAATTGCGTATGTTGGCGAAGCGTTCCTCGAGATCCCCTGTCGCATCTCCTAGTCAGCGGTCTGTTAGTTACTCGGCTACGGTAACTGCTAGCTACACCCTGAACGACGACGATCGAGAGAATTGGGGCGATGCTGCCGCTTATGCAGCACCGAAGACTCCTGTGAGCACCAAGAGTGGCAGTGGAGCGATTGCAGTAACAAAGGTTCGGACGAGCCCCAGGCGTGCCACAGACAGCAGGAGTGAGACGAAGGTCCGGAAGGCTAGCGGCCGCGTTGGTAGCGCCGGGAGTCCCACGCGGGTGAAATAAACGCCTCACCGGCGCAGGTATACTTCTTTTCTTCTCCGCGCTCTTGAGCCTTTTCAGATATCCTTTTCTTCGCATTTCTACTTTCTGCCTATTGTTGCTGCCGGGGTATAATATGTGCATAGTCCCGAGCATTTTCTCTTCTTTGCTACCTGCGCTTTGACTTCTACACTTTCTTTTTTTTGGCAATTCTCCGGTGCGGTTGTGGGTGTTGGGTTCGGGTGCAAAATCCATGGGTCTGGGTGTGCGTGTTTACGGCGTCTGGTTACACTGTTGATGGCCATATGATATCTAGAAGTTGGTCTGGAATACACCAAGTCTTTGATGGACACATGATGTTTATAGTGTGTCGAGTGACTGTTATCGATCAAACGCGTTTCTCTGTACGTATATGATCTACGTCGATATGACCGATTCGTTATGACCTGTCTTTCTGAGAAGGGGTAAATGCTTCGTCAAATTTGGTCAATGATAGGCATGTATCCGGTAGAGTTGTTGGCAGAATGCTCGCTGTCCATGCAAGTAGTTTATCGACCTGCCCCCACTACCCTTCGTACCGAGTGATGCAACGAAGTACTTGATTTCGCACGCAAATACTATGCATCACATCGTCTCTGTTAGGTAGCGATCATTTGCATATCTCCAACTGCGAAGCTATGCCTTCCGAAGTAGCATACAGCAGCCACTCCCATTTGACATGGTCGTCTATCCCAGAGACGGCCCAACCAAGCAGCTTCGTGATCCCTTACGACGCCAGATAAACCAAGTTATGCAGATAACAATAGTATATTTGCTCGACTAGGCCAATTGTCGAACTTAGTGGAACTGAGAGTGGTGTTTGCTATCCTTTTCCCTATGATAATGGCTCCGTTGCTCAATTGGACAGCTTTGAACCTTTCGCCTATAGGTTCAGGTTAGTTATCCTTTATAACAAAAAGCATTGTTAGTCTAACGGTTATGATACTCGCCTTCCAAGCGAGTGGCCGGGGTTCGACTCCCCGACAATGCATTCTTTTTCTTTTTCTTCGGCGGAATACTCCCCGTCCTGCAGAGACTTCTCTAGTCGTGATAATTGGTTTATCAATTTGAATGCAATTTTCAATAGAATACTTTTTGAATTACACGGGTGGTGAGATAAATTGCAGATCCTGTTTCTCTTGTACAGCTTGGTAACCAACTTGTGTCGGTCGTGAAAGCGGGTTTGCATGCTAGTATATGACTCCCTACCGACACGTAGAGCCATGCCTTTCATGAGTCAAGAACTATAACTTTACTCAAAGGAGATACATATCCCATTAATCTTTCGCTCTCTTTATCAAGACAGATGTTTATACCTTCTATCCAGACCATATACAGCCCCTTTCATACCCAAACGACCAAGAACATCTACCCACACTAGCACCTCCCCTCCAAGTGCACCCGAATCATATCCCGATACTCCCTCGCCCTCGGCGTACTCTCCTCAATCCCCTGCACCTTCGCCGCATCATCCCAAAGTCTCAACTTGACCATCTCATCACGTAACGGATCCGTCTCGAAGGCCTCTAACTCAGCGCCCTTGAACGGCCCGCCCTGGAACTCTAGTGATTTCTTCGATGCGGACGACAATGTCTCGTAGTATGCTTTATTTGTGGCGGTAAGGTATCTATTCCGGTTGATCATTATATTATCAGCTCGAAAGTTTAAAGACAGTAGTAGTAGATGTTAGGCTAGGAGAGAATAATACCGCTTCGCAGGAACATGACTCTCCACTAACCGACAAACCCTCTCACTGAAACCCAGTGAACGAAGATATTCCGCTCCGATGGTTTCGTGGCCCACTCGACCGACGTTCTCGGTGCTGTTACTGTTATTGGATATCAGGTTCATTCGGACTTCCGTTGTGGATGAGAGGGGGATGATTTGGCCGATATCGTGGAGGAGGGCGGCGAGGATTAGTTCGGGGGATGCGCCTGACATAGTTTGGTTTTTGAGTCTCTGTAATTTTCTATCGTTCTTCATCTTATGGTGATGATTTGGTGCTCTTGTAGTGGGGTGGAGTGTTTATCGTACCTGATTTCTGGGCTTGGTGCGCGGCTTGTAGACAGTGTTCGAGCTGACTGATGGATTCGCCGATGTAGTCGCCTTGTCCGTATTTCTCGAGGGAGTTTACGAGGTAGGTGGCTTTATCGAGGGGAGTTTCGGGAGTCATTCTGGAGAAGTAGGGGAGGAGGGAGATGTATGGAGGTGGTTTGCTTTGGGGAGAGGAGGATAATGAGGATGTGGGACTAGAGACGAAGGGGGGAGGGGTTATATAGGTACGATTTTCTGCGGGATTCATGAGCCCACGTGCTTTCGCTCTTATCAATTTTGTTTAGAGGTATTCTGGATTAGACTATAAAATATGATTTCGGTGCTGGAATGGTTGGAGATAGATTTCTTATTTGCGTCATTTAGTATGAAGTGTTGATCGTTAGATCTACATGGTTGACTGCTTCGCGATGTAGAACAGATTTTGTAAAATACTAGACTGCCGAATTGTTCGTTCCAAATATCTTCTTTCCCCTGTCCTTAGCAGGCTATACATCCACGGATTTACACCCTAATTTACGCTACGCCAGTACCGGCTGTTGACCCTCGACCGTAAGCATCGGGGAGCCATAGCCATACCGCATCCTGCCCTCTTCATACGACTCCCCCTCTTTCCGCATGTGTGTGGCAGGCCACAGCTTGCGGCGATCCTCATAGTACTGATCGTGCAGGTCACCCTCGGCCAAGCGGTTGTATGTGGCATAAATTGCGCGTCGGTCCTTGGAGCTGGTGTTGGCGCCACTTTTGTGGGCAAGGTAGGAGCCAAAAACGAGAATGTCACCTGCGTAAGATCATGGTTAATGCCTGGAATATAGCAGTCATAATAGAACAGACATACCCGGTTGCAGATTGCAAGGTGTCCATGTTTGGCTCTTGACCCACGTAGGCTCAATGCAGCGATCTTCTCCAAGGGGTACCTCCATGAGATGACTGCCATCAACCACGTCAAGCCCACCATTTTCCGAAGTCATCTCATCAACAGCAGCAAGCACTGTCAGGTGCTTTATTTTCTTGACGTGAGTATATGCATTAGCGTCGATATGCGGGGAGAAGCCACCTGCGTCGCATCAATTGGTACCCTGTCAAGTGCAGTAGGTTAACATTTCTTACCACTACCAGCGAGTTTGTAGTTAATTTTCTCTTTGAAAAGAATCATTTCCTCTGTAGCTAGCTGACGGAGAACGCTCATGATGCGTTCACCACGCAGAAAACTGTCGAAGCCAGCATGAGAATTGGCATAATTCTCAGTGCGGCAGAGAACCCTTTTGCCTTCCGCATTTACTTCCTGCAGCGGAAATTAGCTCGCCAGCCGTCTGCTAAAGAAAGGCGACACTATGATCTCACCTCATAAGGCATGTAAGTTGCATCTGGGGTTCGCGGAAGGTCATGCACTTCCTGAGTCCATTGTTGCAGGACCTTGGTCTCAGGATCATTGAAAAAGCCTCGGATGAGCAAATACCCCTTCTCCTGGTAGAACCGGAGCTGGTCCTCCGTCAGTGCATAATGGCTGTTATCCATGATGCCGGCGTTGTTGTGATGGGACTGATGCTTCGGTTCAAACCAGCAGAGAGCACATGTCCTTTTTCCTGACAGAGACTGGGGCCATCGCCCCCATAAATCCTCTATTGCGAGCCCCTTCCTCGTGAACATTACTTACATCCGGTTGCCGACCTTCATATGTCACCAAGCCGAGCCAGTGCGAAGCCCGAGTGCCAGAGTGGGGCATTCGGAGCACGAGGCAGAAGTGTCAACGAGGGGTTACGCAGAGGCCAGGCACGAGACAGGCTGACCCTTGAACGTATCTCGAGGCATAGAACCACTCAGGATGCGATGAAAGGCCCATGTGCACGGGACGAGGCGCTATCATAGGGCGCGGGCCGTCCTGATAAGCCCCGCCAGGCTACGGCCTTCTTCCCTAAGCGAGGCGGAGATCCCCGCCAGGGCCCAGCCTGGACAAGGTATAGTCCATCCTTAGTCCATCCTTTCTGTTACATCAGATAGACCTCGACGAAAACTTTCCGCCTGCTGTATGGAAGGTGGGTTCGTCTGCCGGCAGCGATGCGACGCTATGTATCTCGTGCGAGCCATGCGGGCTGCTATTGGATAGCATGGCACGTTCTCGAGGAGTCCATTCCTCTCCAAGGAACCCTGAGCTGCTGCGAAGTAGATGTCTTGGGAATGCAAGGGACAAGTTAAGGACAGACGATACTCCACGTAATTGCTCTGACTACTTTTGCTCGATGGGCACTCTGTGACAATCAACACCTTGCAGTTCCCTATCATGGCTGTATCGACCAATTGCTCCGCGACCGAACAGGTTGAAATCACCACGAAGTATAGCCATCAGGTAGAAATAACAAAGCAAGATGACACCGAAGCTATCGAAGACGGTGAGTTGGTGGCCTCGTCGGGCGTTTTGAACGTTGTCGTCTCGGGACTGGGGCTGTTCAGTGATGGCTATAATGCTCAGATCAGTGAGTGCACCTTTGGGCGAAACTTGTTATTCTCAGCCTGCCTAAGAAGTATCACTAATCTCAGTATCCGTGATGAAGTTGGCTACATGGAGCCCCTATTTTCTGTCTTGTTCGTCCCCACCAAAATCCCATTGTTTCGGACTCTCTAATAACGAGATTATTGCACATTCAGGTACAAGAATACCATGTCCTCAAGCATCAAAACCAGATTATCAAACTCCTTTCTCATCGGTGAGATTTTTGGCATGCTTTTCTTCGGTGCTCTGATCGATCGAGTCGGAAGAAGAACAGGAGTGGTGGCTACTACATCGTTCTTGGTGCTTGGTATCATATTGTCTGCTGCAGCACATGGCACTTCAGAGTTGGGGTGAGGCTCGCTTCCACCGAACGAGTTATATCCTGGGAATACTGACTCGATGTTTAGGATGTTTTGGATGATGATTGTAGCTCGCGGCATCGCTGGCTTCGGAGCTGGCGGCGAATATCCCGTCTGCGCAACCAGTGCAACTGAAGCGGCTGATGAAACCGCCAATCTCCGAAAGAAGAGAGGATTTCTGGTCGCGTCAACCACGGATTTTGCGGTGGACATGGTACGTGTCTGGATACTATTAGGACTGAGCTCCACCTCACTAAACTGACCCTTGCCTAGGGCTTTGTGGCTGCCGGTATCGTGGCCCTCATTGTTCTTGCTTGTTTCCACCAGGACATCAAGAGTGGTGTTTGGAGAGTTTGCTTTGGACTTGGCTTTGTGGTATGCTCTAAGACCCCTCAACACGAAGGGGTGTGCTAAAATCGTGACAGATTCCGGTTTTCATGTGTTTCTTTCGGATACGTATGATCAACTCGAAGCAATATCGTAAGCACGCCATCAAGTCGCGATATCCATACTGGCTTGTCCTTCGGAGATATTGGAAACCGATCCTGGGAACCTGTAAGTGGTAGACCTGAGTATATTCTCTTTACAGCAGAAGCCCTGATATCCCAGCTCTCGCTTGGTTCTGCTACGACTTTGTCACGTATCCGTTCGGACTCTTCACTTCGACCATCATCGCCCAACTAAGCCCGAACAATACGACAGTGGAGAATATTGGTTACGGTGTACGTGAAATAAGCAGCCGGATGTCATGATGTGGAGATGCTGATATGGTCCACCAGACTGTCATAAACTGCTTCTATCTTCCTGGCTGCCTGCTGGGAGGGCTCCTGATGGATAAGATTGGAAGAAAGCAGAACATGACCCTCGGTTTTGTGCTCTGGGGTGTATGGGGCTTCATCCTGGGCGGTGCTCTCCGTCCGATACAGTCTGTATTCCCGTTGTTCGTCGTCATGTACGGCATTTTCAACGCCCTGGGAGAGATGGGCCCCGGAGTGTCGACCTTCCTGTGTGCTGCAGAGTCATTTCCCACCCCTCTTCGTGGCCACTTTCTCGGTCTGGCCGCCGCAGTTGGAAAGGCGGGTGCATCAATCGGGACAGAGGTATTTACGCCCATCCAGAATTCGTTCTCGTCTACCGAAAAAGGTCAACAAGCTGTCTTTCTGATCGGGTCGGCTTTCTGTATGGTTGGTGCGTTGATAGCGTGGTTCTTGATTCCGGATATGTCGCGGGAGTTGGAAACAGAGGACGCCAGATTCAAGGCATATTTGGAAGAAAACGGGTACGATATCAGTTCATATGGGGAAGCACTTTGTGTCGAGCGGAAGGATAGCTAGTTGGGACTTGTAGGCCATGAGAAAAGTAAATTTCAGCGAAACGGTGACGCGTGCAGTCTATAATGTCGATGAGGCGATAATATGGTCTTTCTCTGGCAGTGAATTCGATGTTGATGCCGAGTAAACTTCGATCTCATCTGGTTCAGAATGGGAATCCGTTTCTTGGACAGCCCAAGCAATACATTCGCGCCAACCTAGCGGCAATTTCTGATGGACGGCCTCCACGATTCCTTTCCCCCAATATGCCATCCATATGTTTCTCCGTAACCAATGGAGAGTAACTGCATAGTTGGCTAATATGACTAGAGCTAGAGGCTCTCCAGTGCGCACCATTGACCAGAACTCTGGGGGACTCATCACAGCAAAATACGAGAATGTCATTTTAGTGCGGCGATACATTACTGCCATTGCAAGACTATGTCTCAAAGTTTGTATGGTCGGTTCATATATACCCATGCGAGCGGCTTTGGGCATCATCGCAGCGCGTGAAAGGAGTTTGCCTAGCACATCCTCGAGCTCAGATGAAAGCACTGTTGGTGGAAACGGGTGTGGCAACATCAAGACGGACCAACGACTACGTGCCATCGTTTCGTGATCAGCTTTGACAAGAAAAGATGATCCTCGAATGAGAGAGAAGACCTGGTGAAGCCTATCTATAGGGTCTTCTGTAGGCTCAAAGGGACGCTGGATCCCAAAGGTGTAGAGGACGACAATGCATGAGAATGCAAAAACAGCATCATGATTTTCTGGTGTGATGTTAGAGAGGTGAGGCCGAAACATTGCGACACCAAGATCATGATGGCGGATAGCCATGACCGTATGTCTCTGCGCTGAGACACCCCTCAGAGCCAAATGTAAGGCGCTTAGCCCCAAGAGGCCGTGCAACAGAAAGTTATGCTTGAAAGCCAGCTCAGTAACCCACTCTCCCCAAAACGACTGGTTTTGGTCTTGTGGTATGATGACGTCCGTGATACTTTTTGATGTGTGTAAGGCGTAGTGATTCATTAACTTTAACCGTTCCTTTTCTATGTCCGTAAAATCACACTCCACGTCAGAGTGTTCCGTTCCAGGCGTGGAAGCTGCAACAGACATCAGATCGCTAGGGGAATGACTGCCATATCCGTCGGATATGCTAGATGATTGGTTAATGACGCGAGATGAGTCGTTACTGGCTTGATTCTGAGGCATTGCATTTCTGGGTGCGACAAACACCAGATTCGCTGTCTGAGTAGCTAACGAGCAAGCCGAACGTATCCTTCTGCATCGGCCACATTGGGGTCTATCTTCGTCGCACTACTAGGGTGAGCACGGGACGCACACGGAGCCATGCAACCTACCTTTGTGCGATTCTTCTTGCACTGCAAACAGCCATGTCGGCTCTTGTTGTGGTAGCGCCTTTGGGGCATGAGTCGTGGTGCTATTAGACTGTGGCTGCCTAATGGCAACAGACCGATTATTCGGCTATCATTAGAAGCCTCAGGAGTGGTGAGGAAATAATGTGGTGGATGAACGGCGGAGACCCTTCCAGGAGAAGACACCTGTTATGATGGTATCGTTGGTGATGACATGAGGGCGCCCTGAAGCCTGGGTCAGCCCGATAACCGGTTATATTAATTAGATAGCTACCATAGCTCTGAGGTGAGAAGTGGCGCGGAGCGTATGTGAGCAGTGACCCGTGGATCACCGGCACGCTAGTCCTCATCCGGTAATTTGTACGTGGTACGGTCTATAGTACCTGGGATCGAGCATCCTTTCAAGCTTTCTCTTTCGCTCATCTGTTTATCAACGTGGAACATGCATCGGATATTAACTGATGTGCTACTCCTATCCCCGATAAACTCCTAAAGTCCGTGCCAAGCATTTCACTTTCCTCCATATATGAGGCCTCTCAGACCTCGCTGCGCTGTTTCGAATTCGATACTCATCCTTCATAACCTTTCACTACCTATAGCAATCTACCATGGTCGGATTAGACGACGTGCATGCCTCTAACACTGCCCTAGTTCAGCGCCAGCCATTGGTTGCTGTTTTCTTTGGCGGTACCTCAGGCATTGGTCACTATACTCTGCGTGCCTTGGCCACGGCAGAAGCCAAGGGTGGCAAAGGCTTCCGTGCATATATCGTTGGCAGAAATATCAAAGCCGCTGAAGAAATTATCGCAGAATGTCGTGGCATTTGTCCCAACGCCCAGATCAGATTCTTGCAAACTGAGGATATTTCGCTAATTCAGAACGTTAATCGCGTCTGCGAAGAGGTCATTCAGATGGAAGAAAAGGAGCAAGAAGATCCAAGGATAGATTATCTCATGCTAAGTCAGGGAGGGCCTATCTTTCAGCCACGGAAAGGTGCGCCTAATACTATCTGATATGTCTGCACTTCTGACAGTTTCGCAGACACCAAAGAAGGTATCGACGTCACGATGTCTTTGATGTACTATTCTCGAATGAGAGCAATAACAAAGCTCCTTCCATTGCTACTCAAGTCGACTCTCCCCGCAACAGTCGTTTCGGTCTTTGCAGCAGGCTACGAGCAAAAGTTATTTCCCGACGATCTCTCTTTGCGCGATCTAAATAACTATAACTATTTGACTGCTCGCTCACATATGATATACATGCATGTATGCTTCATGGAAGCTTTGGCTGAGCAGAACCGAGGGAAGCTTAGTCTGATTCACATCTTCCCTGGCCTCGTGTTAGGACCCGGGTTTGAAAAACATGATTTGCCCGTTTGGTTTAGGGTGCTGTGGCGTTACATTTTTGTTCCCTTCTTTGCACCGTTCCTTACTATTCCACCATCTGAGAGTGGTGACAGAATGTTGAGCCTTGCATCGTCTCGTTATCCGCCACGAGGAGCAAGTTCGTCGCAGAACCAAGGGGAGACTACTATGGGGACGGATGGTAAGCTTGGAAGCGGTGTATACTCCCTTGGTAAAACGGGAGATACCAACTACAACGCCAAGTACTATGAGAAGATCGACAAGGACCAACTAAGGCAGAAGGTGTGGGATCACACTATGAGCGCTTTTGAGACTATCGAGGCAGGGGAAGTTTTTGCGGATTGAATCCTTGGCGGGAGGGGGTCTCGTGAATGGTTTAGGGAATGAATTGTTTTATTAAACTTTGACCGTTGGGCTCAGATTGTAGCAATTTGCGGAGACTAATCCGCCGTTGCGATTTAGATGATTTGAGCTTCACTGGAGTTTGGTAGATACAATCTGCGGCTATCTGGCTTAAGTCAGGACTATCTCAGACCGTGTTAGCTCCAGCTCCGAGCTTACACTCGGAGATCTCGGCAACTCCGCGGAGGGCCCATTCATGTCCGGGAACAGCCTCCGGACATAGCCTCAACTACGGAGTATACAAAAAGGCGACCTTTCCCGTCTAAATACAGATGCTCAGATAACCATTGACTACTTTTAAGAATACCCAAGCTCCACCTGATCGTCACGACATGCCCAATCCCGCAGCCGCCAACCTTGTGGCCTTAAATTCGTCAACGCTTGGCACTGCGATGCCAGAAGTGACTCTACCGGATGGCAGCAAAGTGCAGACAGGCACAGTGGGGTGAGTGATCCTTCAAATTCACTAATTCATTGCTTTGAAATATGCACTGAACTAATGTCGAGTCTAGAGCACTGCTGGTCAACATTCGGGCATATAATGACGCACATGCAGCTGGGGACAAAGTCAAAATGGACACGCTCAGGATGGCTCTTAGAGCCGCGATCCCGCTGTTGACGAAAGTGGGCATGTTTGAGCTATTTCCGCCGGAGGAGTGGATACAAGGGGATAATGAAGGGCGAAAGCTGGTGGGGCAGATGTATCTGGAATTGATGGAGTCAGCGTGACTGTAGATAGTCTGTTCCATGTTAGTTTGACCTTAATAACTTGTGGAGAGTTTTGCTAGAGTTATGGTTTGTCAACTCATTATCTCCGAATCTCCTGCACATACCTCTGGACGCGATACCAAATCAAGTTAGTTCCCGCTCTAGAAGCATTCAGTCTCGGGCAGGTCAGGCCTGCTTCTTGATTTACCCGCCCTCAACACTTGCTTCAAACTTTCGCTCTCGACTATGACATGATAGTAATGAGTTGATCACTGCCTTCAATGCCGGTTGTCTCTTGCAAAAATGCCAGACTCTAATCTGCGCAGCCGCCAATATCGATCAAATGCATTTCGCCGTAATGGGTCATTGCAATCGTGCGAGCCGTGTCGCAAATCCAAATTGCGATGCGACCATGAGAGACCAGTCTGCGGCAGATGCCTAACAAAGAATATGGTATCGGAATGTTTTTATCATCCAGCACCGATGACGAAGAATTCGGCTGGAGGCTTGACCAAGTCTGCCCGAGAGCCACGAGGGAGAAACAGCCAGTCAATTGCAAGGTAACAACCCTCCTATCCACAATAAAGTATGCATGGAATCCAGCGCACAAATTGTGCTGACATTGTTATAGCTCTCCAAGCTCAGTAGCAGCCATAGAGAGCGCTCTTCCAAGCCAAAATACTACGTTGGAGCTGCCCTCTGCTTCTCCTGGATACTTGGGCTCGACAAGCTACTCAGCCATTCTTGCGGAGCATCGATCCGATTTCTCTCTCAATGTAGATAGCAGCTCCATGTCCACCGCAGCGACCCATTCTATGGAACCCGAACGCCTCCAGACTGGAGTGCGGTTGCTAAAGCTACTTCATAACCTCACAATATGCGATATGTTGATCCGGAGATATTATACCCGAGTCCTTGTTGCTGTCATTCCAGAGATCGTCACAATGTCTATTGTACGCTCCGCTCGGAATATTCTCGGGGCCCTTGATTTCACCGGGGATGTCGAAAATCAGCTTCAACACACAGTTCGTAAGGTGTCGCAGAATACTTCCAGGCCGCTGCCAAACTATAGGTCGATGACAGTGGAGCGATATTGTGCTTCGTTTACCGAGCAAAATTTACGTTGGGAAGCTATAGGCATTATATTCGCAACTGCTGGTATATCGCTCTCATCGACGCCCGAGAGTGACCCAGATCTAAACCAGGTGGCGGCGGACACCTCAGCCCGGGAGAGACTTCGCGCTCAGCTTGTCGAAGCGAGCAGCACCTGTCTCACCTTTTGCGACCAGGCTTCTTCAGTCAATGAGCTATTGGGATTTTGCCAGTATAGCAGCTTTGTACTTCTCACCCATGTCTACGGTGACTCAAGTAAGTACAGATATCTTGCTTCTTCAATATCTTCTTCCTAAGACGTAGCATACATACACTAACTGTCATCTGAATATAGGCTATCAAGCCTGGCGTCGCCTTCGTGAATTATCCGCTACAATCTATGCGGCTGGTCTTCATCAGGAGAGTCTTATGGGCGATGATTGCCCTTTCTTTCTTCGACAATGGAGAAGATTGTGCTTTGCTGCTGCCTTCTCGGCAGATAAGAATCAAGCCACATTCGTGGGACGACCGCCATCCATAAACTACCGCTACAGCACACTAACACCCCCGCTGGATATTAGCGAAAGAACGATAGTCCAGGGTGGGGATGAGCTAGTCGCGGCAATTTCAAGATTGGATGGCTTCGGATGGGCATCCAAAGATGAGGTCGACCGAGCAAGTGTGCTCCGTCTCCGTTTCATCTTCGCCGTGTTCAGGGAGCGAGCTCTCGAGATAGCCTTAGGGACCAGCGAGCACAGTGATACGGTGCAGAAATCCAAGTGAGTCGGCCTCATACCCTGGCTCTCATGCAAGCGCAAATGGCTTCGTCGCTAAACCATTTGAAGTGAAATTATAAAGCAAGCGCAGGAGTCATGGGTAGCGTGCCCCGTCCGTCTCCGTTACGACGTGCCTGCGGAAGGAACCGAGTCGGAACCTCCAGCAAAGTCGTTTACCCTGCTTCATATTCACCTCGACTATCTTTATACCCTGTTCCTTCTGCAGAGGACTGTTGTTAAACGCACAAATACTGGGCATGAGGCTCTTTTCGATACGTCACGAAAAATGTTGTCTAATATTATCAAAGGCAACGTTGACAGTGACCCAGCCCTCGACTTGAGTAGACATCGTGCTTGGATTGTAAGTCGAATACCGCTTGCAATATGCTTTTCTTTTCTGTACATTAACATGGTGCAGTTTCTTTACTACGGCCTCCCCAGTGCCAGCGTTCTCATCCTCGAGCTCCTTCACCAGAATCAGGGAATTGGTACATACACTACTGCGTTACCGCGAGCTGAAATCATCCGGAATCTGAGTGTTTTCATATCATGCCTCTCCTGGGTAGCGCGACCGGGGCATGGCAATTACCACACGTGCAAGGAAGCGGAGAGGAAGTTGTCCCATATTCTCGACCAGGTTCTTGATCCTCAGCCCATCGAGGACATGGCTTTGAACGATGCGACCTCTGGCCTGTACAGTCTCCTGGACTGGTACCATCCCAGCAACCCCAACAACTGGGACTTCAATTCCGAGTATCTACCTTTGCAAGACTGACTTTTGTGAGAGCTGCATAGTTCTGTAAACATATGGGTATCGCATTAATCATCAAAGGTCATTAACTCATGAAAGAGGATCCCAACTATCGCCCAGGACCAACCAATGGGAACCCACATATGGACTGGCCCATGTCTTCTATAAATCCGAAGAGAAGCAGACAATGCTGCCCTCGTGACCGACAAGACTCGAGTGGAGTAAGACCGGCGCGGGGTGAAGGCCCAGACCCAGACAAGACACCAAAACGCCGCGTGAACATGGAGAAAGGGGTCAGTCGCATTCACACCATCCACACAAACTCATTACTTGGATGGGTCTCTTGGACGTAATATGCTCTATGGCAGAGTGGACAATTAAAATGGTCTTGCAGATACCACTTTTCCAGACACTCTCGATGGAACACGTGCAGACATTTGAGTTCCCGGATTTCCTGGCAGCGCAGAACCGACTCGAGGCAAACAACGCTGTCAACGGCATCGTTAGTGGGCGAACAACTTGCTAGCGTTGCCGCTAATTCAGCCGTTGGTCGGCGGATGCAAGCTAAACGTACCATATGAAGTCGCCATCAACACCTTCGGACGGTAAAAGCGGCCCTTTAGCTCGCGACCACCAGTCTTCTAATGTCCGAGTGGGGGAGACAGCATCCAGCTTGCGTAGTTTGTCGTTTGAGCTGCCTTTGCTCTTAAGAACCGGATGGCGATCACGCCGATTGACGAAAAGGGTCAGACTATTGAGTTTTAGGGTATTAGTGGCGCGAATGCGATCATGACCATCATCGGGCACAAAGATGATTAGGGGCTGGCTAAATACTCACAGCAAACACATGATGATTAAGGTCGCGACTCCTAGTCCGATTCCCAAGACAATGGCCATGTGGTGATTCACCTGAGTGTTATCCTTTTTCTCCGACAACCCCATGTTCCTCGCCGTGGGGACTCGGTGTGGACGGGTTGCGAGCGAGCGAGAGAGGCGACAATCCTCAACCGAGGCTGAGGATGTCTTTCCTGATGGTTATGTTCTGCCTTCTCGTTATTTCTGAAGAAAATTGTTCCACAGTCCCGAGGATTCTGGCCGCTAATAAAGGACACGAGCCACCAAACGTTGTGCCTCTGATCGTCGTCACCTGGCGGGGTATGCGCCAACCATGCTTTATCAGGCCATCCCGAAGCCATCAATCAGCAGACGCTCGTGAGACGTGCATTTCCCACGGTCGCTGACGCCCGAATATTCAAGAAAAAGGAATGGAGGGCGTGACTGAATAACACTATGGTTTTAAGATCAGGAAATCACAGTGCTATCGCCATCACCATGACAACACAAGGTTCCTTTTGTCTGGCTTCAGACTATGTGCCACCCACGAGCTTTATTCCCTTGAAAGCCCAGCCAGAGGCATCTGGCTGCCTGCATTCCACGCCTGTTTCCCCCAGGTCATTCGGCAGCAGCTTCTCCCAACTACTAGCGCAGGTTGCCGCTGGGGGGGCTCAGCAGCGCACATCCATCACTCTAAACGATGCTACTAACCCTATGGCACTGACCGTCGGGCGATCGCTGCAAGCATTGATTCATTCCTTCCCATGCGCCCCGGACTAACTTCCTTGGCGCGGTTGCAAGGGAGATTTTGATGGATGGTCGGCTGAGCATGATTTTGGTGGCGGTCGCACTAGCCAGAAGCCAGCAAATTAGCAGGTCATGCCATGTCGTGCCAGGTCATGCCACGGCTGCCGATCCACACAGATCCCCCGGATGTGCAGCTCACGCTCGTTGTTACCCATGGCTATGACGCAGCTTGCTCCTGTCTTGTATAAACAACACGGTTATCCGGATCTTCACACTCGCTGATCGGGACGCCGAAGACAACACACACTGCTGACTCTGCATCAACTGGCTTCCCCCTTCTCGGGGATTGGACTGTCTAGCTTACTCCAAAAGGTTATGTTTCCTTTGCACGCTTATAGGCCGCAATGTCGGTAGCCCAATATACCCAGTTGACTTGTCCCTCATTACCACCCACCTAAAATGGCGCCGTCCTCAACTTATGAAGCAGCATGCCCCTAGCTATCCCTTACCAGAGGCGTTGGTCGCACAACACCTTTGACTCAAGGAGCTGCAATTCCACTTAAGGCTGCATTGTTCAGACAACGGGCTTCCTACCCTCACCCCGATAGCAATATAGAGAGCTGCACAACTACCCACCCGTACAAGCCGAGACCAACTCTTCACTACAACAATCCCATAACCATGGCCTCACCCGCGCAAGCCATCACGCTCGAAGAGCATGCGATATTCCCATCCCTCGAAAGCAACAACTTCTTCTACGACAACACATGGAAGATATACCCCGAATGTCGCAACCTCGCAAAGGACCACTCCAAAGCCCGCCTCGCCAACATGGACGCCGGCAACGTCTCCTACCAGATCCTCTCCCACCTGCCTGGCGGTATCGCCTCAACAGACCCCGCCCGCTGCCACGCAGCCAACAACGAAATGGCCGCCGCCATAAAACAGCACCCAGACCGATTCGGCGGCTTCGCAGCGCTCCCGATGGCGTACCCCCTCGAAGCCGCCCAAGAACTCCGCCGCACCGTCACTGATCTCGGCTTCCTCGGTGCCCTAATCGACAATCACCTCCCCGACGGAACAACCCACTACGACGACAAACGGTTCTGGCCCGTCTTCGCAGCCGCCGAATCCCTCGATGTCCCCCTCTACATCCACCCTTCCACTCCATCCCCGGAATCCATCCAATCCCGCTTCTCCGGCAACTACCCCCTCCCTGCAGAACTGGGCCTCGCGTCCGCAGCCTGGGGCTGGCACGAGAACGTAGGTCTGCACATCTTGAAACTCTACGCGGCAGGCGTCTTCGAGCAATACCCTAAATTAAAGATCGTAATCGGACACATGGGCGAGCTGCTACCGATCATGTTGCATCGGGTTGCGAGGTTGGGGTTTTTCAAGGAGTTGGCGGCCTCAAGACGCAAGGGGATTATGGATGTTTGGAATGAGAATATTTGGGTTACGACAAGTGGGGTGTTTAGTATTGAGACGCTGATGATGCTGTTGCAGGTTACGAAGGTGGAGAGGGTGATGTATAGTGTGGATTATCCGTTTGAGGATAATGTTACGGGGAAGGAGTTCTTGAAGAAGGTGAGGGAGTCGGGGAGGTTGTCGGCTGAGGAGGTGGATTTGATTGAATTTGGGAATGCGAGGGAGTTCTTGAAACTGGGGAGTAGGGCGTTTCTTTGAAAGGGGATAGAGACTTGGATGGGTAGATATGCAAGAGTAGAAGAGAAAAGAGTTATTATGGTATAGAACGAGACTCATATACTTTCTGGTGGTGAAAATAGAGACACTGCGATTCAGCTGATCATGACCGGGCCCCCCACTTCTTTGATACCATAACGCACTCCGTCATGGTCACACAGTACTCGTATGCTCAACATTAATAACCGATACCCCCGTCTCATCTGCCTTCTCAGTCTCCACTGTTCCTCCCTTGGCAGCCACATCCTCAGGAAGCATTCCCAGGGCCCGACCACCAAAGAGTAGATCGATCTCTTCGAGTGATTTTTGATTTGTCTCTTTAAAGAAGAAGTAGACGGTTGGGAGGGTGATGCATACGTCTGTTTTCGATTCCGATGATTAGCAGGCAAGCAGTAAGTGAAAGGAAGGGAAAAGGAAAAAGCCAAAATGGGAAAGGAGGATGGGTCACTCACTCCACGCCGCAAACACGAAATAAAACTTCCACTGAATTTTGTCCAGCGCGATCGGGGAGACCTGGTTCCAGAGAGTGCTTACGGCCCAGTTGCCGATTGCGGTGGCGAAGGCGTTTCCTCGACCGCGGATTTGCATTGGCATTACTTCTGCCATGTAGACCCTGTATTATAGATGTCACGTTAGTGAGAGAAAATGTCTGTGTCAATTCAGAGTGGGGAGAGGCACTAACCAACTGCAAGGACCAAATGACAGAGAAAAGATAACAGTGATACAGAAGATGAAGAAAACGCCACCGATACTGTATCCCTTTCGAGTGCCGTCCAGGTTCTGCGAGTAGAGAGCTGCTTCGCAGACGAGGGCAATGGTGATAGCAATTGTTCCGAACAACATGGGCTTGCGGCGCCCAACTCGGTCGAGAAGGAAAAAGATGAAAATGAAGTTCGTGATGGGACCGACGCAGTTGTAGATTCCTGCTACGAGGGTGTTGCGGTTACCAGTGATGCCGAGGGCGTTGTACATGATTGTTTGATAGTAGTTCACGACATTGACGCCTGTCATCTGGGTGAATACTTGGACGGCGATCCCGTGCCTGTTTGGGTGGGGGAGTTAGTCAAATGCGGGGTTGAATATTGAAATGTTGGTACGACAAGGAAACGCACATGAGTCGGGTTCGCCATTGAGGCACACGAAACATGATGAGCCATCCGGGAACTGTGACAGCTTTTTCGGCTTCAATGGTGGTTTTGATCTCGTTGTACTCGGTCTGAATCCAGTCCTCGTTGGTGCCGTCGAAGTGAAGTCTCCGGAGGATTTTCATGGCTTCCTCGTAGCGTTCCTTTTCGATCAGGTAACGAGGTGACTCGGGCATGAAAAACATGCCTATAACCAGGAGAACTGCAGGGACAGCCTGAAAGGCAAGCGGGAATCGCCATTGGAACTCGCTGGTATTCGGTGCATGAAGGGAGCCGTAGCCGACCCAGCTAATCTTAGGTTAGTATTTTTCTTGCTCGAGAGACACTCTGCTTCGGTTGAGATGGTGGTATACATACGTACTGACAATGAATCCAACACCGATCATCTGCTGGGCAAGACCGATGATGAACCCACGCGAACGGGGATGAGCGACCTCTGCTTGATACACTGGAACAGACATCGACATGAGACCAACAGCCCAGCCGGCCAGAATGCGACCAACAAGAATCATAGCCAAATTCTTCGCTGACGACTGGAGAATAGCGCCAATCATGCATATGAAAGCACCCATTTGGATAGTGAACTTTCGTCCGAAGCGATCCATCGTCAGCCCTCCCTGGAGCGCACCAATGCAAGCTAGCAGCTATTGTTAGCCAGCGGCGCAATGCACGGGATGAACAGAGACCAAGCCAGAAAGGATGACCTACCACCCCCCGAAAATGTGCTGTTAATAGCACCGATGATGGATGATGTCTGGGTGGTGTTGAAGAAAGCCAGAAAGTTTTTAGACTCGATTACGTCCGTCATAACACCGCTGTCGTATCCGAACAGAAATGACCCCGTAGCTGCAAATGCAGCCAGGCCAATTGTAAAGTATCGACCCATCTTGAGACACCGATGGATATGTTATTATGGTGTGTCAGTCTCTTATGCCATGAAGTTGCGTTAAGTGGGGCCTTGAACAACAGAACTTATAAAGAAGAAAAAGGCACAGGAAAGGACCCCGAGCGGGGGTGGGGTAGACAACATGGCCTATATACGTGATCCCTGTTAAGCCTTATTGCGGGATCGAATCCATGTGGATTGTAGCGAGCTCATCGCTTTGCATGCGTCAGACTGGGCACGGGTTGACCGGTGGACGAAAAGGCCGATGGCGAAGCGAGGGTTTGCAGGAAGCTTGAAAATCCGGGGTGGCCAGCCGGCCCGGGACTAGTACGACCACCTCGCTCCTGATTGCGTCCACTCCAAAGTAGTAAGCTTCCCCAGCCGATATGATTGGCGTTTAACACACTAACACAAGAAGCGCCGGTCTGGTCAGCCCGTGCGGTTGCAGTCCGCTTGAGGGAATCTGGCGGCCAGCCGGAGAAGGATTCTGCCTCAATGACAGCCACTAGTGTGTCCCGTCCGTCCAAACCGAGCTTTTGATAAGCCAATAGGGTATTTGAGTTCCGGTTCTCCAGGTTTCGGGTATGGTGACTACCCAACCTTCTGGCCACTGCTTTCTATAATTGTTCTATTGCTCGTCCGGGGTAGCGGCCCAGGTTGCCGAGGCAGACAGGCACGAAGCAAGCAGATTGGCAGACTAGCAGTGGTCTAGGCTAGTCTAAATTTGAGATTAATCCTGACATGCCCCATGAGCAAACAGGGTGCTGCGGTGACAGGTTGGAGTATAGAGCAGAAGTTGAGGCGGGAGGTAGTCTTTGGCCGGGCACATGATGTCCCCACGTGCCCCTGAGTCTTCCTTCTCTACGATTGTCTGCGACTCACCTCCATTCTGATTTCTGTCATAGAAGACTATCGTGCAACACCAGGGACAAAGGCTTAGATGCGGGGTAAGCATGATAGCAACTACTATTCCTTTAGAATCCACTAACATCCGCTCATCTCATGCAGCCTCAAAGCAAGCAAACTGGCCACGCACGAATACCCTTTCGGACAAGGAGAAATAGCCGACTGGTTAAATGCAAGGCAAGCGTGGCGTTTCAATGGAAACTCAGAATGGATCTCACGTTTCGATTGACGGAAACTGGTCAGCCAAGCCAAAAGGATCGCAGCTTATTGAAGCTATTCGCACCAATCCGAAGAAGAACGTATGCCCGATTCTTTTTCAATAACCATAGAATTCCTGATAATACTAACAAGCAGTAGCCTCCGTTCCATATATGATGCCTTCAGGGCGAACATGTAGGTCTGGATAGATTTGGGAGACATCAATCTTTGTTGCCTGGGACGTTTACGGACTAAGCATTAATAATCGGAATTGATCACGCCGGACTTGGGAAGCTTGGCCATATCTTAAAGCACGAGATTTACCAAGATCTACTGCAATCCTAGTCGGTCACCCTGGTTTTAGTCTCTATACAATTTTGGGGAAAGGATGGGAGAGATAGTGGATGTCAAGAGAGGCGCAAAAGAAGAACCCAATTAAATCTAATCGTACAAAATCTTCCGTTCCTTGTTATTACCATGACATGTCTTAGATAAGTCAAAAGCATGCCACCTTTGAAAACCAAATAAACCCACATGTTTTTAATTTAAGCTTTGATACTATAAATCGCCTGTTCAATATCTAACAGCTCATCAGCTCGCTTCACAGGTCCTCCCCAGCGCACTCCTCCTTCGGCGTCAACCGCCCAATTGCCACTCAACTGCCATCGACTACCACTCTCTGTAGGCCTGTTCCAGATCCCCCTTTCCCAGCCTAGCTTCCCGATAGATAAAAGTCCAGCTGGACTCAGAACATGGCTCCAAGAAGTGACGCCCAGGCCCCATTGCGCATAGATCTTGCGATCAGCATCGACGATGACAGTCACGGGGTTGGAACCCGATTCACCGGTTCCGCCAATAGACTCCAGCCATCTCTCCGTTGATGGCTGGTCGCTATGCGATACAGCGACAAAGTTGATCTCGGAGTGGTTTTCAGCGGCAGTACGCAGCTCGAGAAAAGTTGCTTCCGCCACTTGCAAATACCGTTAGTCTGATGGCAAACTGCGCATTTTGAGAGGCCTCACTGACCAGGACATCCACAGTGCCTGAGGAATGAAATAATGGTTGGTCTGTTGTTGTTGGCTGGGATGGGCAGTTCCGGGCACGAGGGAGCCTTATCCCCAGCCTGTGGTGCAGGAGAGAGCTGCACAGCTGGCGGCGAGAGCCACGAGGCGGCTTCTTGCGACAATGACATATGTGTCTACTACTCAGTACTGACACTAAAAATAAATCGACAGTCAGTGACTGAAACACCAGGTACGTATGTATGTTTGAAGTGAGAAAGTTCTGTCGGACTCCATCTCATAATGGTGAGCTAACAGCTCGGCCCAGCCCGCGCGTCCCAGACTCCAATTGAAGAATGCCGTCAGGGTCCCACCAAGCTTGACTCGGTCGACCAAGTCATCACTGCCGCCTAGTCAGAATGCTTCTTCATCCATTTAAGTTTATATGCCGTTCAATGCTAGGGAAGGGAAGATGTCCTCGACACCTCGGTCTAGTACTGTGCCACCAATGCTTACCTCTTCGCCGCGATCGGATACATTCATCCGGGCGAGACAACCAAGTCTTGACTTAGAACACGACCTTCTCTCCACCCGTGGCCAACGCCTCGGGGGACTGATACGTCGGCGCTCTCTCAGCGTCCAAAGCGCCGATAATCCTTATGACAGTGAAAGGCTTGATGATTCCATTCAAGATCGCGGGGATAGGCCTGTTCCTTTTGAGCGCGCTAGGCGACTCATCGGCGAGAGCAGGCCTATTTATCGTTGGTATGCCATTCTCCTCGTTTCACAGCTTAGTTAATATGTACTAAAGGGGAAATACAGGCAACATTTCTATCAGGACCCTACTACGCTGAAGAAAATGCCAAAGGCCATGTACGTTCCCGTCTATGGTTCCAACGCTGTGCGATCTGACACGGCAACAGGCGCGAGTATTACGAGCGCAACAACGATCTGATATCGCAATATGTCTTTATTGACAGATTGCTGGACTCCTCTCTCCCTCATCGTCTGATTGTGGACTATCACAGCAACCAGCCAGGAGAGCCCCCCGTCTCAACTAACGGCCGGGCATATGACGCAACCTCCTACGGCACAGGAGATACCAAAGCATCCGGTAAAATCAAGAGAACTCCCCGAAATCTCTATCGCATTCCCAGCGAGAACGAGACATCTCTACTCCTGCCCCCGATGATCGAAGAACGAGTAGCATCATCCCCAGACATCATCCCGACAAACGATGAGTTCGTCGACAGCAGCGATCGTATAGTCACTGTAGCAATATACGTCAACTTCATCGCCAACGTCCTCCTCCTAGTCGCAAAGATTGTTGCTATGACCATGACAAATTCTCTATCCGTCCTGGCCAGCTTAGTCGACGGGGCATTGGACTTCCTCAGCACAGCCATAGTCTGGATCACAACCACCCTGATCCGTCGACAAGACCGCTCCCGATACCCGATCAGCCGTCGCCGACTCGAACCACTCAGCGTATTAGTCTTCGCCGTCGTGATGGTGACATCTTTCGTCCAAGTCGCACTCACATCCTTCACACGCCTCATTTCTTCCGACCGCTCCGTCGTCGATCTATCCCTCCCTTCCATCGCCGTCATGGCCAGCACAGTTATCGTCAAGCTCATCTGCTGGTTCTGGTGTCGACTGATCAAGAACTCGAGCGTCCAAGCACTAGCACAAGACGCCATGACGGACGTAATCTTCAACTTATTCAGTATTCTCTTCCCTCTCAGTAAGTTTTCCCTGCCCTCACCCTAACTTTTCTCAACCCAAACAACACCACTAACCAATACAACTTAAAGTCGGCTCCCTGACCACAACCTGGTACATCGACCCGCTAGGCGGTCTTCTCCTCTCCCTGTACATAATCTACAACTGGAGCGCCACAGCCAGCGAACACATCGGCCATCTAACAGGCGCCGCAGCATCACCCAAGGACCACAGTATTCTGCTGTACATGACGATGCGGTTCTCGAAAGTGATTCTCAAGATCCAGGATCTAAAGGCCTATTACGCTGGAGATCGACTCAACGTCGAGGTGGATATTGTCCTGGACCCGAAGACAAGACTCCAAGATAGTCATGATGTTGGGGAGAGTCTGCAGTATATGGTGGAGAGTGTGCCTACGGTGGATAGGGCATTCGTGCATATTGATTACGATCCGTGGAATATTCCGAGTCATATGAACCAGATTGAGGGGTGATTAATTTTTGTTAGTATTTATATTATTATTGCTTGAATTGAGATGTGCGTCGTGGATTAGTGAAGGAGGGTCAATGGTAATTGTTGAGTTAAATTTGGTCGTGGCTTTTGCTTTTAGTGACTATGCAGTAGTCGTAGGACTAGTAGAAAATGGTGGTGAAATTCCGTGTTTATTTGTATCTGTAACAAACAGTGAAAACAAAAACAACCGAAAATGGTTAACTGTTATGATCAGTATGGTAGCATTTTCATCGCGATAATAATAACCAACGACCTTCACTGGAACCGAAACACGTCAATAAGCGCGATTGCGCGAGACCCGGTTATACTGTAAGAAAGCAAGAAAGAAATAAGAAACGCTTACGCGCGGTGGCGGGAGGCGGTGATATTCCGCTGGACCCTGCCTGGAACGACCGTTACATGCACTACTCTCTATTGGGGACCTTTCGGGGGGGCGGCGAGTGGGTGGGTTGAACTGCAGAAGGCATCCAACAATGAGTGGTTAGAAAGATGAAAAAAGTGTAGTGTCAACGACGTGTGACTTCATTCACCAAAGATAAAGACAAGGACAACCTGCAGATCCAATCAGCAAGGGAATAGGCTTCGAATCAAGGGGGACATTCTTTGGAATGAAAGGAAGCCTCGTGCGGGCGGAGAATCGGCCGAGCCGCAGAAAAGCAGAGCGGAGAGCCGGAGGGACTGGACCATACAGTACCGGGTTTACGAAGGATACTATACACTTACCACGCCTCCGCGGTGCCCGCCCGCGTCCACATCGCGACGCGATTAGATGAAGCGTCTTTTTTCTCCGGGTTGGGGAATCGTTCCCACATCACACCGGATCTCCTGCTCACGTCCGCCTCGCCATTTTACTTAGGCCACGGCCCACGTCTTTCCTTTTCTTTCCTACCTACTTTTCACTCATTCCTCTTGCTCTCCCTCCCCGTCCTCCTATGCTGTTCACCCGGCTTACGGCTATTTACCATGTCTGATCCGGAGCCCTCTTCTGCACCATGCTCCTCCTCGCCGCCCTCAACCCAGGCGTCTGACTCTACTGCTGCCCTCAATTACGCCTTCCTAGTACACTCCCAAAAGACTTTAACTCAGAACCTTCCTCCACGCGTCGACAATAAATTGCTGGCACGGCAAAAGCGGCGTCGGACTAGGTATGCACGGAAACCAATTCCAGTCCTCATTGGCCCAATGGGTCTCGCTGCCAGTAGATCGCTAACACGTCACTGCTGTGGCCGTATAGCCCCGAAGACCACGCAATCCTTGAAGCCGAGTATCAACGGAACCCGAAGCCAGACAAAACGGCCCGAGCCAGTATAGTCAGTCGCGTCTCGTTGGGCGAGAAGGAAGTGCAAGTATGTCTGCAATATCCATGTAATACTTACACCTGATGTGCAATCTAATGTGTCTGAAAATCAGATCTGGTTCCAAAATCGTCGTCAAAATGATCGCCGGAAATCGAAACCATTGCAACCTCATGAGCTTCTCGCGCCTCGGTCGGACGTGTCCGACGCGTCAAAACGGGTAGCCGATGACAACCTTCCGACGGAGCCAGGATCTTCGAGCGGGACAGAGCAATCAGAGGACAACTGCCAGGACAGGAACGTTGCTACACAATCACCCGACCATGCGTCTTTTGAATCGGACGTGGTGCATGGAGACAATAATGAGCTGGAGCAGTCAGGGTTAAGCTCTCAAACCAGCCTGGCTACTGAAGCTGTGGAGGATTCGCAGAGAGCTTCAGACGAGACGATGCCGGAACAACAACCGCCCCCGGTGCACGATGAAACTCATCTCGATGATTCCAACCCAGCTTCTGTTAAGAGGAAACGATCATTTTCTGAGACCCGTGGCAATCGGCCGTTTGTGCAGGGAACATCAACACCTATGAAGTCGCCTCCATCCTTGCGGATATCGCTCTCGTTTGACGGAGAAGCTATGGTACGCAAAGAAGACGAGCTCACGCCATCTCCTCCGAAAGGACGAAATGCCCTGCGGATCGCCATGTCCTCTGATGGAAAAGCCGTGATCCGTGCTGATGGCGAGCCGTCTCCGTCAAAGAACCGCATTTCTATGTTCTCAGCGCGTAAGCCCAGGCTTGCAGGGCTTCGAAGGAGCAACAGTGCCGCGGCATTTAGTACGCCACGTGGTGGTTCCATGGAGACTGAAAAGTTGTTTGGAAGATCAAGAGATCCTCGCAACTGGGAATCGTTCTTTGACACCGATGCAAGAAGTGCACTTTCTACTCCGACCAGCTCCCAAAGCGCACCGAACGCTGGCTCTCCCGCTCTGTTCCGCGCACGTGGTCAGCGTTCACTAACGAGGAGCATGTCGGCAAGGCATAGCAATGCCTTCAATTCATCGGAATATCTTAATACCCCTGTTCCTAAGCCGACTGGCGACAAAAGACGGAAGATCTCCCGCACGGTCTCCTCATTGGGCCGGCTGGAGACAGGCCGTGCGACCCTTGGTGATAAACTGTCTAATTCGAAGACGATATCGACAAAAGACGATGACCTGGAGTTACAGTGGGGTGACTCTGATAAGGAGAACTGGATACCAGGCACACGAGTCTCCCATGTTCGCCGGCGGACCACTTCGCATCATCACCCGCGGCGTTCAATACTTAGAGAGGCCAACAGCAGGGATGCCAAAGCCAACAGGGATCTGGCATCAGGCGGAAGATACTCACGGGTGTCCCACCCGCACCAACGAGTGAGCGGGGTAATCGACAAGGATGTGCCTGAGATGGACGCCGAGGTGTCGGCTTTCATGAATGGCGGGGGAGGTGCAAGTCAGGAAGAAGACCTTGACTGCATTCAAGGCTTGTTGTCTCTGAGCCAAGGGGCATGGAGATGAGATAAGCTTCTCCTTGTGTCCTTGCGATATGATCACCATTTCCTTTGTTTATTTCTTTTCATCATTCCCCCTTTGTTTCATATCCATTTCTTTCCTTTGTAATGTCAATATTGGAGGTTACAGGCCAGCAAGCGGGTGATTGTATGTATGATTGTGAGATGATTGCTTTGCGTTCCCAGAGGTGCAGCTCACAGGTTTGCTCCAGGCAGCTGCAACCATGGGTCCGGACTTGATGACGAAACCCTGTGCCACGCCACAGATGATATCCAAGTGCTATTACAGCCGAATAGCCTAATACAATAAAACAATGGAAGCAGATGATAGAGAATATTTGACTTGCTTGATACGTAAGCGCCTGCGATGGACTGATCCGGATAGCCAGGGCGAGGCGGGGGTGAAGGGGAGAATTGTAGGGAGTAGATAATTGGGTGGGATAGGTGGACTGCAGAAGATGGCTGTGGGCGGGTTCTGCAAGCACGTGGCTTTCCGCTGACATATAACCGCCGGGTCTCGTCCGTCTCTGATAACTAGGAAGTATTTGCCTCGCTGTCTTTCTCTCCGCCACCCGCGGTTGGATGCTTCAGGGTTACGTCTCTGTGTTTTGTAGACTAAGGTGGAATCGCTTTTATTTTGTGGTAGGTTACTTCAATCTATCTCTCAACTCTTCCGGGTGTAGGCTTTCTCAAGTCTGGCCTAGGACCATGTCAAGTAGTAGCGGCTGCAATGTGCACCGGCTTATCTCCCCATATTATGAGTGGATTGAGCAGCTGCTGACTTCATGTAGCACAACAGGCGGCTACTGCATACAATCATCTCCAAGGAAGATCAATCATTGTTTCACTCTCGGCAGACAGGCTTTTTCTTACATATGACTATCGCAATGGGCAGGAGGCCCAACGTGGCTGTCATCGGAGCTGGTCTATCAGGCTTGAGATGCGCTGACATTCTTATCCAGAACGGTGCCCGCGTGACACTATTTGAAGCTAGAGACAGAGTCGGTGGTCGGGTGCGTATGAGAAGTATCTGATATAGTCAGAGTCAGCGGTTCACTAACCTCCAGCAGGTACACCAGCAGAAGATTCACGAACATCTTATAGACTTGTAGTACTCTCTGCTTCTTCCCGCTGGCTATGATTATGTTCTTTGGCGTCGATGCTGACTCTTATCAGGGGTCCGAACTGGATACATGGCACCGGAAAGAACCCGATTGTCGCAATCTCAGAGGCAACGGAGACAGTGCTGGAAGACTTTGAGGGGAACCAGGCTTTGATCTCCACAGAAGGCAAGGCAATCGACGATGCACTAGCCGCTAAAGTATCAGCGGTACTGTGGACGACAATTGAGAAGGCCTTTGAGTATAGCAACACACATAAAGATATAATTCCACCCGAACGAAGCCTGCTTGACTTTTTCCGCGAGGAGGTTGAGAAGACAGATCTCAGCGCCGCTGAGAAGGAACTTTGCATCGAATCCTGCAGGCTATGGGGAGCGTACGTCGGTGATCCCATTGAAAGGCAGAGCCTAAAGTTCTTCTGTCTCGAGGAGTGCATAGATGGGAGTGAGTGCCCCTCACCACATGATGATGACGCTCAGCTAAACCACGTCAATGGCAGATAACTTCTTTGTGGCCTCGACATACAAGAACATTCTCAAGTATGTCTCGAAGAATGCTCTTCAACGCGCAGATATCCGCTTCAATCAGCCTATTGTCCAAATTGGTTCCGAATCCCGGAAAGCCATGGGCTCCCCAAGCAAGGTGAATCTCACAACAGCATCAGGAGAGACCTTCCAGTTCGACGAAGTAGTAGTCACCTGCCCACTCGGCTGGCTCAAACGAAACAAACAAGCCTTTACCCCAGACCTTCCCCCTCGTCTAAACCAAGCTATCGACAGCATCTCCTACGGCAGACTAGAAAAAGTCTACGTCACATTTCCCCGCGCATACTGGCACGCCGGCCCCGAAGATCCCAAGACCGCCGACATTCTTAAAACCAACCTAGAATACAGCAGCTTTGAGAACCCCACCTTCGCCCAATTTCTCAATCCAGGATACACCAAGAGCCCGAACGACATCCTCTGGAACCAAGAATGCATCTCACTCGCCGCTCTCCCCTCCTCCTGCGCACATCCCACCCTCCTCTTCTACACTTTCGGCCCCTGCTCCACATACATTGTTTCCAAGCTCAAAGGCCTCGACCCGTCCTCCAAAGAATACTTTAACTTCCTCAACGACTTTCTCCACCCCTTCTACTCCCGCCTATACGGCTACTCAGACTCATCTCCGGACTGCAAACCAATCGCCTTCGCAGCAACCCAGTGGCAAAACGACCCCTACGCAGGTAACGGCTCCTACTGCAATTTCCAGGTCGGCCTTACCCAGGGAGATCGAGATATCGAGGTCCTGCGCGCAGGCATGGGCGCAGATCGCGGGGTCTGGTTTGCAGGCGAACATACAGCGCCATTCGTGGCATTGAGTACCACGACCGGTGCGTATTGGAGTGGTGAGCGCGCCGCAGGCCAAATTTGTAATTTATATGGGTTGGGTAGGCTTGGGATCGGGTTGGAGAGGGATGATTCGTTGCCTTCTGCTACGCCTAAGGGGCTTTTATGATGTGAGCCTTCCATCATTTTACTACTATTTTTCTGTTTAGGTAGAGTTAGTTGGGGGGTTTTTTTTGAGTTGCTTTATTGCTTGGATGATTGCTTTGCTATGTTCCTTTTTTTCTTTTGCTACTCATTGTTTGACATATATGCACATATATACGGCGGTATTTGGAGAGAAGTGCTACACGCGATTTTGTGTGCTTGCTGTACAGCCTTAGATATGTATAGATTGCAGTTATAGCCAGCTAACAGTTATTTACACCCCGCACACCGGCCGCCGGCCAGCAAACAAACAGATAGACGCGGTGAATCTCAGATTCATAGTACATGAATGACACACAAAGCCGCCCCACGCACAAGTGCAATAGACGAACAGAGTAACACGAGAGACAAAGATAACAGGGGAATCACATATTGCTCTTCAATCAATCAATCAACCAACTGTTACCTGACGATAAACTGAACAGTAGCGTGCAAGGTTAAGAAGACAACAATAAGCGAAACGCCCCCAAATAGGTTGAACTGAAAGCAAAGTACCATGCGCCACGCTGGAAAAAACAACCCAGATAGGATGAGAAACGAAACTCGACTAGTAGAGCATCCACGGACCTGCGCGATTACCGAACTCTGCGGCCTTCCTGGATGAGACTGGTGGGTTGACCGCTGAAGATAAAGACGTGAAACGATGGGAGATGTTGGGTATTTTCGAACTGAGCGCTTGATACATAAAGAAAAAGAAGGAGCAAGCAAGGCTAACGAGATGTTAAGGGCTGAGCGCCATTTGTCCCGAGGCGGCTGGAGGTTATTTGCCTTGTGTTGGATGGTAAAGTTTGGGAAGCGGGCGGACGCGTGCGTGTCGGGCATATGTGATTGTTGATCATTTTAGTATGGACGAGTCACCGGCCAGCTTGGTCCGAGTGGTGCGTAGTATAGAGATGTCCTCGAAACAGACTAATCATCGTAGTAAGAACTCGATGCTGGCTTTGCATCGCATTCAATCTTCCCAGATCGTTTCCAGGTCCAGGTCCTGTCGACGTTCCGCTCCACAGACACTCCAACGTTTCCGTTTGTCAGCTCGAGGTCCGTAGCCAACCGATCCCGCCCGCATTGTCATCAGTCCGCTAGAAGGGCCAGAAGCATCGGATGCCCCACGCCTTCGATTGCCGTTGCTGGCCGCTTCTGCTTCATCGGCCTTGTCTGCTGCAGCTTTCAGAGCCGCGATCCGGTCCGCCTCGATGGCAGCGGCTTCAGCGTCGGGAATGTCAGGTATAGTTTCCAACGACGAAATACTCGGGCTACGGGATCGCAGGCTTGTCGGGGTTGAGGGTATAGATGAGGTTGAAGAGGCCGAATAACCAGGGTAAGATTCGTTGTACCTCATGCTGTAGATCACGGGGGAGGAATGACCGGAAGGACTGCCCATAGAGTGAACGGACGAGCTAGGGCTCTGGAAGTGAAGGGGGGACGACGGTCGGCGACGGTTGACACGCGGTAGAGTGTGAGAGAAAACCGGCGAGGTAGGGTGATAGTCGATGTGAGACGGAGAGGAGACAAGATTGGTATCCAGCTCTGCATGTTCTGAGATAGTCTCCGAGATATTCAGGGGCACCATTCTGGACTCTAGGCCATCGCCTGTGGTGACCTGCAACGGCAGATAGCGCTTGGCCGCCGGATCACCCGCATTTGTTGAAGCACCGCGACCGTTGACGAATATATATCTGCCCCGTGAGTCCAGCCCTGGGGACGAATGGGCGCGCGTCATCGGAGGTAGACCGGGGACTTCAACCATCGATCGTGACCGAATATGGGAACGGGCAAAAGGAAGGCGAGTCGGAGTTTGGACCGGCGGATCAGGCGTGAGCGACAAAGTGATCATGACGTTATCGTCGCATTTTGCCTCGCGAGGTTGCTCTGCGGCAGGACCGGACGATGTCGAGTCAAATGAATCGGACGAACCAACGGGGCTTGGGGGAAGCATTATCCCCTCGGGAGGTGGGTGTGACGCTTCCATGTCTGTCTGCAACCAGGGAGTTGATTTAAACGGGCCTCATGCTGGTGGGCCAACGGCGAATACTCTGCGAGTCACCACAGTCGAGTTGAACCAGGGAGTGTTACCGTCCCGAATCCAAGTCGAATTTGGATTTGGCCTGGGGGGCGGTAGGAGTGGAGAGGTCGCAGCTCAGGGGGTGGAACACGAACTTTGGGATTGGGGGGGAAGGGAACACAGGAATGAATTTGCCCTTTGCACTATTCCTATCCGAACACAGCCGGTGTGCTTTTTTGAAACCCAAACCAAGAACGTGGGAGAAATGCGATAGGAAGGCAGAAGAGGGAGGGAGGGAAGGAAAGTTGAGTGGTGAGGTCAAGAAGAGATGGAAAGGGAAAGCAAGCGCTGAAGATGGATCGGGAAAACGAAAAGAAAGAAAGAAAGGGAAGACACGAGGCGCTGCTCAGGCCCACCCGCCGCCACCTGACTTGCCTTCCCTCCCTCTTCTGGCTTCTTATTCCTTATTCTTCCCTCCGCCCTCCACCCATCGTTCAGCTTCCCTCATGGTCTCTCACATGATGATCATCGGAGCTCATTCATGGCTCTGTTGATCGTCATGATTCGATGAAGCTTGTGTCACTAATGGTGGCAGGTGCATCTGTTTACTGGTCCTCCCTCAGTTTTCGGCAATCTCCGTCGGTCTAAATCCGCAGTTGAAGCACAAAAACATTTCTACATCAGACCAGTTGACTGCAATTCGAACAGTATACTTCTACAGAGTATGTCTCGCCTTATCTCGCTTGATCCGACAACAATGTAATGGGAGAAAATCTCCGATACGAAAGATGCAGACCTGATTTGGAAGTCTGGGCCGGCCTAGACATCCCACATGCTTCCAGAACCACCACACTAATGTAATGCATGCTGCACATCTTCAAAAGGGCGCTGGATTTGCTCAGCCACTTGGCCCATCCTTCTTTCGGTCTCTCCGTCAGCTGTAAGCATGTGGTTGTCAACCGATCGCATCGTATCGCATCCCTGCTTCATAGAGCATTCAGGCACCCCGGGATCCGGGCTATAGTGGCCTGACGTTTCGCTCCAACCCGACACCCTAGCTTTGGATGATCGTCACGGAAGTGTCCGGATAGCCATGAGGCTCACCAGTCAGGCCCCATATGCGCATACTGGTTAATTATTGCGACCTCCCCGGAGAAGTAGAGCGAGAAGCACGCAATCGTCGTTCCTTTGTCACTATCGATTCGTGATTGTTCTCTGCGCAACCCCCTATTACGAAGAGCCACGAGGACTTGAGAGGGCCATGTGGCTTAATGTGCTGGGTATCCGTCTCCACTGAATGAGTCGTTTGATTGCAAATCAATATGGTTATTAAGAATGGCCATGTCATCTCCAGTCCTCTTCTTGTTACTACATTGATCTTCTGCGCCTCTTGCTTATATACCTTCATTTATATTCAGCTGACCAGACAATATCATCGTCCCGCCAACCTCTTGCGCTCTATCTAACCGTATACAAAAGCAAGGATCTATCCATACTATTACAGGTGTTGATGAACAAAGCTTGGTGTAGGTCAAGCGGCCATCGCACAGAAACGTCTTCGGGTGGCCAGCCACCCGAAGAGCTACCGATAAACACGTCGTGATGTTCATTCTCTGCTTGCAGTAGTATATATGGCCATCGCAGTGCCTTGCTTCTTGAAAACAAGGGTCCTGCAGACCACCTAGCTCTACTTCAGTAAATGGCCGGTGCCCCTATTATGGAATAAACTTGAATCAGCGAATATTCTTCAAAAATCTTCGAATATGTTACCGAGATTCTATCTGTGTTTAGAAGGCCAGGCTATCATCTGAGTCCACAGGTGATAGTGTTGGGTCTCACTTGGGCTGCTTACAAGGAGGAGCATGCCGTTCCATCTACTATGACCAGGACAATATTCTTCCGGGGCATAAAAAAGAAGACTTGAATGTCACGAGGCCCAATGCTCTCAATAGTAGAACGTGGATACCTTGTTCTTGCATTCTTCCAGAATGCAGCCCGTTCTTCTGTGCAGTAGTGTTATGTTTCGCTTTATACCGTCGCAAACCTTCCCAGCTAAGCTCATTGTGTCCAAATCGAGTCAGGATCAGCATGGCCCATCACATGCCTTGGTAAAGTTCGCGCAGATTTATCCCACTTACGCCGATGAAACCAGGGAACACGAAACCCGCCATTTCTGGTACCATGTTTGGGCTGCGAGGATGATTTTCCTGTGCTGCGACAGATCCGAACCCGAGGCCGACGGTGATACGAACCCGAACCCGACCACGGCTTAAATCTGGGAGCTCCACTCTGTACTCCACTCTATACAACAACCTTGGGTACTCATCGTCCACACCGGTTCAGCCTTCTCTTGGCATCAATCCAAGTATAGGTAGAATCACTCAAGGAACAGGTGGATGATCATTTCCTGTGACAATGAATCGTTTCGGATCGAAAGATGTCCGAAGGCAGCCGGATTCGATCAGCATTGGCTGTGGCATCGCCTCAAGAATGAAGAGGTATAAAGAGTTCACACTTGACCACGACATTCCTTACTTATCAGTTCACTTTATCAAGTAATCGTTGAGACCCTGACAATGAAATTCCTCTTGCTTCTAGCACCTTTGGCATTTTCTGCCTTGGGATCATCCCTAGTCGGTTCTGGTCAAAGAGGCATCAATACAACCAGCACGACCACTATCAGCACTGTGGACCTAGAAACAGGAGCTAAATGCGCATGCACTAAGCTTGCTGGATTATACTCAAACTTGGTTCTCTACCCTGAGTCAGCCAACTACACCTCTCAGGCTACGAGCTACTGGGATATTCGAGCAGATCTTGACCCGGCTTGCATCTTTCTTCCTACTTCGGCTGAGCAGGTAGCCGATGCCATCGGTCTCTTTGCCACATGTGGTACCCAACTTGCGGTTCGAGGCGGAGGGCATATGAATGTAAGTAAGCTTCTGACGCGGAGTCTATATCCTCATTGACAATATATGCTGTCTAGTATCCTGGATCGAACAATATCAATGGCGGTGTGCTTCTGGCTTTCGATAACATGAAACAATATCGCGTGAACAACGAAACGATTGATGTCACTCCAGGAATGACGTGGTACGATGTCTATTCTGCGCTTGATCCATATGGTCGGGCTGCCATTGGCGGACGCCTGAAGACTATTGGTGTGCCTGGTCTGACCCTGATTGGTGGTGTATCCTACTTTATCAATAAGTACGGATTTGCCATGGATAATGTGGTCAACTACGACGTCGTCTTGGGAAATGGCACGCAGGTTGCCGCTAATGCCACTTCGAATCCAGACTTGTTTTGGGCTCTGAAAGGAGGCGCGAACAACTTCGGCATTGTCACCAAGTTCACCCTCAAAACGTACTCTATGCCCCATATCAGCACGACAATCCAAGAGTTCAACGAGACGGCAGTCCACGATTTTATCAAGGCGTCATGCGACTGGGTTGTTGCCGATGGTGACAGTTCTATTGCCGCTGGATCCGTCCTAACCATCACCTACAACGCCACGACTGGGAGCGTCTCACCCTTACTTTTGGGAGTTCAAGAGGGAATTAGCAACCCTCCCTCAAAATTTGCCAGCTTTACTGCTATTCCTGGAGTATACAAAGTTAACAATGTCACGACCTCCAAGCAATGGGCTGCGAACCTTGACTCTCCCAAGCAAATGTTCCGGTAAACACCCACTCACCCGTCATGTATTTGGTTGCCAGAGAACTGACCACAGAACAGCGTCACATTCGGCCATCATTCGATGTATCCCGACTCTGACGTGTTGTACTCAATGTATCAGACGTGGAAGGCAGCAGTGAACCAAATCGCCGATGTTCAAGGTCTTTATCCCACTTTCGTGATTAACATTTCGCCTTCAAGTGCCGTCAGAGTAGGAAACACCAACGGGATTGGTAACGTCTGGGGACTAGCGGAAGAGCCTACAATCTGTGAGTTTCCCTCAGAAGTCCTTTAAGTGGCTCAGCAGGACCTGCCCTCGGGCTAACACACTTTCAATAGGGTGGCAATTAAGCACAGGCTGGGATAACGCTGAAGATGATCTTCGCGTCGAGGCGTGGGTTCGTCAGCTGGTGGAACACCTGCATGGCATAAACAAGAGCAATGGACTCGCCAGGGACTTCATCTACATGGGAGACGGGGGTGACTGGCAGGATCCTTTTGCTGGATTCCCCGGCGAGAATGTGCAGCGGATGAGAGAGATCCGTGAGCGCTATGATCCTCTGGGTACTTTTACAAGATTGAATTGGGGTGGATTCAAGCTTGGTAACTGAAGAGCAAAGTTACGGTGAAGGTCGATCTTAGTGTAAGACGGGATAGTTATGGAGCTTTTTTGATCGGCTATTGTTAATAATAGAATCAACTGTACAGCCTAGTGTTAAGTATATACAAATATTTGCCAGGTTAAGGATCTAGAATCATTCAGAGAATTTGATTTGGAGAATTGATTTCAATGCTATCTGATCGAGAAACTCTCAGCGTACCCTTTACATTGGATGTAATTGAGAATCGAGCGTATGGCTTGAACATCAGAGTTAAGTTTCTGATAAGAGACATAATATGGCCATCTGGCTGTCCGTTAACATAAGCCGAAAGATTAGTGTTTGCTAAGAATTCTCGAGAGAACTATTTACAGCACTGAAACACAATTTCCGGGGTTTAGTACTACAGTGCACAAGTCAAGGTAAATGAAACAAAGAGAAAAAAAAATAACCATCTATCGAGTGAAATATGACTTTGCATGTTGATTTGGCACTATATAACACTACTATTTTTCCTTTAAAATTCGTCGGACCGAAGGACTTATGTAAAAGTTTTGAGACATTCAGGCCGTGGTAATATTGAACAGCTTGGAAGACAATTTATATACATTGAAGAGATAATGTATCAGGAGCAGGAAAAGGCATATATCAGTACACGTCAAAAAGTAGGAGGAGGGTAGACGAGAAGAACTTGAAAAATGATAGAAAACTAAGACAAAATGCGCAAAAGGTTTGAAATTCAAGTTTCACATATCTCCATTCTCACGCTGCAAGCCAAGTTCCTCTAGTTCAAGACTCTTATGATGAGTGCCATCTTGCAGAACAATCGACGGGTGGAACAGATTCATAGTCAACATGACCAAAAACATCATTGACGCGTCGAGAACATATAAGAAAACTTCATGGCTAATCACATAGCCACTATTACCCTGAGCAAACTCAATAAGACGGTAAACTGATCGGATGAGGATCAGGACGCTGACGAAGTAGCATGCGAATAGAAGACCTCTCCAGTCTTTCGGCAAACAGCTTTTTGTGGGGCTCATTGCCTTATCTGAATCTGCTGTAGGGTCCTTGCTTATTCTGCAATGAAATGTAATAGAGGCAATTAAGAAGGCCCCGAAGAAAAGTAGTTGGACGCATAGACCCACTACAATGACCCACTGGCCTATTTTCAAGGAACTTGTGGAGCCATTGGCCATTATACCGCCGCCTTTGAAATGTGGAGATTAGTACAATTCGCGTCGTGGGTATTTGAAGAGTTCTTTTGACTTACCTGCACCTTGGAGGATAAAAGATAGAACGTCGCCAGAGACAAATATTTTCGTCATCCACTTAACGGGGACAACGCTTAGATGAGGCGCATTTAGAAAGGTGATGATCCTCCCTAAAACCATGTATATCGAGGCTGCATAGAGGGTTGGTGCCAGTAGAAGAAGAAGAGTTTGTATAGAGTATAGGGTAGTTGAGGTCTGGTCAAAATGGGCTTTGGCGCGAGCAACATAGCCGATCACTTGGACTGAAAAGCGCAGGTCAGTAAATGATAGCACACATAATCGCATACCTCTTCAACTGGAAGGTTAACTTACACACTCCACCGACAATAAAGGGATTAAAGTACTTGGCATGGCTTCGAAATCTTTGATAGAGATGGAATCCCGTGGTCAAGATGAACAGTGCAGCAAATATAACTGCAGCTGCCAGGCTGGGGTCGTACTCATATAGAACGAAAGTGGATCTCAGGAACAACATAGTTGCAAAATACCGAAGAAAAAACCGTTGTAAGTGTCTATCAAGAAGGCTTTGAATTGGAATCGTTCGGGATACATCGTATAGAAGCAAGGTGGGCTATTGTAGCCCTTTTAAAGCAGTAGTTCCATGACACCGAAAGAGAATTCTTTTGTTGCATCAAGACGCAATCTTAGGCAGTAGCATTTGTTACATACCCATCGGGTTCGGGTTCGAGTCTACCACTCAGGCATGTCACAATGTATTTGATTCTCATACTGCCGCGAGAATGTCGTGGTCGATATCAAGCTATGTGGGTCATCAAAGTAGATCAAAGCCTGGACCATTGTCCCGAACCCGAATACGAACCCGAAAGTTTCCCCAGGCAGCCCAGTGGATTGTTGCGGATTGACATTTCAACGCATTTGATCATCGGCGGATCCATGGTACATGAGATGCTCATTAGCTCTGTTACCTAGTATTATCTTGCTGTGTGAAGCGATTCCACGCATGCCACCCTAATACCCCTTCGGTTCTACTCAGCCCGGTACACGTTGCGTGAGGGTCTTATTACTATATTTACCACTTCAACCAAGGCTCCATTTTATAAGGTCACGATGTTATTAACTATACCCCATCGAGTATGGGTTTGACGAGAATTAATCGGGCCAGAAATAGGAGCAGATAATTTTGTCCGCAAAACAATTCTTCTTTCCTTTCCACTTTGACGATTGCTCCATCACTTCGCAGAAACTTCTATCAGCTTCAACGCAGAATAATCATGTCTAATAATAAAGAGGTCGAAGTCCTGGATAATTGTCATGAGAATGATGGGTGTTTTGATGATCCTCCGCCTGCATACTCCTCAGCACGCAATTCATGTGTCTCCTCGGAAATCTCTCTGTTTACGATAGAGCCGGACTTTGCTCCCGAATTCACGAATGATACTCGTGACTTGGGGAACTATTGTGCCGCTGATGGTAAGGTTCTTCTCGTAATTCTAAGTTCCTAAACTGGAGGATATATTGCTCACTATCGATACACGTCGCTTGCACAGAAGATGAGAAACTCAGTCTCAGCCCAGACCTTGCATCGCGCACCTCTGCTTTCATTCAGGCCTTTATGCGACCAAAAGTGCAGGCACGATTAGTGAGCGTGGGCTTAGACGAAAAGGAGTCTCAACATTCTGCTCAAACTGCCCAGACAAGGGAAAACATTAAGCCCCCGCCTTTGGACATCGTGCTAATGGTTGTTGAAGGTATTGGCACCAGATCCTTTCATGCCTTGACCAATAGCTAACAAAAATTCGAATAGAGAGTATAAGGCCCTTTCTAGCTGTGGCAAAACAACTTTCGAGAGACTCGCATCGAGTTCGAATTGCTGCGGCTGCATCTTGCGAACACTTGGTCAGAAGTCAGGGACTTGATTTCTTCGCCATAACCTATGACCATGAGCTACCCCAATCCATGGTAATTGCTATACGTACCCTCTAGCGAGGGACAAGAGTCTCGGTTAACGTTGCTAGCATAATATGGGTGGTTCCCAACCTTCAGACTCGGCTCAGACTCGGCGCCAATATCTGAGGAGTATTCAGGAATCATATTATGAAGTCTATCACCGGTGCTGGAGGGCTTGCATTGCTCCTTTCGATGGAGACCGTCGACCTTTTTTGGCAGACGCAATCATTGCAAATCCCATGGCCCGTGCCCACATCCATTGCGCTGAACGACTTTCGATCCCTCTTCATATCATGTCAGCCTTGCCTCAATCCCCGACAAGGGCATTTCCCCATCCACATGCCAGGGTAAACCCATACGATGGCGTCGACCAATCTACAGCCAACGTACTCTCTTATGCCATAGTTGAAGAATCGACATGGAATGTGTGAGTAAGCAGGAGAAACTTCAACTATCGAAATAGGCTAACATATAGTTCGTTATTATCGGAAAGTATACTCAAGCCCATCAATCAATTCCGACAACAAGTTCTGGGCTTGATGAGCATATCCCCAGTCACAGCGGGAAGGCTCGTGACTGATCATGAAATTCCCCACACGTATTTCTGTTCAAAAGTTTTGGTCCCACGACCAAATGACTGGAGCAGTAATCATGGTAGGGCTTATTGCTACTATAGACCATTGAGTGGCGTGTATGAAGCTGATGAGAGCCATAGGGATTTCGGGCTATCTATTCGAACAACGTGATCTTTCTTTCACCCCCAGAAAAGAGCTGCACCATTTTCTGGCCTCAGGTCCCGCACCTATCTATATAATGCTACCAGAGAATAGCATTAAGAATATATACCATCTGGCGCCGATGATCCAAGATGCTATTCTCAAGAATGGATACCGTGCCCTACTGTCCAGGGAGTGTAGACGCCTTGGTGAGCTATTGAACAGTGACAACGTGCTCGTCACGCAGTCTGTCCCGTTTGGTAAGCTAAGAGCATTACTTATACATATTTTGCCTTGGCGCTGATGAGCTTTATAGAGTGGTTACTTCCCAGAGTGGCTGTTATAGTACACAATGGAAGCCAAGCCAGCACACAGTTGGCTCTGCAGTACGGGAAGCCAAGCGTGATCATCGCCCCCACAGAAAAGTGAGCTTACTCGATATCTTCTGGTCGAGCACGCGTGCTGCTACTGACTTAACTAGTTACTTGTCAACTGCACAGACGATTGCCAGAATTGGAGCTGGCGCTTCGCCCCTGATGAGCAGGACGCTTACCTCTGAAGGCCTGGCACAGGCGATAACGTTTTGTCTCCGTACAGATGTTCAACAGTCGACTCAGGCCATTCAGCGACAAGTAGAGGAAGAAGCAGGACTTGAGAATGCTATTCGATCCTTCTATCGCTACTTCCCTTCGCAGGTACAGACATGCGGTATCACCAAACAGTGTCTAGCCATGTATCAAATTTGGAACAAACCATCGCTCCTGATATCGTCCGAAGCAGCTGCAGTCTTGGTACAGGAGAACCGGATCAAAGTCACTGATATCGTGCTGTAAGTGGGAACTGTCTGCTGGTTGTTGCGTGTCCGTTTGGGTATTAATCTCAACTTCTGTGAATTCAGAATCAACCGTTGCATATACAAGTCACAAGCAGAAGACTCTGCCTCATCTGATAGTACTGCCAAAGAATACTGGAATGGATTCACCAATGCGGCAAAGGATATAGTAAGCGCTTCAGACCTTATTAGCATGATATCCGGCCGTCAAAAGGTATTTACCCCTCGTGATATTCATAAGAAGAATAACTTGGGCTAAATATACTATAGGACAGCCCAATAGACGATGAGAGGAAAGTCAAACGGACTGTCGCTCGTGATGTTGGTGTCGGCACCGCAAAATTCTTTGGGCACATTGCCTTGCTGCCATTCACGAGTCAGTAGCTCCGTTTAACCCTGACTTAATACAGTCAGTCACTCACTTAGCAACCACTAGGCACTGCATTAGTAGTGAACACAGTCACATATGGAGTCAAAAGCGTCAAGAAACACCAGGCACGAGGCGGGAAACGTGAAGAGGCTGATGTCGCAGCGTCCTATGATGTAAGGATGAATGCATTTATTGCGCACTAGTTGTTTGGGTATAACTGACCATTAGCTAGCTCTCTGGTGACGATGATTTCAATGCAGCTGCATCCAAACGCTCCGGTGCAGGTTCTTTGGGAGAAGGGCTAGGCCCAAACACAATGCAGAGAGGTAACTCCAACACCGGCATCACAGCAGGTAAGCAGCGCAACTTGCAATTTGTACCATTAATACATCAATAGCCCTACGCTAACTCCTAAAAGACATTGAGGGAAGAATAGGTACAAGCGCGACCCCTACAGTGAGCCAAATACATCTTAAAAACGAGGAGCACCTTGAAGCTATATGCCGTCGACATCTGGACCGTGGTTTCAAGAGCCCCAGGATATCCGATACAGGATTTAGAGAGATGGTGCTTTCAGCTTTCGATGTCTGAATAATATGTTCGAACGTTCTACAAGCGGAGAAGCAAGAAGCAAAAGAATGCAGCGAAATTAGTGTTGTATTGCTATATAGGAACGCGCAGCGGAACGAGCGCGAAGGGGTGCTTGGGTGTGGCGGCCTGAGCGCAACCACGTGACGAAGCCTACAGTGATACTGCCTCAACATAATATAAATAGAATAGATTTTGTTAATAACCACTATCTCTACGGCCTAAGTGACATAGTAACCGCAAAGAGCGCCATGGATTTTGTAGTGAAGGATTGATATTCTCTGTACATAACCTAGTCAGCTGTAAGCATCATAAGCATAAATAGGTGGAGCCGTGAGGGTCACGTTTGCCACGTTTGCACCCGGCAGATAATACTAGCGCAGGCCAAGAAGAGCTAAGTTTGCAGGCTCAGGCTTCCATCATTCAAGGTATCACTGATGTGCCGAAGGTCTTGAAACACCTACAACCGGAACGTGGCAGCCTGATTGACCAAAAATAAATGCAGCCTTAGTACTAGACTTCCGCAATGCTTATTGCAGGCATCCGCGACACCTGAAGAAGAAATAACGGAAGAGATGCGCCCTGCTAATGCCCAGAGTCCACTTGAAGATTTGGACCCTGGATAAGCAAGTCAAAATTCCGTTGGCCGTCAACTTTAGACCACCTCTTTCTGGGACTCTGCATGCTTAGCATACAATCCTTACATGTATTGTGTGTCTCGTCTGCCAAACACCTGAGTTGCCTAATCATTCAGGTGTACATGATTGGCTTCGGTACAACATACACATAGTGCTGCCGAACCTAGACGAACCGTCGCCGAAATGCACAGCAGCTCTACTATCAAAGGCCGCCGGTCTCATCGAAAGTCACGAAGTGGTTGTCAACAATGTAAACTGCGAAAGGTCAAGGTACGCCAATGGATGCGAGTGGGCGGAACATTTGTAATTTGAGAACAACGGACTGATCTGATCCTCAGTGTGGAGAAGAAAAGCCGACATGCAGCAATTGCAAGAGACATGGAGTCCATTGCTCCTTCGCTCTCTCAAATCGAATGGCAGAATCGACCCTGCTAGGTGATCAAAGCTCCTTTTCTAGCCAAACGTCCACCCCGCAATCCGACTACAGACCCAGCAACCCCAGCTCTCCGAGCGGTGGTGCAAGTCAGCAGCAGTTGGCCGCGCCCGGACCCGAATTGGCCATTGCGGATCTGGAGCTTCTGCATCACTACAGCACTTCAACCGCCTATACATTCTCCTTGCATCCCGTTATCCAGACACTATGGCGCATTGAAGTGCCCCAGATCGCGTTTACAGCGCCTTACACCCTCCGCGCCATTCTGGCCGTATCTGCGTTGCATTTAGCCGTACTACGCCCAGAAAAACAGGAATATTATATTTCCCAGGCAAGCTTCCATCACGATGCATCATTGAAACTCGCAACGCCGGAAATAGCCAACATCACCCACGACAATTGTACCCCATTGTTCCTCTTCTCGGCTCTCTCATCATTCATTTGCTGCGCCAAGCCACTCAAACTAGGCAATTTCCTGCTCTGGGAAGACCACGAAATCGCCAACTGGCTAATGCTTATCCGAGGCACCGGAACCATCGTCGACTTTGCCGAGGAGTCCCTAAAAGCCGGACCGTTGAGAACCTTGTTCAGCGTGCATCGACAACGCGATGCTCATTCCGAGATCCCGGAACCACCCACGCAGCACCAATTCCTGGAGGACTTTCGCGGTTTCCTCATAGAAGAAGTGATAGACGTTCACGAGAAGCAAATCTACTGTGATGCGATCTTTCACCTGGGCACTTGCTTCACGATTTGCTATGAGAAAGGTTGTCGGCTCGAGACGTCCGACGTGTTCATGTGGCTTCTGCGTGTTCCTCATGACTTTCTAGGCTTTTTGAAAGAATACCGACCGCTTTCTATGGTGATTGTGGGGTACTTTTGTGTGCTGCTACATCAATTGGAGTGGATTTGGTGCATGAAGGGCTGGGGTACTCATATCCTGTCGCAGATCTATAATCAGCTCCGTGAGCCTGTTTATCGAGCTTGGCTTCAGTGGCCGATGGAACAGATTGGGGTTCTGCCGCCGAGGTAATGCTTGGCTTGGCTTATAATAGTTAAATTGAGTTTAATTTGAAAGATAATGCCTCAGTTATATTGCATTTTCCTCCTTTGTCATCAATCCTTGTGCTGTATGATGCTGAGCTTATGCCTTCGGTACCGTTGCAAGCCGAAGAGGGATATATAGACTACTATTAGGATTTCACTTAGGATCGTCATTGGATGCAGGTAAAGTGTGTCTAAGGCCAGACGTACTGTTCTACCCTTTGGAACGGCCCTTATAGTCCGTGTTTCAGGCAATTACTGGATATCAAAGTACTTCTCCTGCCCACCTACGTTGTCACCGTCTATAACGTAACATCATGAATCCAAGGGTGAATACAATAGCCTCTCCTCAATAATTAAGTAGTGCTGTCAGAACAGCTGAATAGTACCATCTCAGACTAACAATCAAACTATAACCCGAGTTCCCAACAACCCATACAGAAAAAAGAATAAAATTTTAATGGGTTCCAGAAAAGCTGAACACACTAAGAGAGAAAGAAAAGAGAGGATAATCCAGACAGAGCAGAGACTGGAGGAGAATCTGAAATTTACATACCAGAAACTGAAAGCTCACAAATGAAAGAGATTCGGCTGAAATGGTAGGCGTTGTTAATGATGGCATTCATCTTCACACATTGTCGCGTCCTTATTCTTCTTCCGCACATATGTCTCCCGCACAATGTCGCCCCCATGGGCTTTTAGCTCCCATTGCCCAATCCCTAATTCTTTCGGTGCTACCTTGACACCGCGCCCGCCTCCGCCCTTGATCAAATTACCGGGGCGGTAATTGGGATTCGTCTGCATGCGACGCAGTGCGGAGACATGGATCTGAGCATCGTCGGGAATATCGCGAACCTCTCCGCAAGGGAGGGGCCAGCGGATTGGCTTCCATGAGCCGTCTGACTGGAGGTCCATCCGACGGAATGGAAGGTATTCCATTATGCGCCAGCTTATGACGGAGAGTGCCGGTAAGCCGGCATTGAATTCCAGACAGTCGTGCAAGAAGCCATCCGTGCTGGAAGCAACAAGGGCATCGTGGAAGCGGTTACTTGACGCGGAAGCATCCTTCTTTCGCTCATCACCGGCTAGCTTGAGCATGTGTTGGCCGTTCACAGCTTTGTTGTGAATAGGGTCGCGACAGAATTCGTGCCGAGGGTGCCATTGGCTGTGTTCGTTGATTGGGGTATATTCGCCGTCGTATTCTTCGTCGCATTCGAACTGCTTCAATTTCTTCGGGTCAAATTGCAGCCCGGCCTTTTTCGCTTCCTGGACCATCCACACCAAGGGCGCGTGACTCAGTGGCCAAGCCTCGCCTTTTGCACGTTTCCATCCTCCTCCAATGTCAGCGTGACAGCCAGGAAACCAAACTTCTTGTATGTCCTGTTTTCTCTCGTCCTCTTCATCAAATTGGCCTGTTGCGAGCTGTATATTAAGCGACAACTGCCCAGACTGTCCACTTCTGATAGAGCTTAGGTCCTCGGTTGACTCCGTGGGTATAGGCACCGCGAGGTTCAGACTCCTTCCGGGCACTGCAAGGTTGCTTGCACGGTATGGGTGGCTATCGTGTAGATTCTCGTGAGAGGCGTGAGCACTACGATAGACCGATGCTGTTTCTTCCTCATCGTGTTTGGCGGGTGGTGCGCCATCGTCCGTACCAATATTGTCGCTGTTGATCCTGAGCACGGGCACATTTCCATTTCCGTTCCTGCGGCCCGCCAGGGGGTGACGGAGGTGTTGCATATACTGTCGTCCTCGCTCTTGAATGGGGTGCTTCTTATCATGCCATGGCCTGATTTCAGAAATCAAATCTTGGCGGAATTTGGCTCGTCGCTCGTCGATGCTGACCGCATGTCGAATGACTAGAGCCGAGCTTCGGGCGGTATAAGGAAATTTACTTCTCTCCATCCATGCTGATTCAAACCTGGGAACGCTATTGACCGTATCAAATAGGCCCATAAACTTGATCCTACTGATAGGACGACTGAACGTTTCGCGGAACGCCTTCATGTAGCGGAACAGTTTCTTCTTCTCTTCCTTTTCCTCCTTATTGTCGTCCCGTCGCTGCTGCCATTTGGCGAACGTCTTCCAGGCAAATCGAACTAGCTCCTCATTTCCGGCTTCGAGTAAGCCGATATAGTCGAGCATCTCGGCTAGAAAACGCGCGATATAAGATCCTCTACTAAACCCGATGAAATAGATATCGTCACCAGTTTGGTAGTATCTCATGAGGAACTTATAACCGCCCATCACATGCTCATCAAAAGAAGAGCCAACGGCGGAGTCTTTAGCTTTGAAGTATGCCGATTTGATCTTTTGGATTCGCCCATGGCTAGAAAGGGACTTGCTTGTTACGTAGGTTCCGATACCAGGTTGGTAGTAGTGGAACTGGTGGCTCTTACTCCGATCGAGCATCTTCATATTTCGAAAAGAATCCGTGAGCGAAGCGATCATAAAGGACAACTAGTCTCGCGGGGCTTGCTTGGAGCTTACTTACCCGAAAGATCTTGAGAACATTGCTATCCGACTGATCGCCGCTAAATTTGTTTCCAGTCCCATCAAAGCACAGGACAAAGTGTTTCGGGACCCGTGCAGGGCCATACGGCGTCTGTGTGGCTTCCATTGTTTTCAACGGACAGTACAAAGGGGCATGTAGCTCAGCCAGTCTTCGTGCAGCCGCAGCGTGGAGGGACTTGATCTCCTTTCCAGATGGTAGGCTAGGTGCTGACCAGCGTGGAGGTGGGCTTAGTGTATATACATTCGAGGGAGATGGGGCAGTACTGCCGCTTATGCATGAGCGACTAAGGCTCGGGGCCCTACGCCGCGCCCGTCAAAGAGGGTGCACGCGGACGCTCCCCCCTCCCCTCCCCTGATAGAGTTCCTGCAGGCTCGGATTCTTGCCCGGGTTAGTTTCGCTAAGTGGAACACACAAGAAAAGTGGTTGGCGGATGAGGTTGTACCAGCCGACATTCCTGGCAGCTAGTGTGGGAAGGCTGTCACCACATCTTTTTTTTCCCTTGCCTTCCACTATTGCCCAGTGGTTTTGATTTGGCGAGGATGTACTCCACTGGCCTTCACGGCCCTGTCGGACGTCAGCTGCGGACGTGCGGAAATCCGTCCAGTCAGCTCAGCCCGTCAGGCACGGTGGCCAAAGGCTAAGACTGCGACTACAGGGATTTTGCGTATGGAAAATGCCATGCCCACACTCATAGACCCATCCGGCGATCACCTTCTTCACGGACCATATTTGGCATTACTTGCAACACTAGTTTGTCTTGACGTTCCTAATCTAGTGGGTGATTGTTGAGCACGACCCATAGGTGGGTTCGGGTGTCAGGAAAAGATTCTTAAAAGTAGATGGCAGGCCGCCAAGATCATGGTGTTAGCACGCCTTTGCCCATTTAGAGATCATCCACCGCCCGAGTCAGAGATCCAAGACACGAGGAAGATGATCTTTTCCGAGTTCTCCGCCGGTGGAGATACTGTGATCATAGGAGGCATCCAAATTTGTATATGACCTAATACGATTGACGAGATCAGAGTTTTCAATCGGATAATTGGTAAGCGATCTGTTCAAGTATGTTGTACAGGGTCTCCCCGAAAGAAAACGATAACTGACTTGAAGGGCTGAAGGGCTTCAAGACATTTTCCGAATTTTGTGTATATGCACCACTGCAACTGTCAACTTAAGCGCACAATCACAGACAGGGCAATCAGACCTCAAAGTGCGAGAAGCAAGGGGTGGATTGAGGGAGAAAGGGTGGCTGGCGCAGAAGGCTGATCTTCTCCACCATGGCAGAAATTGCGATGAAGGGAGGCGAAAGGGGGGGGACCCGGCAAGCGACAGAAGACATTAGTTCCTGTATCTGTTATAGACAGAGTTCAGCGCTTCGACAAGCAAGCCAGATGTAGGTCCTCCCACAGTGCAGTCCAAAGGAAGCACTATCGTGAGTAGCTGCAGGGGGAAAAATTCCCGGCCAAACAGGAAGGAGTAACACTCCACCAAAAAGCGTGCTAGACATTTCTGGGGTCAGCACAGAGTCATGGGCTGTAATAGACCCACCTGGGACAGCTGCAACTGCGACTGCCAGCCGTCCTCGCAGTGCACAACAATAGTACGTAGCATTGGGACAAAATGATGTGGATAACCTATCGTGATCAGCCTAACCCCCTTTGGGGCGGATCGTCCAGCTGAGGGAGGCCTGACCGCCTGAGGTATCTCCCGCCCGTGTGGGCCTCGACGCCTGGACGGCCTGAAGGCTGGAGCCTCCACGAACCATTCGGATGCTCCCGATCGGCTCCCATGGGACTGGACTGCCTTGCCTTGACCACCTTCGGTCATCCCTTTCTCACAGAGAACTCCGACAATTACCTTTCCAAAAAAACAATTTTCGAGGGCGGTAGATACCTAACCTGTTTGCCAAGTATGACCTAGATTCTATCGCTGACGCTCAGTCGATGAAATCTCCTTTCTCTCTGCCTCGCTCCAAGTTACCCAGACTGACTTGGCTGTCAGCCAGCCAGCCACAAGTCTTAGCACAGTCATGTTTTGACCGGTCGAAACTCATGATCCTGGATGTCCTTTCCTTCCTTAATCCCTATCGCTAATCGCTAGCTAATTGTCCGCTCTTCACTGGCTTCCTCTAGGAACTACCACATCAGACTTTCATGGATCAGATCGATCGGGCGGCCTCATGATGAACTTCACCAAATTAGTACTATGTGGGTACCCTACCCATGCAGATCGCCTCATTCCAGTTCGCCGGACTGATCCACTATTTAGCTCGTCCCGTGTAGATGGAAAGTTGCGTGTCAGTCTCTGCACGTTTCTGTTTGCTTTTTCTTACCTGTCACACCCGGGTTAAGATTACCCTTCAATGGAAAAGATTACAGGCGTGATCGAAGTTCATGGATGGGAACAGGCCACGATCCCAAGTAGGGTGCGTGTGTGTGAATGAATGCTGCCACTGACATGGAAAGTTGACGGCAACAAGCCACGAACACCTAGGAAAGTTAAATGAGGATGATCCCGTGTTGCGAACGCGTGGGTACCCTAAGGTCTGTTCTTGATTGGACTCCGCTGCAATTCGTGTCGAAGTCTTGTCCTTCCTCTACGGACTCCTCACTGCACTGGG